TCTTGGATGTCAACCCTACATCCAATTTAATTCAATATTTTGCACTCTCTGTCCCAAAGATGCTTCTCCTGTTGTACCACAATATCAGATAATAACCTAGGCACCCAATCCATTATTTCTGTCTCCCTCTTAATACACTGAGCATTGAGTCAAGACTTCTTTTTTCTACATCCCAAATATTTTTAAAATCTATGCCTGCCTCCCTATCTTCATTTCTATCTAGTTAAGATTCTCTTTTAAAAAATGTATTGCAACAACATTTTTATAACTATATATTTGTAGGTTCAGGTATATAGCAATATATAGTTCCTCATCTGTAAATGCTATATTATGTTCTACAATTTTGGGCAATTATGACAATTATTACATGACTTTTCTATCAAAAGCTCAGGGCCCAATCTAAATTTCCTGATGTAGGGGTAAAACTTTGTTAGGATAATTTACAATTATTCACTCACTTTTCATGGTACATCTACCAAACAAAAGAAATTTGAAATGTCAGCAAAAAATAACTGAAAAAGGTTATAGGAACAAACTTCAATGAAAGAGATTTGACTAGTATGCTTTGAATATATATTTTTAAGACTGATTGTCCTTGTGATCTGCTTGGAAAGTCAGCAGAGTTAAAAATAAAAATCAATCTTGGTTCCTAAGCATTAACAATTTTTCCTCACTTAGTATATGCCCCTAACTGATTCTTCAGGGTATGCTTATTTTCTCCTTGACACTTCCAGCTCTTATTTATTCCGAAGTAAATTCTGAGCACAGAGCACTTTGATCTTTCCTTTGCTTTGGTGAAAACAATAGCCTTCCTTAGTGTAGAGATAGAGGTGATTCTCTTTAAAGGTTTCTTTTAAAAGATGATTCTATCTGGTTCTTCTTTTCAGACATAATATCTACTCATTCTCAATAAACAGTATCAAAATGAAGGACTTATTAAAAAAATGTGAGAACTCACTTTTAGGTAATTTAATCTCATTTGCTGCTCTTAAAAATTGCTTTAAATAATATAGATAAAATTGCAACTTCTTTAGAGCAAATGAATTCAGGTGAATTCAGACATGAATAAGTATAGTTCAGAAAAATGAAATGATTATGTACAAAATGTATGTGCATTCTCAGAAAGAAATGGTAGCGACACTTAATAGAATTACAGTATTTTTCAAATAAAGAGAGATATATTACACCCAACAGTGTCATTATAATTTCATTTTCAATTTCATATGATCTGGTCTCATGTGAAATTTATGAACCTTGGCTATGCTGATGAATTTTTGTGAAAGAGATTTCCAACAGAGTCAACATCTATACCCTTCAACTGGCCCAGAATTTTCTGGACAGAAAATGAAGTAGCTGGGATAGTAGGATAAATACAGTAAAATGATAATATCACTAAAAAAAAAAGTCAAATATGTTTCATTTAATCTGATTTCCAATTCAATGAAATCACTTTAAAGGCACTTACTATGTACCAAGCACAGTGAAGAACAGTTACTGAGTAACTCACAAATCAAAATAAAACAAATGAAGTCAAAGAGGTTGTTAAATTTTAAAGAACAGAGTAGTTCATATTAATTCCAGCTGAATTTATAACTGAAGGCTTCCTGAAGGAAGATAAAATCTGAGATGGATCCTAAATACACTCATTCAGCAAAAGGAAATTGAGGAAATAGAGCTGAAGCACGTCTCAGGTGTCTGCTGACTAAAGAACTGAAAGGAAAATAGGTAAAGGAGGGCATATGGATTCTGTCTGCACATCTGCTTCATGACTACTCTTTTCTGAACTTCAGCCTCCATAACTTTGTAATTTTTCCTTCCCCCCTTTAGGATTTTCATACATACTGTTCCTTCAGCTAGAATCTACCCTCCCATGCCTTACCTATAACTCCTAGTCTCACTCCCCCAAACAACATAACCCCACTCTTCTTTGAGATCTCTGTTTAAAAGTTAATTCCTCAAGTAATTCATTCTTGAACCCCTCAACCATCTTCTCATCTTATCCCCTATTAAGACTGATTTCTTTCTTATACACATATGGAGCATCTTCTATTTTCCCTACATATTTTCACATGTTGCTATAAATTATTAGTGAAAATTCAGGTTAATGTTTATCACAAAAAAACAGCCAAAGATTTTTACCAGGCAGCAATCATGTCTACTGTAAGGCCCACGTCATGAAGCCTGGCCGGGTACTTGGTGGGCAGGTATGATTTATGTAATAAACCTAAGTATCCTGCAGTTCAGTTAGATTTACATTACGTGAGAATTTGCGACAGAAAAGTAACTTATATTTTGCAAATGTTAGATCCTTTATATTTGTAGTATATAAAAGTGTAAAAAAAACTTTTAGAAATTATATATTCATTCAACTTTTTTGTATATTTACTTATTTTTTCCTGCTACTCAAGAATCACTTCTCATATAAAACAAACTTTACAACTTTGAAAATATCCTGTGTTCCTAATATAAAAACAGAAGGAAATTGAATTCCTATTTATTTTGTGAGTAGTCTTAGAGAAACAGAAATATGGATGCATCATAAGGTATAAACAATGGAACCTAACTTAAAGACAAAATGGAAAACAAACACAATCATGCTGCAGAGGAAATAGAGAATATTTCCAAATGATTTAAAAGTAAATAACATCATTTCATAATTCTAAAAGCTGAAGATTTATAAAGAAAATAACTGAAAGACAAAGAATGTGTGTGTGTGTATTCTAAAGTTTCTTTCCCTCTTCTCTGACTTTATTAAGTTCATGCTCTTGTTGATTTAAGGTAGTTTTCACAGTTTCTCAGCAACAGAAAAACAAATTTTTCCACTTAAATTTTGGACAACTGTTTGCTATCCAAGCAAGGAATGGGAAGCAGTGTTTTATGAACTGAAGGCTCAGAGGAAAGAAAGAGAGGGGAATGGTGACAGGTACCTAAGACTAGAGAGGGAAGGGTGAAAAAGTTGTTCTTCATTGTTTCATTCTGCTTGATAGCTGTACTTAAAGACAAGAAATGAAAGTAAGTCCATGCAATCCTTCAAATCTATCTCATGCCAGGAGAACATATTCATTGACATTTTTTTCCCTCCAAGGTAGAGAGAAATGATACATTTCATGTAGGTAAAATAAACCCTGAAAGAATGAATAACTGATGGTACAGTATTCAAGCAATTGGGGGCACTTGATAATATCTGATGCCAATACTTAAGTAATAGATTATTTATTTTCAATGTATAATGTTTTCTCCATTTACTAACATGACCTAACATAATACAAAAATTATGGACTTTTAAAGGAAAGAAGTTAATTTAATGATTTAAATCTTGGTCTTACCACTTATTATCTCTGTAAAATTGTATAAGTTCTCCCTAAAATGGAAATGATTATATGAAACTCATAGGCTTATTTAATAATTCATATAATTCATCTAAGCATTGAACTAACTCAATATATCCTTAAAAACTGGTAGGTACTATGACTATAATTATCTTTTCTTTTAAGTAGGAAATTTTTTCTACCTATTCTTGGATATTCTGGAGAAGTCTTGTAATGGAGTCGAGTACACTGTTTCTCCTTATTTGACAGTGAAGTCCACTGGTCTGCTGTGGTGCCAAGACCACCTAAGAAGGGACACAGGACATGAGTCTGGTAATGAGTGCCTCTCCAGGTCCTTTTCTAAATTTCTTGGGGGGCAGTGGGAATAAGGTGTGTGTGTGCAAACACCTCTCTTCTTTTTTGAATGTTACATTGAGATGTGAAGCCATATCCCCCAAATCACATAAATTAATGGCAAATGATTACATCCAGTTAAAACAAAAATTCAAGATTAATTTTTTCCCTGTGAAAGCAGTGAATATATATGCTTTTGAGAACTGGTAATCTACATAGGGCAATAAAAGTGGGGCAGTTCATGAAACTTTTTAGTCAGAGTGATCAGGATCTCCAACAACCTCTTAGGAGGAAGAGAAAATGAGTAATCACAAATGATATTGGGGGCTTTGAAGCTGAGCATTTCAAAAGGTGATAAAATGTGAAATAAAGTAAAAAATTGAAAAAGTAACAGATTGGTATGAGACAGAGGTGGGAAGAAAAAGAATTCATGGTAAAAGAAAGCCCACCCCATTGGTCATAACAAGAACCAACACTTCCTTCATTGGGAATTTTAGGAATGAATTTATCTTAACTATTTAGCCATACCATGCATAAAACCAAAATGGCACAATAATACGGAACTCACCAGTTTATTTAATGATCCATATAACTCATCTAAGCATTGTAATGAACTATTATATGTTTTTGATTTATTAAGGGTTCAGTTAGAACTAAAATATTTTTCTTTTAAAATTAAAAATCGTAATCCATTCATAATTTTAAATTGTGCTATATCAGCAGAGTCATTTATAGCAGGAAAATACAAGTGTTAATAATTTGTTGAAAATTTAAGCTCCGAAATTATAACACATTTCATTTCACTTACGGTGGCTAATTTTTCCTATATTTTTTATTGCACTAGTAAGATTATTTTAGATGGGAAAAAAACAGTAAGTGCAAACATTAATATATACATTTGAAAGTAGGTATTATTCTAGAACCAAGCTGTGTCAAATCTTTTGTGTTGAAAATGTTCTTTCTGGGTACAGGTGCCAGGTATTGAAAGGTACATAGAAAAACCTATTTTTCTCTTAATCCATTGAACCTCCTAGGGGACATCAGTATAAAATATATCAACACATTATTTTCTGGGCATGGTCTCCTAAATATTTAATCTTTTTATCTTCTTCAGAAATGAAAACATGAGTATAAGCATTTTCACACATTTTTATTAATTATTTTTTGGGAAAACTTTAACCCACTAGAATATTTGAAATATTAAACTCAAGATAAGAGGACTTTTTATCAAAAAAAATCACCTTATATATAATAAATAATGTCAAAAATTCTATCCATGTGCTCCTGTGAAAATATGAAAAGAAACTTATCTTTTTAAAAAAATGAACAAGTACATACCTGAGCTTCTGGTTGTATTGTTTGACCTTTTCCAATGAGGCTGTATTTATTTGGGCTTGAAATTCTTCAACTGAAACATTTTCTCTATAATAATATCCTTCCATGCTTTCCAGTGCTGTATAAATAAGTAAGCAAATGTACTTTTCACCTGATTTTATAACCCAATTTTGTCACACTTCATGTAATCTTATTGATGATTAGCAAATGTGTTAAACTATCTTTGCCCAATCCCCATCCCTGTTCTTCTGCTCTTAGAATAAATAACAAGCATTTAGTGATTATCTTTAAGTAGGGAAAGGTAATTTCTAATATAAACTGTTTTCTGTTTTTAAAACATTTGTATATTTTTTTGTGAAGTTAAACTCAAATCTCATACATATTACTTATATGGATAAACAAATATATACATATATGCACCAAATACACTCACATACATATATTACACATATACATATATTACACATATACATACATATGCTTGAGAAGCAGAATTGTATATTCACGTACATAAAAATAAAAAAAAAATGATCTTGCCAATCTCCCTATATGTTCAGTTTCTCTCGTGGTTGCAATTAATTTATAAAATATCAACATAAAAAAATAAGAAGTATAGATAAAGTGAAAACTTAGAATATTACCTCTACTCCAATGGTTAATCTTATCAAATGCAAATAAGCATAACCATATATGACTTCCCATTAATTTTTAGTGTTGCTGAATTAATGCAGATTTCCTTCTTTAATAATAATATTTTTGCTTGTTTCTTTTACCTTTAAAATTTGTGAGGTGCTTTTTTTTAACCTTTTGGAGAGGGAATGAATACATAAAATACAAGACTTCCTAAGGAGAAGTTGGAACAAAAGGAGAGCAATGGATCCAATGGGAATGTAAATTATTTTCCTTGAAAGGTACTACCGATTACTGTCAATTTCAGCAAACCATTTCAAAATTAACAAAGTATTTAATTTTCTTTCAAAACTGTTACATAGAATAGTTTCTAAATTAGATAATAAGGTTTATTTTTCCATAAATTGAAAAAAACTCATCACCATTTATTTTTTGGCAAAAATAAGAAAGTCACTGCTAATTTTAGCTGTGCTATATTTTCTAAACTCGTTAGATTTCTAGAGCACTTGAGAAACAACTTTTACAGTACAGCTAAATTGGAAATTTTTAAAATGATGTTATGGCTTATAATTGAGAAAAGCATCTATGGAAAATTAGGGAGAAAGCTTACTACATTTACTTCAGTACAGGAAATCAAATGTGTGGGCTTATTTCAAAAAGTGTTTATTTGTTTATTCCTCATGACTTGCACATTAATTAGAATATTTGCAATTGGTTCAGTGAACTTTTCATCTTGAATACTCACAAGAAATAGAAGGAAATCTTGATAAAATAACCTTTAAATACATGTCACACTCATTTCCATTAACAGGAAGTTATTTTAAAAGCCAAATATTCCAAGATTCAGTCTTAGTCTTACTTCAACATGAAATATTCTTACTAGTTGTAAAGCTAGTAACCAAAGATCTTAATTGGAGCAAAACCAAATCTCCTCCCTCCTCAGTAGTTGTGTGACCTTGGGAATGTTAATATCTGAGATACTCAGGTTTCTCATTTATGAAATGGAAAATAAAGCATCTACTAATTATGGATATTGGGAAAGAATTAGTGTACTAAGAGGGCTCGTGTAACTACTCATCATTTACTGAGTGTTTTAGGTACTGGGCAATAGGCCAACTGTTCTACAGCAACCAGGTAATTCAATTTTCCATAAGATATAGATTATGTGTGTGTGTGCTTAGCCAAATAGGAAGTTTTGGGAGCTTACAATTCTATAAATATTTTTAAATGAATGCAGAATTAAACAATTTTGCTACGAGTCTTAGAAAAATTTTGTGGAACATGTATGGGGTTGTGGGAAAATTAACAAAAAATGATGAGTTCAGTAACAGAAAGTCAAACCTTCAAGTCAAAGACCAGAAAGAAGAACAATATTGCCTATTGTAGTTGAATAGCTTGGTTATTATTGTTATTAAAAAAGAAAATGGAATGATACTCTACCAACTTATATTTCTATTCTTATATTTTATATTTATATATATTTTTATATATTTTATATTTTATATTTATATTTATATATTTTATATTTATATTTTATATTTTTATATATTTTATATATATTATATATATTATAAAATATTTTATATTTATATATATTTTTTTCTGTCTACTTAGTTCTCATATAATAATATGTAGCAGTATTGCCACATTGGTTGAATAAAAATTTAATTCATTTAAAAGATATGACAATGTTCTGATGTCCAATTGCTGCAAATGTGGCTTATTTTAAAAAATTTTTATTTGTTCTTTATCTCATTGGGAATGTGTTCATTTTTTTCTTTTTTATTGAAATAATATTGCATTACAATATGATATGTTTCAGGTGTTCACTGTTGACAATCAACATATGTATATACTATATTATAATCCTATTTTGATATAGGGTCTTCACAGATGTAATCATTTTACAATGAGATTATACTGGATTTGGGTGTCCTCAAATGACTGATGTCCTTATAAGAATTTGCTTTGAGGAATGGTGCTTCCTATCGCTTTAACTCTGATCCTTTGTGTTTAGAGGCCCTGATCCCCAAAGGGACACAGTTCCCCTAGAAGACAAATCAGTAGTCAAATTGAGCTGTAAGCTACAGCTGTGGCCTGAACACTTTAGGCTCCTTGTGACAAGGTATCAGAGCCCAGGAAGAGAAACACACCATTTTGGCAAGTTTAATTGGTTCTGATTATCATCAGAAAGGAGGGTCATTATTATGTAATAAGGGCAGGAAGGAAAATGTTCGGCAGGCACATAGTTCACTCCAGTCCCTCTTTCTACTCCCTTGTCCAAATTTGACAATAAATAGACAATGAGAAAGACACAGTGACTTGAGGATCAGGCCCCTGCAGGCTGATGGTCTCTGTCATTCTAGAGGTTAGCCACCAAGACCAGTTGAGGTTCAGGCTGAGTGTGAGTTTAATATATATTCTGTGGCAGCCCCGAGACCAGTTGCAGCAATAAGGGCAGTAACTAGTCCCATTAACATTTTCTTCTAAAACATAGTGGATACACTCCTTGACATTGGCCTTAAACATGTTATTAGGGACCAGACTCCAACAGCAAAGGAAACAAAAACAAGAATAAATAAATGGGACTATATCAAACAAAAAAGCTCCGCATAGTGAAAGAAATTTAAGAGACCCTGCTAAGTAGAAGATAATTGTAGATCATATGTCCAACAAGGGATTAATATTCAAAATACATAAGAAACCCACAAAACTCAACTACCAAGAATCAAACAACTTCATTATTAATGGGCACAAGACCTAAACAGCCCCACCTCTCAAAAGAAGACATACAGGCACTTGAAAAAATTTCATCATCTCTTATTATTATGCAAATACAAAGCAAAACAAGCTATCACCTCACACCTATGAGAAAGACTTATTCAAAGGAAAGAAAGAACAACTGTTGGAGATAAAATAACCTTTGCACACTATTGGTGGGAATGTAAATTGGTGCAATCATTATGCAAAGCAGTTTGGAGATTCCTCAAACATTAAAAATAGAAATTCCATATGATCTAGTTATCTCACTTCTGGATATTTACCTGAAAGGTACATAAACACCTATCCAAAGGTGTTTGAATGTTTATTACAGCGTGATTTACAACAGCCAAGAGCTGGAGACAAACTAAGTGCCTGTGAACAGATGTTTGGGTACTCTTTGCATTCCCATTTTCATCTAGTTTAGAATTACTGCTTTATCTCACAAATAGCTTAGGGACTCCAACAGAATAAGTTTGAGACTTGTGGGAAGTACTTATAAATATCAGCTAGATGACTGCTTCAGTGTGATTTATACTATTTAGCAGGTTTGTTGTGCTGCTGTGCAGGCTTTTCTGTCAGGCTGTTTCAGTGTTCCTTACCTAGGAAATGTTTCTCACATTTGTCTGTCTAGATTTCTGTTTTCCTACAGCTCTGGCCCTCAGCAACAAATGTTCCCTAAAGTGTATCTTCTTCACCTCCAACCCTGGAATTCCTGATTTAATAGCACACCCAACTCTATGTGATAACCCATCAGGTAGAATTAGATTGTCCCAAGGAATTATGCAGGCAAGAAAAATGGGAAGAAGGCAATGCACTTGCTTCCTGTTCTAAATATATGGTACCACAGGGCCTCCCCTAGTGGCGCAGTGGTTGAGCGCTGGGCTGAGAAGCTGCCTGCGGCCTCTGCAGCGCCAGTTCGATCCCCGGCCGCTGGGCGAGGGTCTCACATGGCACACAAACCTCTCCTGACGTGCCCACTGCTCCCCTCAGCGGTGTGTTTGGTCAGTCTGCCTGTTCTGTTTCCTGTTCTGGTGAATTCTCTCACCCTCCCGTGCTTTTGACTGTACCCAGTGCTTTTATAAATAAATAAATCTTAAAAAAACAAAAAACAAACAAACAAAAAAAACATGGTACCACAGATGACATTAGGGGGGCTAACTTAATAACCTCCCCAGGAACTATTCAAATTCAAAAATATTTTTTATTCACTTACAAAGACCCATGTACACATGTACAGACAAAGCGAAAGTCTTCAAATAAGTTTCATCCCAGGAAAAGACTCCATTTGGGATCTCTCATTTACCACCACATTCAATTACCCAATTAGAAAATTTCTACTGGGTCTGAATTTCTTGTGCTTCTCTCAATCTGATGAATATTATTAACAGCTAATAATGAGGGCCTCCCTGGTGGTGCAATGGTTAAGTATCAAGCCCTATCAAGCTATCACCTAAGTTCGATCCCCAGCAGGGAGCTAATTCACATGGCTCACAATAGCTCTCCTGTCTTGCCCACCACTGCTCCCCTCAGCAGTGTATTTCAATTGATCTGCCTGTTATGTTCCCCACTCTGTCTCTGGTAAATCCTTTCATCCCCCACCACCTCGGGCCTGCACCCCAGTTCTTATATGCTTAAATAAATAAAATAGATTTTTTAAAAGGAGTTAATAATGATTCTTTGTGGGAACTCCATGAATAAAGAGGAACTCTTGTACCCCCTTTAAATAAACAACTGAATCACTGAGACTTTCAATGAGACAAACTGTTTTCCAGTCTTCTTTACTTATCTGTGACCAGAATAGCAAAAATATTTCCACTGTTGTTAAATCAAATAATTTTCATATCATATTGCTATGAGAATTGTAAAATCTATGTAAAATGCTATAGCATTTCTTTAGATTACATTTTGAAAGAGATGTTGTATTCACTGAAATAATGTATATTTAGGAATTATTTGAAAATTGGTTCTAGCCACACTTTAAAATTGAGGTTACTTACAAAATAAACTTCTTTTTCCTATGCACATTTGCTTCTGGGTATGACTATTCAGCTATTTATGGCTGATGTGCCAAACATGTAATAATTTTTTTAGAAAAGATGCTTATTGCCATCTGTCATCTCAATAATGATTTCAAAGACAGAATTTTTAAAAAGAAAGAAATTAAGAAGTGAAGAGCTTTAACAATTGCAAGTCTTGGTTAAATCCTGTTGTAATTTATATTCCAGGCCAGAATCCTTCCCCATCATCTAGGGCTATCTATCTCTGTAATGACTTTTAACACGTTTTAGGTTAAATCATTTTCCTAACAAAGCTCCAAAGGTCTATTTTCACTCAGTTTCTTTTTATTTTTTATTTCTTTTCATTACAGAATCTTGTGTACTGATAAATTAGAGTCCTCCATAGAAAATGAATACCTTCTAATATCTCCTAAGATCTTTTCTTTACTCAAAGTTTCCACTGCTGAAATGTAATCTTGCCAAGAGGCTGTATGAGGTAGCCATAGTTTTTACACTATGGCAATTGTTCTATCTTTTAGAATTGAAATAATATGTATGTGGTACAGAGCAGAATTTTCCCTTGGTAGTAAATTTACATTTCATATACCTGTCTGCTCTTCAGTTACAGATGGATTTTATTCTTCCACTCTTCTCATTTTTTATTAAAATACAAAATTTTCACAGAGAGACCAGTGCAGTTCTTGATAACTCAAAAAAAAAAAAAGAAAAATGAAATGTTCTATGGTACACTCAGAAAACTGATGTACTCTTGTGACTACAGCATGAGTTATTTCTTTAAAGAAAATTATAGACCAGAAGAGACTACATAATAATCTGAATTCTTGATCTTTTCTAGGCAGGATCTGTGACCTCACAAATGAAAGAGACACAGAACCTGCCATTGAAAACCAGTTGACTGCAAGAATCCTCTTACTCATGGTAATCTTAATTTTTTCTATTGTAGTTGACTCATTGTTCATTTACAAAAGATTTTTATTTATAAGGGAATATATTTTAATTGACAAAATATGAAAAAGAAAAAATGCAGAAAAAGAAGAATAAAAAAATCACCATCAATTTAATCACCTATTGATATGGAAAATATTTTACATATATATAAGTATATATGTACATGTGTGACATATTTGAGACTATATCAATTCCTTTTTGTATCTGAATGTGTATAATGTCAAACTTCCCCCTCATAAAAATTTTTAGTCATACAACTTTAATGGAAAATTTATTTAAGCCCAAATTAATTTATTTTTATTTAAACCATTCTGATTCTCCATTATAAATAATGCTGTAATCTTATTTGAAAAATATTTAAACTATATGTGATTCTTCCTTTTCATAACATTCCCAGAAGTAAAAATATTACCTAGGTCTTATTAGAGCATTTTTGAATTAATGAAAAAACCATGATGGTTAAAATTAAATTAATTTAAAAAATTGAAAACTATATAATATAAGTTAAGTACATGAAGCATAAAAAGGAAAGAAGTTTACCTTGTGCAAAAAGAACAGGATGAATTTTAAACCCTCCTCCATTTTTCAACCGTTGGGGCAGTTGTTCAAAATGATAGCTATCAATGTAGAAATAAATTTTCAGAGCTTGCCGACTTCCTTCTGCTTGATATGTAAGAGGAACATCTAAAATGATATTTAATGTTATATTACATTCAAAAATCAGAATGTTATATAGTGCATTTGTTAAACTTTAAAAAGAAAGAATACAGTATATGACTAGAAATGAATATATTAAAAGTATCCATGCATTTCAAGTTCAGGTTAGGCATATTTACAATGTTATTCTGTAAAAGTATTGCATCATAATCTCATTAGCTAACGCAACAGATTTATTACCGTACTGTATATAAAATTCTGTAATCGGAAACTTCATTATACTTTGACACACCAGATGTCTCACTTAACTAAATGAGAAGTTTAGCTACACATGGTTTGGAATTAGAATCTCCCAGGACAGCTGTCTCATTCATATTTTAGTTAAAAATGAGTCCTTGGGGTTTACTTCTTAAGCAGTCTGTACAAGAAATTGACTACATAGCAACCATTATCAAAATTAGCTTGGGTTTTGCAAGCTCCATTCCCTGAGATCCAGATCAAAAATGAATTACCTCTGTTGATGCTCTACAGCCATTAGATATTACCTACCCAAATTCTTTTAGCTATATTCAAAGATCCTAAATTTAATGACTCATATAAAAATACTGTAAACAATCAACTCAAAAAGCTAAAATGGCGCAATATTTCACAGGGCTGTCATAAATGCTGTTCAGTTTATGATACTTATCTATGATAATTTCTATTTCATCAAAAAAGAAGCAAAATCTTCCTAAATAGCTAGAACAGTTACATTAACTGGTTAAAAATATGGCCAAATACGGTAGATTTTTAATACATGTTCTTGACTTACTATTATTTCTAACCTTCTTCTTGAAATAAAACTGTATATGAAAGTAGCCCTCAAGGCTTAGTATCAGAGATTCCAAGTGTCCTTTAAATGTATCTAATTCTGCATATAAACAAAGGAAGCAATGTATTAACATCTACAAATCTCTCCTATGCTATATAAAAATTGTTACATTATTTTCATTTCTATTTTTTAAGGGAGACATGAAGAAATTTGGTTTAGAAAAGATAGTAAATTCCTCTTTGGAAGTTTTAGAAATTAACTACATTTTAATGAGTGGGAAAACCCTATTTTCCTAGTTCTAATTAAAAAAAATTCATGAGGGCCTCCCCTGTTGGCGCAGGCAGTTGAGCGCCGCACTGTGAAGCTGTCCGCAGCCTGTGAAGCACGGGTTCGATTCCGGCCGGCCAGCGAGGGTCCCACGTGGTGCGCAGACCTCTCCTGTCGCACCCGCTCCCCTCCGCAGTGTATTTTGTCAGTCTGCTTGTACTATTCCCTGCTCTGTCTCTGGTGAATCCTCTCATCCTCCCATGCATCTGGCCTGTACCCCAGTTCTTGTGTAAATGAATAAATGAATCTTTTTAAAAAAATTAATGAATACCAAAGTAACCACATATTTTTATATATAAATATTTGTTTTCTAGTTTACACAATATTTTTTCATACAAAATCTTTTGTATGTTTCATATCTTTCATATTTATTTTAATTATTGTTAATTAAATTATTGGCATTGATGTAGCCAATTTCTGTGTTAACAAATGGATTATGCTAGCATAAAGAAAATAATAATGCAACAGTTGGGGTTCCATATTACAGGATTAGTAAAGAACAAAGAGGATGTGCCAGCAATAGAGAAGCTGAGGGCCTCCCTGGTGGCACAGCGGTTCGATCCCCGGCTGCTCCCTGGCCACCGGAGGAGGGTCCCACATGGCGCGCAGACCTCTCCTGTCTCGCCCGCTGCTCCCCTCAGCAGTGTACTTCATCAGTCTGCCTGTTCTGCTCCCCGCTCTGGCTCTGGTGAATTCTCTCACCCTCCCGTGCTTCTGACTGTACCCAGCGCTTGTATAAATAAATAAATAAATGAATGAATGAATGAATAAATAAATCAATCTTAGGAAAAAAAGAAAAAAATAGAGAAGCTGAAAATTATCAAGTATAGTAAATTTAAAGTGAAGTTAAAACTAAAATTTCTATGACAGAATTGAGATGTGTCTCAAAGTATTTACTGTACCTGTAACAGTACATACTAATGTGGAAAAAATTCTTGCTTTTTATTTATGGAAATATATCTACTATTATAAATATATCTACTATTATATTTATGGAAATATCTACTAGGACTATTTGATAATTAAAAACTTCAAAATGATTACTGCATCAGGAAATGATCGCAAACAGAGACTCATCCTAGAAAGGAGTTTCAAAGTGGTATCCTATCCCTGTAAATATGTCTGTCCCTCATTGAATGGACCAGTCTATCTGAAAGTTAGTCTTTGACTAAGAATTTCTTAGTTTCTTTTGCTTGAATTGCTCTTCTTTAACTCCTTACAGGGTTTGGTCTTCTTCAGATCTCAGTTTCAAAACTAGTTCTACAGAGAAGCCTCATACGGTAGCCTCACCCTTATCCTTTATGTATCTGCTTATTTTATGCAGATAGATTCCTTATTTGTTTTCTCGCAACTAAGATGTGAACACTATGAAGACAGAGATATTTCTGCTTATTCTCCATCCACAGCACCAGGCCCAATGTCTGATGCATAGAGACTTGATTAGTGTATTAATTCCTAGTTAATTACTGTAAAATTAGCTGTATCACCATTGAAAGGGAGGAAGATCCACTGTCATTAGTCTCAAAAAATTTAAACATTTTGTACAAAATAAATTTAATCATATACAACCTAATCATTTAGCTTCTTTATTCCTCCTTTACTAATCACATAACATGACATGGGAAGTATCTTGTACATTTCTTAAAGTGAATTGGATCAAATTGCCCATTTATCCTTTGTATTGCTAACTAATTTTTAAGTTCCAGGCCAACAGGAACTTTGCTTTATTTAGTCCCCATTAAATGCCAGAAATCAGCTCAACACTTAGCAAGTTTTATAAACTTAATTATTTCTTTAATGAAAATGAAATGTCTTACCCAGACAATTGAATCCTTGCTTGGCATGCAGTATTTTTTCAGAATCTAATTATTATTTAATGCAAAAGCAAGACTATGGTATGCTAAATATAGATTTTTAAATAGCATACAAAGTAAAAAAGTGAGGAGTACAGTTTTACATATTTGCTGAATACTACCATGAGGCTTATAAAATGCTAGACACTTCCAAATACCATTGAATTTAAACTGTGTGGGTCAACTTATATTCTAATATTCTTCTAAAAAGGTGGCATAAGCTTAAGGTTCTGATAAATAGAATATAGTACAATAAATATATTTTCTGTCCCTTATGATTTTCTTAACACTTTCTTTTGTCTTGCTTACTTTATTGTAAGAACACAGTACATAATACATATAGGAACAGACTGGCTTAAAACAGAGTTAGATGAAGTTCCTTGCTTCACCACTGGGAATAAAGTTAACCCAGATGGACATTATACCCAGAGGGTCTGCAGCCTGGGGCAAAACTGGGATATCTATTGGACATCAGGGACCAGCACAGACAGCACCAGAAAGGACAATAAAGAAGTTCATGTTTCGGGCCTCCCCTGGTGGTACAGTGGTTGAGCGCTGGGCTGCGAAGCTGCCCGCAGCCTCTGCAGCACTGGTTCGGAGAGGGTCCCCACATTGGCACGCAGACCTTTCCTGCCAACTCCGCTGCTCCCCTCAGCAGTGTACTTCGGTCCTTCTGCCTGTTCTGCTCCCTGCTCTGGCTCTGGTGAGTTTTCTCTCACCCTCCCACACTTCTGACTGTACCCAGTGCTTGTATAAATAAATAAATAAATCTTAAAAAAAGAAGTTCATGTGTCAGTAAACAAGAGGTAGAGGAGAAATACCAGAAGGCAGTGGTCCAGGGCAGAAAGCTGCTATATAAACCAAGGATCTTCACTTGTCAGGCTGTCCTAAGTAGGGGAGAACTGAATTTTACAGAAAAACATACTCTTGACTGAGAGGGGACATATGTGGAGGAGTTCAATTGCTCCCAACAGGCTGAAACAAGCATTGGTGAGTTGTGGAGAAGGAACCCTTATTCTCTTTGGATGGGAATGCAGACTGGTCCAGCATCTGCAAGTTTCTCAAAACATTAAAAATAGATCTACCATATGATCCAGTAAATCCACTCCTAGCATCTACTGAAAAATGAAAAAACACTAACTTTAGGGAATACATGCACTCCTATGTTCACTGCAGCAGTATTTACAATGGCCATTTGTGACAATGTGTTATGGATAGATATGGAAGCTATTTATACTAAGCAAAGTAAGCCAGAAGAAGAAAGACAAATACTAATGGTTTCACTCATATGTGATTACAGAGAAAAAACAAACAAACAAACAGGGTCAGACAGAACCAAACAAAGAACAAATCCTATAAATCTGACTATAAAATTGAGGATACCAGATAGGGAGGTGGATGGTGGAGAACAAAGGACAGATGGAGCATAATGGTAGAAGACGATATTTGCCTTGGTGGTGGGAGTAGTGTAGTAGAATATATTTGAAGAGGTGTATATTATCAATATACCATATACACGGTATATGTATAAACCAATGTTACCTTAACAAAAAAAATCTTTTAAATACATATTATACACAAAATGTGTGCTAACCGATAAGGGACTAATCACAAAGATAAACAAAGAACTCATGTGACTCAACAAAAACAAAATAAACAATCCAGTCAAAAAATGGGCAGAAAAATTTCAAAGACATTTTTCCAAAGAGGAAATGCAAACGGTCAACAGGCATAAGAAAATATGTTCAACATCCCTCATAATCAGGGAAATGCAAATTAATAAAACCACAATGAGATACCATCTTACATTGGTAAGAATGGTACATATTAAAAAAAATAGTAACAACAAATATTGGTGAGGATGTGGTGAAAAAGGAACTCTCCTACACTGCTGGTGTGAATGCAAACTGGTCCAACCACTATAGAAAGCTGTGTGGAGGTTCCTCAGACTACTAAAAATGGAGTTTCCATATGACCCAGCAATTCTACTCCTAGGAATCTACCCAAAAATATTAATTCAAAAGGATACCTGCACTCCTATGTTTACTGCAGCACCATTTATAATAGGACTTGGAATCAATCCAAATGCCCAAAAATAGATGACTGGATCAATAAGATGTGGTAAAGATACACAATGGAGTACTATTCAGCAATCAAAAAGATAAACAAATGTCATTTGCAGCAACATGGATGGAGCTAGAAAAGATTATGCTCAGTAGCTAGAAGAAAAATATTGGACAGTTTCACTTATAGGAAGAATATAGGGGAACCATACAAGGGATCAAGGAAAAAATAATAATGACAATAACAATAAAAACACAACAAGACAAAACAATAATAAACAGACAACTATAAATCAGAGACATTCTACAGGGGAGGAGGAAAGAAAGGGATCAAAATAAGGGCAGTGAGAGCACAAGGGGCTATGGTGATGGTGCATGGGTGAATTGGTGGAAATTCTATTGGGACTACACCTGAGAAAAGAAAGCAAACATAGTAAAAAAAAAAAAATGAACAATGATGTAAAATATATATAAATAATTAAAAAATATATGTGATAAACCACTGTGCTATCACTAAGGTTTCCAGTTAATATAAGACTACTTGTTAAGTTTTTGGGGATCCAAAAGTTATATGTAGATTTTTGTCTGTGAAGGGTTAGCACCTATAACCCTAGTGTTATTCAAGGGTCCACTGTACTTGTTCTTATTTAAGCTTCTCAAACCCACTGACTCAGATAAAGCTAATATTCTCATGTTTATCCATGAGAATGAAGCCATAATTTGAACTTAGGTTCTTGACTTCAAAGTCAATATTCTCTTTATATCTTCATTCTTCCTGGCCTTAAATCCTTTCTTTAATTGCCTACTGACACATTCTTTAGTTGAAGATGAGGAATGAAATTTCATTAAGTCAATTTAGCTATATAATTGTTATATATTTGAGTGAAAGTTTTGGAGGACACAGAGCTTATGCACACAGCCAGAAATATTAGAGCTGTGTTTTTATTAAAAATTCTTTGATATAAAAAAGATGCAAAAGGGACAAATAATCTATAATCTCACTTATATGAGGTACTTAGCAAACTCACATAAACAGAAAGTAGAACAGAGGTTACCAGGGACGGTATGTGTCTTGGAGGATAAAAAAAGTTTGGGAGGGGCCTCTCTGGTGGCACAGGTGGTTGAGCACTGCACTGTGAAGCTGTCCGCAGCCTCTGCAGCACGGGTTTGATCCAGCTGGCTGGGGCTGGCGAGAATCCCACATGGCACAGCAGACCTCTCCTGTCTCACCCGCTGCTCCCCTCAGCAGTGTATTTCAGTCAGTCTGCCTGTTCTGTTCCCCACTCTGTCTCTGGTGAATCCTCTCACCCTCCCGTGCATCTGGCCTGTACTCCGGTTCTTGTATAAATAAATAAATCTTAAAAAAAAAATTTCAAAAAAAAAAATGTTTGGGAGATGGATGGCAAAATGGTTGCACAACATTATGAATGTTTTTAATTCCACTCAATAGTAAACTGAAAAATCAGTTAAGTAATACCTTTGGGATATGTATATTTTTACCAGAGTAACAATAAATTGACCAGCATAAAAAATTGATTCATATGCTCAAAAAAAGTTTTGGGGTCAAACTAAAAGACTGAAAAATGCAATGTGAAAATAAAGGTTTAAAATTATCTATAGATTTGAACCATATATACATTCTATCACTTCTAAAGTGGTCATTATAAATTATTTATCTTAAATATATGTTTTATTTAAAACAATTTAAGCTACACATCTAATATGTTAATATCAAAGTTATATTTATTGTTTAATGATAAAGGAATTCTACAAAACACTTAGCTACTTACTAGCAACCAGTGGTTCCTCTTCTGATGGTTTAAAATAAAAGGAAACCTTTTCCAAATCAAACAGTGCAACCAATGTATCTTCTAGCATGGCTTGTTCATCTGTCTAGAAAGAAAAAAAAAGAATACATGGTATGATCATACAGGATAGCATAGAATCAAATTAGAACAGAGCAGAATATAACATAAATCCAGACCAAAAATAGCTTTACTCATGTTTTATTTACATACAAGCCAAAATGTCAATGCAGATTGATTGCTTAAAATTTAACTAATACCCAAATTCACATTTTTGTATGTTCCTTTTTTTATGGTTCTGTATACAACTTTTCAGTCTGTTTTCTAATCACACTTATTTCATTTATCATTTACAAATGTGTACACAAAGAGCACAGTGTTTACTTCTAAGTTTCTATAATCTCATAACAGCTGAAAAGCAAAAATATTGCTTTATTTAAAAGCTACAGTACATAATGGTCTTCCTATCTTACAATATGATAATCTATGCGCTATTCAATTTGCAATTTATTATAACTGTGATAAAGGCAATTTGCATGTATGTAATGATTTTTTTCCCCAAGAGTGTGGAGACAAGAATCATGATTTTCACCTCACTTGCCTTTACGGGACCTTTATCTAGAATCTTGCGAATATGAGATCCAATTTGTTTAAATCATTTGTCTCATTCTTACAGTATATAATTTCAGGGCTTTTAAGACCCTGACACAGTAACAAGTTCAGGGTATGTCTCAGCGCTATTATCCACCTAGTACTAGATTCTGGCCTTCCCATTAGCAGTTTAGAGTGCGACCTAGAGTCTTCACTAATTTCCTCCTCAAAGAAGAGTTAGTGGCATCACACACAGTTTCTCTTTAAAAGGTTAAAATTATTATTTAACAGGAACCTTTGTCTCCTTAAGAATGTCAGTGATCCTTTTAAACAGTAATTTTAACATGCTTTGCACACTTTTTAAAACGTTGTAGTAAGCTTAGAGCCATGCGTATTTTTTGACAGCATTAGTAGAGGGTGAAGCAGGTGGTAAGGAATTCCCATTGTGTGAAAAAGAAGCTGAAGATCCAGAAGAAGGGCAGCACAAAAATCAAAACGATAAAAGAACTGTCACCTTCGTACCTTAATTTAGTACCTAACACATTGCACAGTACTGAGTAAATGCTGGAAAAACACTTAATGTACTTCTGTTTTTTTAAGTCCTTTGAAGAAGCAGAAAAATACCACAAACCTAGAATTGTTAGGATATGATTGAAGAATCAACATTTTTCCAGATAAGAGGAAAACACACTGGAAGAAATGCTCCAAGAAGTCTGGTCTCTGATGTCCACAGTGCATGGGCAGATGTGACTAAAGCAACACCCAGCCATCACCAACTGCCTAGAGCCCAAGGACAAACAGCAAGATTGCCTGTAGCACTTAAGAATGTCCCTGCCATCCCTAGGAGGCTTTTATGTTCTTGTTACAGAGGCAGAAACCCTATGGATTCCTTTGAATTTTTTTCTTAATAACCTTTGGGTTTCTTAATCTTTAATTTTTTAAATAATCTTAGGGGTCATAGGAAATCAATAGGAAAAACAGTTTTCTTGAAATATAACTCATTTACTATAAAAATCATCCAGTTATAGTGTACAACTCAGGGGTTTTTAATGCATTCACAGAGCATTGCAACTCTCTCCAGCATCTAATTTTAGAATATTTTATCATCCCCAAAAGAATCTTAGTACACATTAGCATTCACTTGCCATGTCCCTTCACCCAATCCTCCATCCCAGGCAACCACTAACCTACTTTCACTCTCAAAATTTGCCTATTGAGCACATTACATAATAATGGAATCAAACAATATGTGCTCTTTTGCAACTGGGTTATTTCACTTAGACTTAGCATGCTGTTTTCAAGGTTCACCTATGTTGTACCACGTATCAGAATTTCATTGCTTTTTATTGCCAAATAATATTCTTTGTAAGTATAAACCACATTTGGATAAACAAGTTCATCAGTTCATGGGCATTTAGGCTGTTACAATATTTTTGCTATTATGAATAAGCTTACTAAAAACATTTGCATAGGTTTTTTTGTATAAGTACATGTTTTTTATTTCTGTTGGGTGCTTTGGAGTGAATTTCTGGGTAATATGAAAATTCTGTGTATAACATTTTAAGGAATTGCCTGACTATTTTCCAAAATGCCAGTATTATTGAATATTTTATTGTCTTTCCTACCAGCAATGTCTAAGTTTATAATTTCTCCACATGCTTGTTATCACTTATTATTATCTTTCTTTTGGATTAGAGCCATTTGCACCCCATATGACATTGTTTCTCACTGTGGTTTTGACTTGAATTTTCCCAGTGGTTAATGATGTTGATCAACTTTTCATATGTTTCTTGTATATTTTCTACAGAGCAATTCTATTCAAATCCTTTGGCTGCTTTTTTGAGGTTTTTTTAATTGTTCATTTTTAAGTATTCTTTCTCTAGATATAAGTCACTTATCAGATATGTGATTTAGATATATTTTCTCCCATTCCTTGTGGTTTCAAATGGAATTAAATTTAAAATACCAGTACTTGATTAGACAATGGCAGCCTCATTCATTCATTCAACAAACACATAATGTCTACATTGCATACATTAGAAATGTAGCCTTGTTCATTTAACAAACACATAATGCCTACATTATGTTAGGAAACAGGTTTTATATCCTATATAATGTATAGTTGGTAGGCAAAAATGAATATTATTTTGTTTTTAAACTTTTCCAAAATCACCTCATTTAAAAGTTTTTAAATTAATTAAATCCTTCTTAATGGTTGTTTTAGATACCACATAAGAAATTGATCCTCTACAATGGAATGCACAGTTTTAGCAACTATTTCAAGGTTTTTTTTCATATCCACTGTGGAAAACTGATGCATAAATGTGGTATATTCTACAGTAATTAAGCCAATGTTCTTAGGTTTAACAGGACAAACATGCACAGGAAAGAACTAAAATCATTTAACACAGTCAAATTTTAAATGGACTGTCAGTATAGTACGCAAGTTGTCAGAGCCCGTCTATCAAGCACACTCCAGAATATCAGCCTCAGAGGGAGGTTTGCTTTTGGGGCAGGTTGTATCCTCGTCTGGAAATAACGAACAGCAGTAGAAAGACCCTTTTTCCTCTGATATTTCTCAGTCGGTACTTAGGAGTATAGGAACTAGTAACAGATGGAGGCTTCCTCATATTTGAGCAGCTACAGAGAATAAATAAAAATCAGAAAAAAGGAATACCTTCTATATACTTATTTGAAAAAATATTTTCACTGGAAAAAAAATATATTCTCATAAAGTCACTGAATGACTGCTGATACAAAATGAATAACCCACTTCTTATCTGGGAACAGTGCATGTTACAATTGATGAACCTGAGGGAGTCACCGTGATTCCTTACCAAATTTGGCGACAGAAGTGACTGAAAGTGAAAAAGAACACCTGCATTCGCTATCTGGTCCAACCACCTTCTGCTGGCTTCCCAAGTTTCCATCTCATTCTCCTTGCTGTTGTCAAACATCTGGTTTAAGGCCGCCATGAGCTGCTCAGAGAAGGCACACACAGTGGCCACAAGAGTCTGGCAGAACACCATGTCTCTTCGGAGCTGTGTCTCACTGTCTGTGATCCAGAAGAACAAAAAGACAACTATGAAGAAAGTAATAGGTGAACTGAAACAATTCATTAAGCATTTACCTTTGCTCTTATTTCATTCTTGCACTAAATTCACACCACATGAAAAATGTACAGCTGAATTCTACAATGAGCTTGTTTCAGCAAATACGGTTTATAGGAAATATTAAACACCAAAAAAGGTTAGAAACATTAAAATAATTTTAACTGACATTATGGCTTTATTTTGCAATCATTAAATTGTTTTATAAAACATAAGGACAATTATAAGGTGTCATCATTTTTTTCTGATGGAACATAATTTACATTTGTTGCACACTTCCCTGAAGAAAACTCAAAGTTTAATTTTCAATTTGTGCTGAAAATATAATACATTACTATTTTTTCTAGTTACCAGCAATAGCTTCTCAAAAATTAATGTGAAATGCACATGGTGAAGAGTATGGATGTTTAATTGTTTGCAGTAACTAGTAAATGTGTCTCCTTAATATGCTTACTCAAGTTCATGAGCTAAAGATAGGTACAAATCAAAATTTCCTGTATTTCTTTCACACAAGCAATGCAATTAAAGCTTTATCATAAGTTGATTTTTCACTAGATTTCTTAATCTACAATTGACTGGGTTTTTGAATGAACTATTTTGGTATGTTTACCTAGTGAACTGCCACTCCTAGACCAGAACTGGTTCAAATGCAGAGGTTGTGCCTCTGAGAACTTACCACCAAAAGGTGACTTCTTTGGGTGGTTGGATATATATAAACACCAACCAAACATTTTGTATATTGAAAAGTCACTATACTAGAGGAACAACAAGGGCAAAAATAATCAATTTCCAAAAGTGTATTGAACATTTCAAGGGTTCAGAATCTTATGAAATGAAGAACTGTCAATAATAATGTATAACGCTAAAAAGGCATAATTGCTATTTATCAATAATTCTGAACATTGACTTCTAATAAAACCAAAGATGTGTGTACAAATGTAATTGCAGCCAATTACTGTTAGTAATGCTACTTTTAATAATGTTATTAGGAAAAGGATTAAATATTAAAAATATTTAGCTTTTATGAAAATTTATATTTAGTTCTATTTTATTATTATATTTTATTTATATATAGATTGAACTATATGTACTTGCTGCATTAGTAAGTCCCAATGGTTGACTATGTCAATTCCATATGATTTGACTTAATTTAACAAACAACATAACAACATGTGAGACATTTCCCTAATAGAGTAGACATTCAGTGAATATTTACTGAATAAATGAAGATAATGTACCAGTAGAGTAGCTAACAAGGAAATGAATTAAGAAGAATAAAACTACATGAGCTCATTCTCTGGCTTCTTGAAATACCTAGCTTCAGTTGTACTTTAATGGATAACTCAGATGGGTAATTTTTAACAACCAAAATGCGCAGTTAGAGTACAGACATAAACTAAGTAAAAACTGCATTATTATTCTTTGTACATTCTTGCTTTGCTTCTCTATTGTCTTAGAGAAGAGCAGAAAATCTGGAGATATTTTTAAAATCATACTTCAGTAGCTTTGGTAGGAATATTCTCATCTATGACGTGAGAATAATTTCTTAATAAACTTTAACTGGAAAGAAATTGCTTATATTGAGAATGCAAAGCCAAGGTCTAGAGAAGAAAGGATGTGATACCACTGCAGGTATTAGAAGACATCATAAGGGTTAGTGATGTTTATTCTACTCTGCTATTATATTCTATATGTGTTTTAAGTCAAATTAAAATTTTTGTTCAAGCTCAATATGAAATCAAAACTTGATCACACAAAAGTTATGGTCATTCATTAATTCAAGCTTTTAACACTGACTATCCTGCAAGAATTAAACATCACATCAATTGCAGGTATGAAGTCCACTTTGAGACCTTAGCTTTATCTTGCTTACAGTACAGTGAAGGAATTAGATATGCAAGATGCTCTGGGACCATACAACAAATTAAATCACAAGTCAACATATTTTCAAATGAAAACAATAAATCACTATCATGTCATGTGGTGATTTTCAATTGACAACATTTTTTTTAAACCAAGCAAATGACTTCTTTGCATGTACTGCTTTAAAAGTTACAAAGGTAGAACACTCAGAGTGGCATAGAGGGGTCTTAACAACTTATCCCTAACTCAAACTTCTTAAAGATGTCATTTCCCGCCACTCATCACACAGGGCTGCAATAATCTAGAAGGACTCTTGTGAGAATATAATAAAATAATGTATCTGAAACTGATTGTGCAGACCTCTCCTCTTTGGGCACATGGAACTTGCTCAGTATTCCTCAAACATAAAATGCCCTATAAGTGCACTAAAAATCCACACCTCTGACTGTGGGTCCTTCTCAAAAAAAACCAAAAAAAAAAACAAACAAACAAAACAAACAAACAAAAAAAACCCTTTAAATCATTCTTTGATTGAATTAGTCTTCATTAAACTACTGAAAGTCAATAAATTATTGAAATATGATCCATCTTTATGAAATTTCCCCTCTCCCTCAGGAAGTACTGTACACATCTGTCTGTGACCACATGTGGTGTCCATCTACTAAAGGCTAATGACACTGTGAGGGTTTGCTAACATATTTGTGTTCCTCAAGGGACCATTACTCGTCAAGGTCAGCGGGAGGAACATATAATATGAATTATATTTAAGGACTTTAGAGACATATAATCTGCTTTCAAAGCATTCCACCAATTTTATTTATTTTCACTGCATTAGCTTTTTTAATGAGGCAACAACGATTTACAACACTACATATGATTTAGAGGTATAGGATCACACCTTTCGGGTGTCTGTTACCACAACACACCCACCACCAATTTTAAACCATATAATTCTAGGTATCAGATCCCTACACAAAAAGCATGGGTAGTCCTTCTCTGTACATTTGTAATAAAGATAAATGAGATAAAGACTTGAAAAATGTTAGTAAAGTAATATTAGACATTAGTATTGAGATTCTTCTGTACCATAACAAGTAGACATGGGGTCTGGCACTGACTGAGCAGATGCTCAGTTTATTTAATGGAGAAGTAACATGATAAGGAAACCAACATATGTTAATTTACAGCACAACAAACAGCTGCTTAAAATTCATAAGTACTCATCCTTAACCAAAATGATTCTCTATCCTCATTTTTATCACTAAGAATCACAACTGCTGCTTCCAGCTTTTAGAAAAAGAAGAAAAGCAGGGAATTCTGCTTTTTTGTTTGTTTTTTGACAACTTGTTATTTTTAAAGAGTAAGAATTCTTTTGTAGAAGGAATACAAATGTTTACTTTGTTGTTGTTTTACCTACCAAAAAGGCTCCAATCCTTTTCAGTATTTAAGAATCTACTTAAACTCATCTTCTATCATGTTTTAAAATCTTAACAATTTCCTTTAATTTCAACAGTTTAAAAAGCCCAAATTCCATAATTAGCTAGCTGGTCTAAAAAGACATGGAAGTAACCCAAGTCATTATTCTGAGATTGTAGAAAACAGAAAGCAAAAGAAACAAAGAAACAAACAGAGGTTAGAGAGAGAGAAATGAGTTAAGAATAACATTTAGCAGACACAGTCCACCCTTTTCAGGAGAAGATGATAATTTTGCAGTAGCCAAATGTGGAGTAATTTGGCTATTTGGCTACTGCTTTACAGGTGACATTCTATATAGAAGAGAGAAAAAAAAGTGAACCAATGAAGTACACAAAAAATTATGACAGAAACAGAAAAGTAAAACTGAAATCAAAGTAAGAACAGCTATTTAAATATTAGAACAGCTATTTAATATAATAACAGCTATTTAAATATTAATAAAATAATGAATTCTAGATTGGCAGAACTAAATTTGAATTTCAAAACTTCTACCTACTATTTATGTATTTTCTCAGTATATGCCTGACTTCTAGATGCACAAAAATAGGTAGTGAGTGAATATCATTCACCAGGTATTAATCTGTCTGAATACTGATTTCTTTACTTTTAAAAGTGTGGAAACAATGATATTCTCACAAGTGGTTGTGGGGACGCTATGAAATCCATACAAACTAGGCCCTATTGCTGCACTGTTAAAAAAAATCAAGAATATTTTTGTTATTATTTTTATAAAGTCAAAAAGCAAAGCAAAAGTTTGTTTACGTTCAAGGCAATAACCAACTAACAAACAACAAAAGCCCTCTTGTTTAACTTGGGATACTAATTTATTTATAGTTGAAATTTTCCAAGTTTGGAGGATTGCTAAAATGGTCACAAATTCTTCTCCTCACCATACCTAGGCCCTTCCAGTATTATTTTAACATTGTGACTTCACCCATCAAAAGCAAAGTCTATTTCTCCACTTCTGGAATCCAAGAGCACCTACATCCTTGTTCATAAACAAAAGCTAGACACAGATTCATAATATCTCCCATTTGTACAATTAACTTTACCAAATCCTGTTATTTCTCCTTTTGAATTATATTCTGTATAAATACAAATTCATATGTTTTCATGATTTAAGCTCTTATTGTATATTTACAAAAGCTATGTAGCTGTTGATATTTTAATCTTCGTAAGACTTTTTTAAAGAAATCTTTTGGCTTCTTTAGAAATATGGGTATCATATTTCCATCTATTTTTAACAGCTTGAAGGTACTGCATTCATATCATGAGAGTTCTAAGGTCATGGGTCAAAACGATTTTAAATAATAAAAATAATACAAAGCATTACCTGAATATTCAAGAAGAGCCAGGAGTATCCTACATTTTACCTCTGCAGAGAAAGAAAACATTATAGCTGTTCAGTCTTTTTCTGTCACTAACATCACATTTTAACTGTGCAATGAAAATTAACTCAATCTTACTATACTGGATAACAAAAATCCCATTCACTCAACATATTGGTCTTGCCTATTTGCCTATTTAACTTCTATCCACTGCTCAAGAGCCTAGAATGTCTTCCAGCTCTGAACTACACAATCCCATGAAACATTCAGATCCCACCACCCCTTATATGTGTTCCTACTTATATGTGTTCCTACTGCTGTTATGGATTATGATCTTGATTAATAGACTGTCCTGCAGTACTTTTTCCTCTTAGTTATTTAAACTGTTAAAAATATGCATATAAAGAGAGATATGCATATATACTATATACAGTTCTATATATTATATCACACATATCTCCAGTTGAAGTTTGTACCACTTATAGGATGACATGTAAATAATGTCATGGAAGTTATTCACCATCAACTTAGACAAATGCTTCTGAAAATGATGCTTAAAAACTAATGATGCAACCTATGAAATTATGTTGATTCTCACACAGACACACATTTTGAGATATTAGGATTTTTTTTAAAAAATCTTGCTCCATGGCTTTTGTAAATCTTTATAAATTCCTCTAATATTATTTCCTATTATAAAATATGAAACTCTCTTCATGGTCAACGTTTCTTATTAAGTATGAGCCTTTATTTTATTCACTGAGACTGTTTTTCATGACACAGTTGACATTATTTAGATTCCTGGAACATGAAGTTCTGCAATGTTCCCCTTCTTTCCATCCTCCTCCCTCACCCTTGTAAATTTTTTTATTTCCTCATAATAAGAAACACTTCAAAAACTATGTAAAGTATTACTGAACTTGAGGTTTTAATGGATTTTAAATGATTTGTTATATGATATTCTTCATTTTTCATTCTGACCTTCAACAAATTTTCTGATGTTCTGAGCAAGACTCCGAACACTGCTGGGAAGATTCCAAGGATCCTGCTTGATATGAAGTCTTAACCTTTTGGGGCAGCTTAACTTTGGTTCCATTTCCTGCTGAAATTCTAAATAAATATACAAAAATCTCTTTAGTCCCAACCATTTACCAAACAGTAAACAAGCTTAAGCTCTGAATCCTCTTTCTTTCACTGATATTGTCTAAGATTATTATCATGATGGTAATTTCTTTAGCTTAATCACAAGAAAAATTTGTTAAATCTAAAAAAAAATCACACCTTAGCTATATCTTCTTACAAATGTTTAAACAGAGGAGCAAGTTTAGATGGAACTCTACCTTCAATATCCTAAACTAGATGTCACAAAGTGATAGGTTGAGATACTGTTCAGCTTGCCTTCCCGTTCTGCCAACTCCTTACCCTACTACTACAAACAAAATGTTTGGTTTCAGTAAAAGCAAATCAACACTTACATCTCTTCAATGAACTTATTTTTATTTGGTCTGAGCATTAGATAATGAAAATTTTCAAAGAAATCTGAAAGCTATAATGTAGATTTTTTTTTTCTTTGGTGGGAACCTCGCCAGCGGCCGGGGAACGAACCGGCTGTGGGCAGCCTTGCAGCCCAGCGCTCAACCGCTGTGCCACTGGCGAGGCCCCTATAATGCTGATTTTTTATGCAATAAATGATATCGAGAGTAGTATTGTGAGTTATGGAACAGAAGCAATCAGAACTTTTCTCTTTATGCTATACATTTACTTCATGACAAGTCTTCCCCTTCCATTTCCCAGTGGCTTCTAACTGTTCTTTTTTAAACCTTACCTTGTAATCCTCGACCTGGTGTGAGATACTTGGTTTGCTCAAAGGCCCTTACAACAGCTTGCCCTTTTAGGAGATTGGTAATGGAATCCACCTATCATAACAGCAGAGAATACATCGCACAATACATAATATATATTTTGAAGACTAAACATTGTAAAATATTTTTTCTTAAGCAACTTTTTTGAAATCCCATGATGCTTATTAAGTCTATTTTTAATCCTACCAAATGTTAATCTTTTTCTTCAAAAAGAAGCAAAAGTTCTAGAGTTGTTAAAAAGAAAACCTAACAGTTATCAGAATCCTTTTCTGAGTGTTAACAACTTCTACACTATGAATGGTTGTTACAGGTATAAAGTTTTTAAAAATACCAAATACCAAGATGTGCCCCAAGACTGTCTTGTACTTTTTAGAACTAGTAATAAAATTGAGCAGAACATGTCATGAAATTCCATGAAGAACAAATAATGAAAAGAATAACCCCATGTATATAACTTCTCATATTTTCCAAATACTGTAAAATATTTGATATTCACAACAATCCTTTGGATTAGTTGGTTGAAGAAATCCTTATTTCCATCTTAAATTGTGGAAATATAGAGTTTGGAGGAAAAGATTTATGAGGACTTTCCAACCTAACTCCAAGTTCTATACCGTGTCTGAAAAAAGGGATCCCTGACTGTTGAGTCGATGTGAAAAATACCCACAACTACCCAATCATACCTGGCTGAAAAGATGCTCCAGGCAACTATGTATCTTGTCTTGTTTATCATGAGAAATGCGAACACTTAGGGGAAGCTCATCACCTACATATTAAGAAAAAAAATACTATTTATCTTATGTTTAATATTCCAAATTATCTTAATATAAATAAAATAAAAACAATTTAACATGAGCTCTTATTCTACACATTAGCTTTCCTGTGTGAAAATACAAATTCTAAAATATTTAATAGTTGTTTTGCTATCAATTTGTTGTCCCTTTGAACAAACAAAAGCAGAAACCCCAGAGAAGACTGCAAGGTCATCTGTTAAGGATTTTTTCAAATGGTTCATTTTTCTAATAGTTGGACAGCTGAAACAAGGCGCATATTTAAAAATTAAGACTTGTCCTACTGGATGAAAAATCTCTGTTCTTAAATAAGATAATCTTGCAATACCCCAAATGAGATAGTTTTAAGATATTCCTATAAGAGTTATCTCACTATTGTTTCCCCCATCACCCACACAGAAGACTAGTGCAGGTGCAGCAGCTACTCTAAAAGTTCCTAGTTTCAAAGACCTTCCCACCATCGCACCAATCCACAATGCCTAATGTTTTAGTCAGACCTATTTCCTATGTACCGCTCATCCTTCATCGTCCATAGGAAGATCATAAAGTACATATCAAGATAAAAATTAGTTTCTTTCATCTCCTTTCAATTCACACTGCTGATAATGAGAATGGAAAACTGACTTTATAGAGCACATAAAACAAAATGCAGCTACTAAGAAGGACTGTTGGAAGGTAAAAGCACATACGGATCAAACAAATGTGTTCTTTAAAAGTGTCTGTAACAGCACTAGCATCAAAAAATACACATGCTTTTACTAAGCGCACCTGAGTCCATTTCATCACTGTGAAAATATGAGCTGCACTGGCTGCTGCAGATGCTGGTGAAGGAGGCAATGGAATTCCGATTGCTGTTGCAGTCACTGAAAGAATAAGCTATATGTTACTCTGCCAAGGTTTCCCTGTCATTTCTAATTAGATAACATACGCACAAGTACATTTATGAATATATCAATGCTTTACAAAATATTATGAGAGAGATATATGTTCAACTCATTTAAAAATGTATTTTAAATTCAATCTTATCTCAAATTTTCTGATGACTTATACTCTAACCATAAATGGATGTTTTAAAATGCAGGTACAAAACTAGGAGTCAAACCAAACTTAAATTTCTTCATAATCTATTTATTTCAGGGCACACATCTATTGCTAAGCTGTTAATCGAAGTCCTGCTTCTGGATTCCTGCCTTTTAGCCCTTTTTTATTTTTTGGTGGGACCCTTGCCGGAGGCCAGGGAACGAACCAGCACTTGGGCAGCCTCGCAGCCCAGCGCTCAACTGCTGCGCTACCAGGGAAGGCCCCTTTCAGCCCTTTTTGAGAGCTTAAATTAGAACTCATCAGTTGCGCTCTAAGCTGCCCCAGGAAGGCCTGGGACCTTGTTGGTACATCAGAGCTTAATCCTATCCTAGTGAGAGCTCAAGAGTGGTGCAGGCGGAAGGGGAGAATACTCAATATGTTCGTGTCTGCATGGGGACATATTATAGCTTTATGAAATATTGCAAGCAACATTTTTTTTTGTTTTTGGAATAAGTAAAAAATATAATTTTAAAGTTACCTTTTAAAATTCTCTTTTAACCTAAAGGGAGATTGTGAGGGTCATTTTCATTAAGATTGTAGAACTTGAGGTAAGACAGCATTTTTTTTTTTTTTTTTTTAGGGCTCACCATTGTTTTATTTATTTATTTATTTTTTAATAATAAATTTTATTTTTATATTCCCCCATACAACTGCACATGCCCCATTCTGACCCCAATCCCTCCCCTCCCGGCCCCCACCCCCCAAAAAGTGTCTCTGGTTCATAGTTTTTTGTTGATTTTGATTTTCACTTTCTTATAGTTATTCATTTTCCTGGTCCCTTATTTAAGTTTTCTAGATTCCTGCTATGAGTGAGACCATCCAGTATTTTTCTTTTTCTTTTTGGCTTATTTCGCTGAGCATGATCCCTTCCAGCGCCATCCAAGTTGCTGCAAATTGCATGTGTTTATCTTTTTTGAATGCTGAGTAATATTCCATGGTGTATATGTACCACATCTTCTTGATCCAGTCATCTATTTTTGGGCATTTGGGCTGTTTCCAAAGCTTAGCTATTGTAAATAGTGCTGCTATAAACATAGGGGTGCAGGTGTTCTTTGGAATTAATGAGACAGCATTTTTAAACGTGTGATTTCCCACTGGAAAGAAACCACAGGTTCCTATTAAAGAGCATATTGGTATCCTGAGAAGCTAAAGGTAAGGAAATGGCAAAAGTAGTTAATTTATGTTAAGTAATTTTAAATCCCTAGATATCACTATCTTGTATTCATTCAAATCCTTCTCACAAAGAAATTGGGAAAGGAGAGTGGTTGGTTAAATGAGTAACTTTCAGCCAGCAGGTAATTATAAAACTGTGGATTTCCTCTGCCTTCCATGTACAACAGAGTAAATATGAGAATCTATCACATCTGGTTGCAGTTGGGATTGTGGGAAACCCCATGTGTCAGATAAAAGTAAGTTTGTCTGTTTACTTGTTAGTTTGTGCTAAATACAGTTGATGAAAATAAATTTGTATTTGTTTAATATCTTTTTGTTTTAAAACACCGTATAAAGAACAAGAGTTTCTGTCTTCAACTAAAGTGAAACGAAAGATACAGAAGCAACACATACAGCATTTATGGTGGGCAAAGGCAGTTCTCAAGGAGGACTCAGGACCAGGAACAAGAGAGAAAAGAGCTCTTTCAGTTAAGGAAATCCATTGGTGGAGTCATCATTTGAGAATCTGGTAGGAAAATGACAACAGACTGTGCAGGGAAAGAGCTTTGAGATTCAAGAGCAAGGGGAGATGGCCGTCGAAAGTCGAGCGATGTCTGATAGAGATTCTTCTCTTACAGCCTCGGAAAGAACCAATCTACTAACAGCTGGATTTCTGACTTCTAGTCCCAGAACTGTATGATAATAAATTCTGTTTTTTGTGCCACTTAGTTCTTGATACTTTGTTAGAGCACTGAATCCCTAACACTTTATTTTCACTTCACCCAGTGGGAAGAAAATACTCATTAAAGGAACCACAAGCCTCACATTCTTGGCAGGAAATTTTAGCCCATTACTTGATAATTAATACTTATCTATATGATAAAAAAAAAAATTTAAATCTTTTTCTTTGTTCCTGTTTCTATACTGCTGCAGCCAGATAGCCAATAAAGCTAACAGAGAGCTTTTTAAAAAAAAGTATATATGTCCGTGAAAATTCCCATGCCTAGACTGAAGAGAACTTTAAATTTCTAGGTTCATGACAATAAAGGTTTATTATTTTTAAGATTATAATATCACTACTGTACATTGCAACAACTCTAAACCCCACAACCAATAAAAATAATGGAGGTAATGGTAGGAATCCAAGTCTTTTAGGGGCCTCCCTGGTGGCACAAGGGGTAAAGACACACCTATGAAGATATCTGCAGCCACTGCAGCATAAGTTCGATTCCCTGGCAGGCTAGGGAGGTGACCCACATGGCACAGCAGACTTCTGACTTGCCCGCTGCTCCCCTCAGCAGTGTATTTCAGTAGAAATGCCTGTTCTGTTCCCCACTCTGTCTCCAGTGAATCCTCTCACCCCCACACCTCTGGCCTGTACCCTGATTCTTGTATACATAAATAAATAAATCTTTAAAAAAAACACACACACAAAAGTCTTTTAACCCACTCTTGAGCTTTTTATGGACTGGATTATTTACTCATATGATCTTCCTAACTAAAATTATATTTCATACTTTGTTCAGTGTTAGATAAGCCAGATTGGATATGAAATGTAAAAACATAATCTCTGATGATTATTAAAAACTAAACCATACAGAATAAATGATAGTCCAATAGACTATTTCTTAAAAATGTGAAATATGGTATGCTTTTTTTTTTTTAAAGAGGCATGTATTTTTATTTATTTATTTATTTATTTGTTTGTTTGTTTGTTTGTTTGTTTGTACATGCACTGGGTACAGTCAGAAGCGCGGGAGGGCGAGAGAATTCATCAGAGCCAGAGTGGGGAGCAGAGCAGGCAGAAGGACTGAAGTACACTGCTGAGGGGAGCAGCGGGCGGCAGGAGAGGTCTGCGCACCATGCGGGACCCTCCTCCGGTGGTGGCCGGGGAGCAGCCGGGGATCCAACCAGCGCTGCAGAGGCCGCGGGCAGCTTCGCAACCCAGCACTCAACCGTTGCTACACCGGGGAGGCCCGAAATATAGTATGTTTTTGTATTTCTTTACTCATATTTTTGGGGTGAAGTTGTAATAACTTGGAAGAGAGTAAAGATCTATCTTTCATTTTCTTAACATCTCAAAGAATAAAACTGGTGATGATTAAGAAAAGGAAAATGATTAAACAAGTAAGCAAAATAACTGATAGACAGGAGCACTGGCTGCGAAGGAAATATACATTAGTTATTATAAATAAGGTGAACATGGGTATTCGTAAACTACATAAATCTAAAATGATAGAATATACTTAATACATTTTCACTTTATGCAAAACTGAATGATGTAAATATCCCCAAATAAAATTTCTTCAAAACATCATATATTTAAAAGATTAAGAGGTCAGTAAAATGTGTATTCTACTGCCATGCTATCTGGAAACATAAAAAATATCTGCCACTTTTCATTAAGATTAACTTTGTTATTGTACCTATTTTGAGTTATGCCAGGTCAGCAGAAATATGTCCCTTTTTCCACTGACCTCCATCTATTGGGATTTGGGGATACCAACTCAAATAACATAGTTTTGGATCCTGAGGGTCTCCCAGTCCAGTTAATATAGGGAGAAGTTGATTATTTGCTACACATGTTACACAATCCATATTAGAGCAACAAGTCTCCCAAATTAGGTCCATGTAACTGAAGAAAAAATACTTTTCCAAATTACTCAAATTAGAAAAGAAGAGAATTTGAATGATTAAGCTGTCTCACTTTGATTTGCCTGGGGTCGGTAAAAGCTGGCGGTTATTTTGCAAGAGTAATAAAAAAAAACAATAAAAAACATTCTGAGACCTTTATGGAAAATGAGGAACCACGTTTGACTTTCTTGACAAAATGGGTTTAAGAATGAATGAATTACCTGTAAGAGTCTCTGTTGCTGATGGTGTCATGACCTGAATCTTCCTGCTCATCTCCTGCTACATTAAAACAGACTCGTTTGCTATTTCGTTCTCCTTTTTCATTGTCACTATCTGCTGGAACTATGCACTCTGAGGTCTTCCGTTCTAATTTTGGAGAATAAGTTATCGAAGACAGAAGGCTGCAATATAATATTAAGAATATTTTAAGCACATGTTTTCAAACTGGCTGCTACAGATGACAACTCACCTGTTGCACATTATAGACAAGAGTGCTTCCATGTGTCACATGAATTAAGTATCCCACTGCACAAAAGAAAACTGTCACACAAAACACATTTTTCCCTCTCAGAATAAGTAATAGAAATAGCACACAATTTCAGACCAGAAGTTGTGTTCAGATTCTAGTTCTGCCATTTATTAGCAAAGCTATGATAGCTTTGGCAGAGAGCCATGAAATGGGGATAATAAGAAGTGCCCATGGTGAGATGCAATAAGAGCAATATATATATTGGTATTTATGGTCACCCCCTCCTCCCCTAGCCATCATCACTGCTCTCACCAACATATGAACATACTTGGGAAAATTTAAAGTGCCACCAAATACTAAAACAAACTCTTTAATATCCTCACAGGTGTACCCTTCGGATATTAAAAACCCACTTACACATTTATCCCTGACTTGGGCTTCTCCCAGACATCTTTTGTTTGACAGGGAGAATATCATGCTCACACAAACCGGAGTCCTGGGCATCATGATCATAAGATGCTAAGTGGAGGTACACAAAACGTCAGAATAGGAGGCAACAGGAGTTACCTCCATAACATCCACAACCAGTCACGAACAACTGTCACAGATCTGATGAAATGAAGGACTCTTCCATTTGGCTCAAGGCTTAAATGCCACCTTCAGATTGGTGTAAAACTTAATGAAGACTCTGAGTAGCACTGATTATACTATTTCAATACTTGAATGTTCAGTGTGAACTGTCTTAATCAAAGTCTCACAAAAATGGAATCAGATTTTACTATCAAACAACATGCTATAAAACTTGCAAAACAAATTTTACTATATCTAAACAATCATCTTCTCATTTACCAACAATCTTCTTCTCATTTGCCAAATCCTAAAAACATTTTGTTCTTATGAAGAACACAAATGCACCTATCTCAACATCCATTTTCCAAAGCACTGTCATATTTGTATTGTTCTTTCAAGACTATGAAAATTTCCTTTGCTTATATATATATCCCATAATGCCAAACCCAATGCTGCGTCCTGAGTAAATATTTGTTAAGTGATTTCACTAAGTCATTAAACATATTCATTGTAACATACACTATTCTTGGTACTGTGGACACAGTCATTTACAAAACAACAAAAGCTCCTGACCTTTTAGAGCTTAATTCTACTGGGGAAAACAAACAATAAATGAGTAAGCTGCACAGCATATCAAGTATGACAAATGTTAAGGGGAAAATTAAAAAGGAAGGAAGTCCTTTTTTAATTCCTAAAAAAGAAAGGAATCCTGCACCTTCAAATAGTTTAATAAGAGAAGGTCTCACTGGGAGAAACTATTTAAATAGTTTTGCTTTTTATAGTTCTTTGGTACCTATGAAAATCAAAGGACACTTTTATATTGTGCAAGGTCCTGTGACCATTTTCAGTGGCTGAAAGCTATGAATGATTTTAAGTGTAGTTTTTTCTATTTAGAAAGATACTTTTATGTTGCTTAAAACAGACTGTGTATTTATTCACTCCCTATACCCAAAAGATTAAAACATTAGACTAATTCTAATTACCCAAGCTCCACACTGCACAGATAGATGCACTCTGAATACCAAAGAGGGAAGAGACACAGGAGTTCTCATTTTGCAAGGAGTCCTCTGTGCTGTATGTATCTTTTAAATTAGAAGTCATGGGGTTAAGCATAAACATTTTCTCAAAGTTTTATGAATTGTATCCACATATTCGCTTTTCACTTTCAACAAATGCAATCATGCTTGTACTGACTCTGTGGGAACAAGTATTAGGCTAACAAACAAGCGATAGAAAACCGTGTTTTTGACATCATGTTTTGTATAATATTTCCAGATTTTTAAGCAATAATAAAGTAATATTTGTGCATGCAGAAGTATTTTCCTTTATTTTTTCTCATATATGCTATTAAGGTACCTACTATAGATCCATTAATACTCAATTAAAATCCTTAGCATCATGCCATTCCAGGTCAATCTCTTTCTAATGCCCTTGAGGAAGATTTTTTTAATATGGTATATTGTATCAATCTATGTGTTTTTCTATTAAATTGAGATTTAAATATTCTTATCATCTTCAACAAAGCTAACATTGGCTGAGTTCTTTAGACAGATACTGTACTAAGTAAATAACAGGTATTCATTCATTCATTCTCTAAAATCACCTTATTAAGTTAGTGTCATCATAACCATCATCATTTATAATTACTATTGTAATCATCCCCTCTTAAAAGATGGGGAGAATAAGATGCTGGCATATGCACATACTTTGCAAAGAAAAGTCAATAGATTAACAAAGACAGACAAGGTGAACCATTGCCAGCCAGTGCTGGGTACTTAGTGCTTTAGAGGAGAATCCCCCTCCTGAACAGACACCCTCAGGGGAGGAATGTGGTCATTGGTGTATCTACCACATCCCAGTTGTCCTGGGTAAGTGACTGGAAGAACCCCCCCATACTGTTAGGATGGAATGACCATGGGGTTGGCTTTCACTAATGCAAAGTGCAGGCATGAAAAAAGGGTTCCTTCTAGGTGGAAGCCTTTAACCTAGGGTGCTTCATTTCCTCAACTTTGTGAAAATTAGAGATGTTCCAGTAAATGGGGGATCTGCCAGCCTAGACTCCGTGGTCAAGACCATGTGAAGCTGAGACCCTGTGACCCGAAGGGGCATAAAAAGTAAGCAAGGAGGAAATCTTGTTGTAAGTTTGAAGCTGTAGAGATTTTGTTGATATAATGATAAAGGAGGTAAAATACAGTTGCATCGAAAGTAGATATCTAGAAATCCATGATATGGGTGACTAGAACACAGGAGTATTTATAATTAACCCTTGAACAATACAGGTTTGAACTACATGGGCCCATTAAATTGCAAATGTTCTTGTAAGCAGATAACAAACTTACAGTAGCAATAAATACAGTATATTATTATAAATATATTTTCTTTTCCTTATGACTTTCTTAACATTTTCTTTTCTCTCTCTTACCTAATCATAAGAGTATGGTATAGCACATATCCTACTAATCGGAGGATTTAGTAAAACATCTACATATTAAAGAAGATTGTATTCCTAGGAAGTTTCCCTAGTGACAGGATAACCAGACTCACGATAAGACAAGCTCAGCGACAGTCCTTTTTACAATAATGAAGACTTCTAGCAAGGTTAGAAATGAGAAGCTGTGAGGCAATATCTCCTAAAATTTGGCAAAACATCTAAGATCTGTTTCTCCATTCTGACCAAGAATAATTACTACATGATGAGAAAATTGCTTGGTATCCAGCTTTTTAAATAATTTGTCAAGCTCAACTGAACTGTAGAATCCAGGCATGTGGACAATGGCACTATCCTAAAATGATTATATTGCACATCCAATTACGTAGAACATATTTATATTTAGAATTAAATTACATGGTACACTCAGTGAAGACCAATGAAACTTCTAAAATCATTTGCTCATTTCATGTCACTTTCCACATAACATGAATAGTTGGGTAAAAGCTTTTAGAATGAGTGAGTATCTTAAGCAAAGATAGGTGATCATTTTAAGTGGGTTTGGTTAATAAAAATAGCTTAATTCTTTTCTGTAACTGGAGCTTTAACTATAAGTGAAGGGAGCCCCTGGGCTCCAATTGTTTTTCTTAAAAATATATCTACATAAGCTGAACATCAAAAGAAAAGTCAATAGATTAACAAAGACAGACAAAGCCTGGACCATTGCCAGCCAGTGCTGGGTACTCAATGCTTTAGAGGAGAGTTCCCAATGCAGTCTATACACTGGCACATAAATAATCCTGCCATTGACAAAGGACTCATCTGAAAAGGGGAGCAATAACTCTCAGCCTAACTGGAAGTGAGGGATTGGTCCAGATGTTCTACTAAAATCCCTCTGAGATCTAGCATACATGATTTATTGCCATTATTTATTACCTCAGTAATTAAGATTCTTTCTCTATGCGCTTTTTAATTTTTTTAGGAGAACAAAACCTGCTTTCTAAAATAGAATATATAGAATACATATATATATTCTATTCTACACACATACACATTCAATTTAGTAAAGAAAGCAAAATAGAATGTCATAAAATGTTAACTTCTATGTCACAGATCATTTTTTTTAAAAGTTAAATTATCTTACAATTACTTAAAAATAGCCACTGATTCTTCTAGCAACCTCAGATTATTTAATTCATCTATAAATGGGGCAAACATTAACGAATACCCCAAACATTAAAGAAATATAATACCCCAAATATTAGAGAAACTTAAAAAAAACTACTGTACTAGACACAGGAAAACAGAATTTTAATTCTAGATTAACTCATAAAAGCCAGAAAAAAAGTAGTATAGTAAATAATAAATATTTTAAGACTATCCTAGAAATATGATACATCTCATATGGTGGTTTTGATCTTTAAATGTCAAAGATAAATAAGAGTCCATGCCAATTAAGACTTCATTAGTATAATATTTAATTATAACATAAGCTTAGAATATGATCTCAATACTTTACGTCAAAACTGAATTACCAGGCCCCCCCTAGTGGCACAGCAGTTGAGCGCTTGGTTGCGAAGCTGCCCGCAGCCTCTGCAGCGCCGGTTCGATCCCCAGCTGCTCCCCGGCCACCGGAGGAGGGTCCCACATGGCGCCCAGACCTCCCCTGCCACCCGCTTCTCCCTTCAGCAGTGTACTTCGGTCCTTCTGCCTGCTCTGCTCCCCGCTCTGGCTCTGGTGAATTCTCTCACCCTCCCGCGCTTCTGACTGTACCCAGTGCTTGTATAAATAAATAAACGAACAAATCTAAAAAAAAGAATGTTAGGATTTTTTATATTTTATACTTTTCTTTTTTAAAAAAAGATTTATTTATTTATACAAGAACTGGGGTACAGGTCAGAGGCGTGGGAGGGTGAGAGAATTCATCAAAGACAGAGCAGGGAGCAGAACAGGCAGACAGACCAAAGACACTGCTGAGGGGAGCAGCAGGCGAGGCAGGAGAGGTCTGCAACACCATATGGGTTTCTCCCTGGCTGGCCAGGAATTGAACTCGCATTGCAGAGGCTGCGTACAGCTTCACAGCGTGGCACTCAACCTGATGCACCATCGGGAGGCCCCATATTTTATATTTTTCATGAGCATCCTACTGAATGCATATACACCAATTACTATGTTCTGTCCTGTAAAGGCTAGAAGGATATCCCTCACACATTTAATACTCTTTCAATCCTACTTTGCAGTTTAATATTTTTACTCTGAGACTTATTTAGTGTTTTCTAGAAGATATAATTTTGTCATTCTTTTCCATTGTAGTAAATGTTTCCTTAAATTATATATCTATAAGTATTTGTCATGTTTTATCATTTTAAGGTGTTTGAAGGAAAAGGATCTATGTGGTCAGCAAAAAACAAAAGCAAAAACCAACCCATTCCAAAATAGAGAATGCTAGATGCTCAGTAATCACATTTTCTACAGCTGTTTTAATTGTCACATTTAGAAGTACAGTAAATAAAATACTTACTCATCTATTTGACAAACACACATCTCCACCTCTTTCAGGGCAGTCTGAAGTTTGCCCAGCAGTTTCTGATAGATATCTTGGGTTTCCAAATCTTCTTCTTTTAACAAATACCAGAGACCACGTCCATCCTGCTGTCCCAGAGACAGACCTGAAGGGGCTGCCATGGTTGTAACTGTATGCTGAATGTACACCATAGGGCTCAGTTTCCCTGAGGAGTTAAAATCATTCCATAGTAATATTTACTACCTTTAACTTAATAGTAATAATCCAGTGCAATTCATTTCAGAGTTCTAAGCTTACATAAAATTCCAACCCAATGTTGAATTTAAATTCAGGAATTAAAGTCTTTGGGGAAGCCACTAAAAAGTTACTACAAAGAATAAATGAGTACAGTAATGTAGCAGGCTACTAAGTCAATATACAAAAATCTGTCGTGTTTCTGTATACAATGGACCTGAAGAAAAAGTAATTAAGAAAACTATGGAATTTATAATTATATAAAAAAGAATAAAATAAAATACCTAAGAATAAACTTAACAAAGGAGGTGAAAGTAATGCACACTAAAAACTATTAATACATTGTTCAAAGAAATAGAAGACATAAAAAACAGAATCCCAGCTCATGAACTGGGAACATTATTAACAATGTTAAAATGGTCATCCTACTAAAGCACTACACAGAGTCAGTGCAATCCCTATCAAAATTCTAGTGGCATTTTTCACAAAAGTAGAATAAACAATAGAACAAACATTACAAACCAAATTTGCATGGAACCAGAAAAGACCCTGAATAGACAAAGCAATACTGAGAAAAAAGAACAAAAATGAATCAATATGCTAAAACTGGACAAAGACTGCAATAAGATGCTTGAACATGAAGCCAAATCTTACCAAGCAGGAAAGGAAAAGGAAAAGAGAATTGAGAAGATGCAGGAATAATTTAATCTCATACAGAGCTTTCATTAGCAATTATAATTGTTAAATTTTTAAAAATAAAGCTTCTGGGGAGTTTTGATTAAAAGCTAAGAACACAGTTGGGGTCCATGTCCTAAGATGCTGATACAGAATGACATTATGCATCCCTTGCAGCTGCTCCTCCTATACATTTCTCATAGTGATAGAGCCTTTGCAGATTAATGATTTTCACAGCAAAATGAGCTGTGCTTATCACACAACTATGGAAGGCAAAAACATTCTTAGAGGAAAAATTGCAAAAGTACTAAACTCCATTTTCATTCTATAAACACTTTGGCAAACTATCCAAATGATTATAGTGTAGAAGTCGTTTTTTAATTGAAGTTCAGAGTTGCTATCAGATTTCAAGGATACAGGAATAGGTATGATTGCATAAATTACTTTCCTTGATATGATAAAGTTTAAAAAGCCATCTTACCTTGCTCAGAAGATTTATTTTCTTTATCATGAGAATTATGCTTCCTACTATCCAACTGAACACCAAATGCACTCCCCAGGGAGGTTGATGTTTTGGGATAAGAAACTTCCATCACATTGACATGGCAGTTGGTTGGACAGAAATCACTGCTGTGCAGTGGGGAGATTTTAGATTTAGCTTGTTTAAATGTGGGCCAGGCTCTATTCTTTAGCACACGAGAAAACTGTAAATTAAAGAAGAAATAAAAGCAGTTGAACTCAGAGATAAGTCAAACATTTCACCTCCCTTATTCATAGCAAAAATCAAAAGAAAATTAAATCATGCCAACTGGAAGGAGTGAAATAAATTACAAGTTGTTAGAAATTAAATTACTTTAAAACCCACACATTCTTAATAAAGCAAAGCAACAGAGATGGCAAACGGCTATGATTTCTTTGAAATTCTGATTGCAAGTTAAGGGCTAGAAGGAATTAAATTAAATGACCAGTACCACTTACTAGGACTCAAATCCACAGGCTCCTAGCAGCTGAGAGAGTAATTGGTGTCCTGGGACACCAAAATAGGAATTCAATCTTTATAAAGTGTAGCAAGGTGGCACGATAGGGTAGCTGTCAGATGAGGGTAGAAGAAGATGGTATTACTCCAAACAATGTCAGAACTGGTTGACCCAGAATGGCAGAAGAACAGGCAGAACCAACTGCACTTTGCACTCCTCTTGCTAATCAACACTGAGCACTTGAGTCAGGATCAGCCCAAACACTGGTGTGGACTCTGCTTTCAAGCCACTGAGAATTTTCACAATTTCTGATGCATCCACTCTAACTCTGAAAACTTTGTCATGGGTTTCCTTTAAAATCTAACTAATCCTTGCATTGGTCTATACTGCTGCCCAAAGTCTGACTGTCATCTGGTTCATCAGCTCAAGCTCACTCCACCTTGCTCCTTGTTCTCCTTCTGTCCTTCACTCAGTTCCTCTCATACGCCTGTTGTTCACTCTGCCTTTGTACATAGACTGGTCAGAGTGGAAAGAAAGCTCTTCTTCCCTCATTGTCAAACTTACTCCTATGTGTTTTCAAGTAATGGGATCATCAAGAGGCCTTTTCTGCCACATGAAAGGGTTGGAGAGAGAAAGAAGAACCACATAGGATAATGTTCATGAGTCATCAACAAGAAAAGACAAATAATTATTTTAAATACATATGTAAGTGTGTTAGTGTGAAAAAACAACTGCTGAAGAGTGGAACAAGATCAATCACAACAATGCTATAAGACCAGGAATAAATGAGAATATTTAATGAGTGAGCTTTGGCAAAATATAGGTCACTGGTGACCTTAAAAAGCCATTTTAGTTACACAGAGTGGACAGGAGAGTTGAGAATAAAAGGTGAAACAGGTATAGGCAAGAAGGAGGTAGAGGTAACTCTTCCCAGAAGAGAAATCAAAGAAATGTAACAATAGGTGGGGAAGAGTATGAGGTCACGGGAAACAGCAACTTAAAAAAAAAAAAAAAACAAGTAAGTGAACTACAATATATTTATATATTGACAGAAATAAACAATCTTAGAAAGGGAACTTCAGGTTTATAATGCACTAGATGCTAATTCATTATTGAGCATGACAACACATTTAAATCTAATTTTAGCTACTAGACTGAAAATCAAAAATAATACAGGCAAACAATTATTTTGCAGATAGTCTCTGATTTCAATAAGGTGTGAGATCTCACTGACATGGAGTTACAAAAACTTTATATCGGGGAGAGGTCATAGGGAGATGTTTTACACACATTTTCTAATCCATGTATCATTACAGAAGTATGTGGCATTAATAACTAAAGGAAGCTTCCTGGCATATTCAAAATAACACTTTGATTCCTTCATGTAATATTTTTATGAAAACAGGAACTATCTCTTGGAAGCTCATTAAATATTTATGTTGAGGAAGTATCTCCAATATTCAAAATAAGCCAAATGATGAACTTATTTTAAAACAGAAAAATGAATCTAGAATAAAAGGTTTCTAGAAGCCTCCCCGGTGGCACAAGGAGTTAAGACACAGCACTGTGAAGCTGTCCACAGCCACTTCAGCACGAGTTTGATCCCTCCCCAGGAAGGTGACCCACATGGCACAGCAGACCTCTCCTGTCTGGCCCGCTGCTCTGCTCAGCAATGTATTTCAGTCAATCCGCCTGTTCTGTTCCCCGTTCTGTCTCTGATGAAATCTCTCACCCCGCACACTTCTGGTCTGTACCCCAGTTCTTGTATGCACAAATAAATCTTTTAAAAATATAATAAAAGGTTTCTAGATAAAATTTAGGCTAAGAAAGATCCTCCAAACAGCGCATAGTTTTATATCTGAACCGCCCCTGCACACTGCTCCACAAGAATAAATGCTGGCTTAAGTTTCATTCAATCTCCAGTAAGAGCTGAACTTTCCTTATACATGTGCCTAAAAACATCTGTGGCCTGTACCACTAGCCAGGAAGTCTATTATGATTGCAACAGCCAGACTATAGAAACTGTAGAAATCAACTCATTTCTATTTTTAAAACCTAAAACTTTTATTAGAGTCAAAATAGAGGAAAGCCAGCCTCTTTGAAATTTCAGTTTCTATGGATACATTTTATTTTACAGAGAGAGGGGTGTTTGAAGCCTTCATCGAAAAGACAAATATGCTGTTAATAATAGTTTAGAAGTAAATATGTGCAAATTAAAAATATAAATTCACAAATGCTATAGTTTCTGTTGACTTTCACTGATACATAAATAGAGATAGCCTTCTATGACCTTTTAAAGCTATTATCTCAGAAATTTAATTCTTGTTCCAAAAGAGAAGATACTTAAAATAGTTTTTTGCTAACTTTGTTGCTCTATCTAAAGAGAATCCAATTATTCTAAATACGTCCATGGTCAAGAAGAGACATAGGAAAGAAACAGCTTTTGAAGCACTTAGGTCCTAAATGACTAACTATGAAGTTTCTTTTTATTTCTATATTAAAAATAAAAGTGAGATAATTTTCCATAGGACTGATATCTAGTCTACTGATTGCCAGCTATGTGACCTTAAGTCATTCTTAATCTTCCTGAGAAAGAAGCAGGATAAGTAGTATTCAGTACATATGCTATTTACACTTCAAACAATAATAATGTACCAATATTTTATCACCTAAAATCAATGCATTAAAAGTTCTGCAGTTACTCCTGAGTCAGTGAAAGATACTTCCTATCAAGAAATTTTGGGGAAATCCCTAACATTTTAGTGGAAACATTATACCAATTCTTCTAATCACCCTGAACACACACACACCTCAAACTATACTTTTGTTAGAATCCAAGGAATGAAACTTTCTTCATCTGCTATAATCAATTTCTCATAAATCTGCATAAATTTTAAATTCTACACAAAACATGAACTAGTCCCTTTCTATCTCCTATGCTTCTACTTGAGTCCAAATCACCATTAAGTTACATGTCCACAGGTAGAAAAGACAGCTTACTAACACCTCCATGAGGATCCCAGGAAGCTTTTAAAGGAGAGACGGACAAGTAAAGAAACAATAACCAATTTTAGATTATAAGGGAGAAAGCTCAGACTCCACTACTGTCCCCATCTGGTGCCTTTGGGCAAGTTACTTGACTACTCTGAGGTTTGGTCACTTTACCAATGTATATATCCTATCACTGTGTAGGTAAGAGAATACAATATATGAAAATGTAAAATATCTCATGCAATGCTGTGTACCTGGTAGTCAAGTGCCACAAACCAGTGTGTGCTACCTGACTATCATATAGACCACGAGTGAGGGGTCAGCATGTTCAATCATGCCTGGGGGCAGCTCCTAGTAGGTGAAATAGTCAATATTATTATCACTTACTTCATGTATTGACATTTCTAGTTTGTAAATGTTGGATGAAAGATGCCTTCTGACTTAAGTTTCTATTGTCTACACAAGAAGCATATATTCAGTACTCCTTCCTGCCCCATTCCACAACATTTTGCTTTCATGAAATTGAGTTCTTGACCTATGCTATTGATTTTCATTAGCATTAAAAATATCTGCCATGAGGATGTGGAGAAAAAGGAACTCTTGTCCACTGCTGGTGGGAATGCAAAATGGTCCGACTACTATTGAAAGCTCTATGGAAGATCCTCAACCAATAGAAATGGAGCTACCATATGACCCAGCAATTCCACTCTAAGAATATACCCAAAGGACACAAAAACATTAATTGGAAAGGAAACCTGCACTTCCATGTTTGTTGCAGCACTATTTACAGCAGCTAAGATATGAAACAACCTAAATGCCCAAAACCAGATGACTGGATCAAGAATACACAGTGGAATTCAGTGTGGAATGCACAGTGGAATTCATTGCTATTCAGCAATCAAAAAGATAAAACTCTATCACAGCACTATTTACAATAGATAAGCTATGGAAACAACTCAAATGCCCAAAAATAGATGACTGGATCAAGATGATGTGGTATATATACACAACAGAATACACACACACACACACACACACACACACACACACACACACACACACACACACTGGAATATTACTCAGCAATCAAAAAAGAGAAACTCATGCGATTTGTAGCAACATGGATGGAGCTGGAAGGGATCATGCTCAATGAAATAAGCCAGAAAGAAAAAGAAAAATAGCAGATGGTCTCACTCACAGGAGGAATTTAGAAAACCTACATAAGGGATCAGGAAAAAAGACTAATTATAATAAAGTAAAAATCAAAATCAACAAGTAACTATAAACCAGAGACAAAACAAGGGTGGTGGGAATTGTACGGGACTATAACCAAGATGAAAATGCATACATTGTGCAAAAATGAAAAATGATGTAAAAAATATACAAAATTAAAAAACCAAAAATCAAACTTGTACAAAAATTGAAAAAAAAGAGTCAGTTTGGTGCTGGAGTTTATGCTCATAAATAAAATATATTCTGCCTCTCAGACAAACAAGTTTGATGGAAAAAAAAGATAAACTCATGGCATTTGAAGCAACATGGATGGAGCTAGAAGATATTATGTGCAGTTAAATAAGTCAGAAGGAAAAAGAAAATTATCGGATGGTTTCACTAATAGGAGGAACATAGGGAAACCAAACAAGGGATCAGGAAAAAAAAGACAAAACTAGCAGTCAAACTGTAAATCGGAGACATTCAGCAGGGGAGGAGGAGCAGAAGGGATCAAAACAGGGGAGGGAAGAGCACAAGAGACTATGGTGATGGTGCACAGGTGAATTGGTGGTGGTATTTTATGGGGGTTACACCGATAGGAGAAATCAAACTTATACAAAAATGAACAATGATGTAAATACACACACACACACACACACACACATACCATATGAAACAAATTGCTGCTACTTATCCAGACATGTTTATGGGCACTGTCCTGACATTTCTTGATGTCACCAGTTTGAGACTTTTCTAATAGTACTCTATCCAAAAAAAGCTATACTTTCCTTAAGAAACAAAAATATCACAGGGGTACTGATAAATACATAATAGATTGTTTTCCTTTTATTCTGGTCAGTACACTGAAGGTCAAATATAGTATTCCACCTTAGCAACTAAATAAAGTCTTAAAATCTACTTACCAATAACCTTTAACCCCTGGGGGGATGGTCTATACCATTTATTCTGATACCTGTTTACCTATAAACTAATCTGCTAATTTTCCTCAGTATCCATTCTCTCTTTTTCCTTTCAGTAAGGGAATTCTCTGAGTTTTATTCACATGATGCCCAGTTTGAGACTACATTCCCATGTCTCTTTCAATAAATGACTAATGGGACATGAACTGCAGTGATGTGTTCAACTTCCAGATCATGTCCTCAAAAGGAAGCTCCTTACCCTCCTTTTCTTTTTTCCCCTTCTGAGGTGCTATAACTTAGACATGGTGATGATGCCCTATTCCACTAAACTCCTGTCCAGTTGGACTTTTATGTAAGTGAGAAATAATATTTCTATCTTATTTAAGCCGATGTTACCTTGTCCTTCGTAAAACAGTCAATTCAATACCCTAACAATCAGCCCTGATCCTATGCTTTATTTCTATAGTTAACTTTTTCCATGTATATTTCTTCCATCATTTCACTGTTTTTGTTGTGTAAATGACTAGAGAGAAGAAGATAGGATGAAAATCCAACAGAATGACACACACAGTGACAAGACTGACAACCAGAAACAAACAGCTCTATCTCTGAAGTAGGATGACTCTCTGCTTCAAAATGCGTTCAAATGGGGAACACTAATTTGCATTTGTTTATAGGTTTTAAATTTTACTTCAAAGCACTGTCACATCTTATAAAGAAAAGACAAGTAAAAAGAGAATCTTCAGTCCTTCCAGTTCAACAAGACACATTCATAGCATCTTTCTGAACTCATATAGTTGAGCTAAGCAACCACGGAAGGAAGATGAGTTGATGTGACAGGTAAGGAGCGATCCTGAATATCATTTTCCTATATGTGAAGGTATTTATAAAAATTACAACAGCAATACATATTTAACTTAACAAGTCAAAGACTATTAGAAGTTCCTGAAGCAAAAACTAGCGGTGCCTCTTGCCCTTACCCCACTCTACCTGAGGTAACCAAATACTTGGCACTCATTCATATATTTTCTTACAGACACATCTATACATAACTAGACTTATTTTTTAATTACTATTCAGGAGCATAAAACATACTCAGTTAACTTATAAATACTGAGATAAATAGCATTTTCTAGTATGGTTGTACCAAATGTTAAGCAACAAGTCTCATATTAAGAAAAAATAATTTAATAATCTGGTATTCTACTTTGTAAATAGAAAAAAAAATAAACCTGCTGTAGGATATGATTTGGAGATCAACTTCTATTAATTTTACTTCTAAAATATGTCCATAAACCCATTTAATTATCTGTCTCTCATCTTCACCATAATCCAAGTTATCACCTGACTATTATAATAGTTTCTCACTCACCTCCCTTTGCAAATCATTCCTATAGAGGAGCCAGACTGATCTTTCAAAACCTTAATCAGATGCAGTCATCACTATTTAAAAGTTTCCAATTATTTTTATTGGTATAAGAAGAAATTCCAAGCTCCTTCTAAAGTAAGGTAGCAGGTTTCCCCAGCTCTCCCTACTTACTGCCTAAGCCTCCAACCAGGCATTAGTCACTCTTCCCTGGCCATTCAGGCTTTCTTTTTTGCTGTGGGACCTCAACACTAGATGCTCCATCTACCTGGAGGTTGTCCCATTCCAATATAAATGAAATTTTCTACTTGCCATTCAGATACAAGTTTCCTCAAAGAGGCTCTTCCTACCCACCCAGTCTAAAGTTGCCATCCTAGCATTTCCCACTGTATCTCCCAATTTTTATTTCCTCCTAATATTTTTCAATATTTAGTTTTATACCTTTGTAAAGACTTATTTACTCTTTGTTGTTCCCCCATTCTAAAATAAGCAGTATGAGAGAAAAAAATCTCTCGTTTATTGTCATAGTCCTGCCACCAATAACAGCATTTGGCACATAAAAGCTGTTCAATAAGTATATGTCAAATGAGTGAATCAATCGATTTAGTCTGTATGTCATGTACTGAAACATGACTGATGGTTGATTCTGATTGATGGTTCTTTCCCTTTTGTTGAGAGAAAAGGGAAAGAATAACTACAGTGTAATTTAAATTTTACTTCAAATTAGGTGATATGGGTTTAAATTTCAACCCCATTTTTTTTTCAAAGATTTGTTTATTTATGCATACAAGAGCTGGGGTACAGGCCAGAGACACACAGGCCAGAAACACACGGGGGTGAGAGGATTCACCAGAGACAGAGTGGGGAACAGAACAGGCAGGCAGACTGAAATACACTGCTTATGGGAGCAGCAGACGAGACAGGAGAGGTCTGCTGTGCCATGTGGGTAGCTCCCTGGCTGGCCGGAGATCAAACTCGTGCTGCAGAGGCTGCGGATTGCTTCACAGTGTGGTGCTTAACCCCCTGCGCCACCAGGAAGGTCCCTCAACCCCATTCTTGACTGATAAGTAATTGAATTCTTTAGGCCTCAGTTATTATATTTGGAAAATGTGGAATAATAGCTTATAGGTATGTAAATATCAAATAAAGATGTAAAATATTAAAATTTGTATAAATGTTATTATTTCAATAAACTAGTATGTAACAAATCTGTAATGAAAATAGCAAGAATTGAATCAAATTTTGAGCAGATGAGGTGGTCGAATGGTTAAGGTGATGAATCAAATCTGACATATAAAAAAATAAATAATAATCACACAATATAGATACAAAGAAACATTACCTTCTTATAACTGGATATTCTCTGACATATATGCTCAACTTTTTCACTGCAAATAGCACTGAATTTACTTTGAAGATCAGTAGGAATCACTTCATTTAAAGAGTTAAGACTGGTACAATTCTGTACAAAATGATCATCACTTTTAGCCAGGGCTTCAAGAATCTGTAGTGGTAAACACAAACCACATATACACACACCAAAACAAGAAAATAAAATAGTTAAAATTAGCCAAATACAGTATTCACAATTACACAACATGGGGTAACTGTCCCCTATGTGCTTCTAAAGCCACCTGGGGTTTCGCTCTTCAGTAAAATATTGGCAGTGAAGCAATGGAATTGTGTCCTTGGCTTCTCATGCTTTGCTTTGTGCTGTCTACAAATGCCCCTGAGGGAGGCGAGAGGACTTCAAAGATCCCCTGCTGGATAAATAGGTACTGTCTGGGGGACAGTGGGAGCACATCACCTGTATTATAGTGAGAGATACTCAGAACATTCATTTTTCCAATTTGGTAGTAGAAAAATAAATCTAAGGAAAACCAATACAATAACATTCCTATATGCTACTAAGAGTCCAGCACAGAGAGGACATTTAAGAAATGGTTGCTGAAGATATGAATAAATGGGAGGTTCTCTAAAGTAAAAATCAATGTTACATGACATGAAATATCTTAACTCTATCAGATAAAGCATCCATATGATGTATTCAATTAGTAAATTCCCTTGACTATTTGAATCAATTGTAAGATGTGTGTGTGTATGTGTGTGTATAAACACTATGGATCATTAAGCATTTTCAGTGAATTAAGAATTAATTGTGCCATATTTAAATTTAGCATTTAGGACTGCTTAAAGAGCAGGAGGGTTGATTGTACCCTTACCAGACATTTTTATAGTATTGTGTGAGCAATACAATGTATATATAGATGCTAGGTTTATTTGAGTTCCTTCTCCAACAATTTGTCTTACAGAACAGAGTGTGAGTTCTTTGTTTAATAACTAGACTAGAAATTAGAGCTAATTTTATCATTAGCAGTGTGATCTTGGTTAAATTCCTTAATTTTTTTTTACTTCACTTATATGTAAAGTAGAATCATATATGCATTAGCAGCTTAAGCAATTGTCATCTATAAAATAATCCATGTAATTTTGCAAATTTGAATTAAGTAGAGAATGAAAGAAAAGAATTACAAGCTCTTACATGGATCTCTTTAATAATATAATGTATTTGGGAGGGGGTTGCATTTCAAAAAAATAGATTCTCATAGTAGATAAACACAGTGGTACAAAGTCATTAGAAAGATAAATTTTTAAAAATTGACTTTCAGAATATAAAAGATATAAAATAATTATTTTTGAAATAGTTCACTTGGATCTCTATTATTTTCTCTCACTAAATTTTTTAAATGTGTTTTATACATCTTAAATCTAACTCAACTATACATATCTGAAAGGAGAATTAAAATGAAGAAATAAAAGCAGTGAAGCTGTATCTCATATTTCCTACTTGTAATACCTCAATTCTCACAGGGTGATATAAAAGCACATGAAATACTAAGGCCCAGATTTGCAGGTCATCCAGTAGGAATCTGATTGATTTTCCTTGTGCAAGGATCATGAAAAGCAAGTAGAGGTCACCTCTTGCCACATGTTTTATCCATTTGGATGAAGACTTCTTCTCTCCCACCCCTGTGGCTGTAGTCTAAGCACTAAGGATGATGTACTTATCAACTAAGAAGTAATTATATAAACGTCTGAAGTTCTGTTCATAAACTGATCTCCCAGCTTTGTGAAATTTTATAAAATAAACATGAGACTTGCAGAATTTCAAATATCCTTCGAAGGATTAGATATGTTTTAAAAAGCACCACCTGTCATAAAAACCATCTTGAATATGTCCATGATACTCAATCAACAAAGGTGGTAAACTTACTAGATGCAGTGAAGCCTTTGCCAAGTCAACTAACGCTTGGCTGGGCAAGAATCCTATCTAACTTAACACTGTGCTCCCGAAGAGACCAATGAATAGAAGTGTGCACCCACACTGAGTAACTGGAGGAGATAAAAAAAAAAAGGCTGAAAGACCTGACAGCTGCAATGTATGTGATCATTTACAGTTTTTATAGTGGAAGAGATTTCAGTTGCTTTAATTAAAACAAGAAGCCTTGTTTTCCCAGGATTGCTCAGACCTTGGCAGTGAGGCTGAAGAAACCTTTGGGCTCGATCATCTTCTCCACCACATTGCACTTTATCCCAGCTGTGCTATCATACTCATACACGACTCCGTATTCCAGGTGGACATTATCCACTGTCAGACTCACGTGTTCCTTCTTCCCGTCAATGATGGCCATGGTGTTGAACTTGTCAATTACTTCTGGAATAAAGGCAATTTTAATTCAGCAAATTCATGAAGGGTTTGTTAGTCTCTCCAAATAATGCATCACTCCAAGTCATTTTTTAAAAAGTTTCCTAAAAGATGACTAAATCCAATGTGCTAAATGATGTAACTATTTTTTAACATTAAAAAAATAACATTAACAAAATCATGTTTGAGTGATCCAAATCACACCACTCTTACATGACTGGTTCTATCTTTTCACATCCATTTTGATCAGTGAACATATACATGCCTATTAGAAATGTTAAACATACAATTTTATAATTATCTCATTTCAAGCATGTATGATATAAATTCAGGATTTCTAAAACTGCCTCAAACACTGGATGAATATTTTTTCAAAGTAGAAAAAAATACCAAATATCATTTTAAAAAAGGAGATGCAATAATCACTTTTGCAGCAGAGCAGGTGCCTGAGTTTTCCCAAATAGCATATTATTGCGATAGTTCATTGAGAAACATGTCATTATTCACTACAACAATATTTCCATCTGGAATGTCTTCCTATTGAACTATGTGACCTCCAGTCAGCTGGTGGAAAAACTCCTAAAATCTCACATAAGAAACTGGTCAGATTCCTGCTAGTAAATATTAAATAAGGAAACAGACTAGTTTACTGTAAACAACTGAGTCCTAGAATATTAGAAACAGTAAAAATAAAATAGGGAAAATCAGATTAAGAGTTAACTTAAAATAATGAAGTTTCAGAATAGCTAGAAATCAATTTTCAGAGCATCACAGCAACCCACTCTCACAGTGATATCAATTCTGATTAACAAAATCCAATTCCAAGTGAGTCATAAAGCCTGAGGATAGGGCCTCCCCTGGTGGTGCCGGCGGTTGAGCGCAGCACTGTGAAGCTGTCTGCAGCCGCCGTAGCACCAGTTCGATCCCGGCCGGCCAGTGAGAATCCCACATGGCACAGCAGACCTCTCCTGTCTCACCCGCTGCTCTCCTCAGCAGTGTATTTCATCAGTCTGCCTGTTCTGTTCCCTTCTCTGTCCATGGTAAATCCTCTCACCCTCCCACACATCTGGCCTGTACCCTGGTTCTTGTGTAAATGAATAAATAAATCTTTAAAAAAAAAAAAGCCTGAGGATAAGGTCCTGAGACTTGTCCTGGTTTAAATAAGAGAATCAATGTATTATAAACTTGTTGCTCTAATGAGGTTGAAATATTTCTAATATTGTTTATATTTTGAGCAGATCATACCAAGTTGCTTCCCAGAATGGATCTAATACAACTTTTCCTAAGTCCCCCGTGATCAGTGGGTGTAGGGAATTCTCCAGCCGTGTACAAATACTTAGAGACAGCCACCAACAGTATGAATGGAAAAATGAGTGGTAGGAAAATGGAAGAGAAGAGTCATGACTTTTGTGAAGATGTTTTGAAATAATAATTCAAGGTATTCATCAAAAGCAAACATAAATGTAATTGCCTCAATACCTTGCCACTTGGCAAAAAAGAAAAAAGAAAAAAAAAAAAAAAGGACGAAACTGAATACAGCAATTTGCTGGTTTGCTACACTGAGAAAACAAACACAAGTCCTTATCAAAAGAATTCTCTTTCCCCTCTCATTTTCATATTATTAGTTTGCCTCTTTCATTCCTGTCAATGTTAAACAGTAAAAGTTATTTGAATCAAGAAAGTATTTTCAAATGAACTATGGACCTTCTAAACAAGACTTCTCAAATTTTAATGTGTATATAGGTCAGATCTTATTAAAATGGAAATTTCTGTGCAGTGGATATGGGCGGGGGTGGAGATTTTGCATCTGCATCTCCCTCTCAAGTGATGACCACACTGCCATCTGAGACTCACACTGACTGAAAGATCTGAACAACACTTAAACTCAAAACAAAGAAACATTATAATCTGGGTTTGAATTCTCATTCTAACACTTACTAGCTTGGGTCAGTCACTTAACCTATATAGGTCTCAATTACTTCTCCCATAAAATGAGGATGATGATAATCACCTTCTTTATGATTTTCTTTTTTGGTGACTTTACAAGATAATCCATGCAAAATATTCAAGTCTCTAACAAAAAGAATGTATTTATTTGGTGATAATGGTTTAAGGAAGTGAACTGAACATATGAAATTGTCGATAATTTCATGGAGACACAGGCACATTGATAAAGAATACTCTAAGTAAATGAGGAGAAAAAAGGAACCAACCTTCTACTTTGCACTCGAAAGCATCCCCTGCTTCATCTCCGGGGGGTTTGGAGTTAGACTTTTGAAGGTCATCTTGAGCACTCTCAATGCTGTTATACACCCACTGTATGGAATCTTGCTGGAAATGAGTGGAGGAAAGCAATTAGTACAAAACAAAATAAGCCTATCTGATTACTCTGGTTTAGAAGGAGAGTTGACAATAAACATAGGGGTACAGGTGGTCTTTTGAATCAATGTTTTTGTATCCTTTGGATAGATACCTAATAGTGGAATTGCCAGGTCATATGGTAGTTCCATTTTTAGTAAACTGAGGAACCTCCAGACAGCTTTCCATAGTGGTTGGACCAGTTTGCACTCCCACCAGCAATGTAGGAGAGTTCCACCCACCACATCACCACATCCTCGCCAACATTTGCTGTTGCTTGTTTTTTTTTTTTTTATATGTGCCATTCCTACTGGTGTAAGGTGGTATCTCAATGTGGTTTTAACTTGCATTTCCCTGATTATCAGGGATGTTGAACATTTTTTCATATGCCTATTGGCCATTTGCATTTCCTCTTTGGAGAAATGTCTTTAAAGTTCTGCCCATTTCTTGACTGGACTGTTTATTTTGTTTTTGTTGAGTTGTGTGAGTTCTTTGATATCTTTGTGATCAGTCCCTTATCAGTTGACTGGAGTACAAAGATTTTTTTCCCAATCAGTGGGGTGTCTCTGTTTTGGTTAATGTTTCTTTTGCTGTGCAGAAGCTTTTCAGTTTGATGTAATCCCAGCTGAGGCAATGGTACACGGGTGCATTGGTGAAGGAAACTATGGGGACTACACCTGAGGGGATGGGGGGAAGCAAGTATTCTTTAAAAATGAACAATGATGTAAAAAAAAAATTAATTAATAAAAAATAATTTAAAGGGCCTCCCGGGTGGCGCAACAGGTTGAGCGCCATGCTGTGAAGCTGTCCACAGCCTCGCAGTGCAGGTTCGATTCCTGGCCAGCCAGGGAGAAACCCACATGGCGTGGCAGCTCTCTCCTGCCTTGCCCGCTGCTCCCCTCAGCAGTGCCTGTTCTGCATTTTGCTCTGTCTCTGGTGAATTCTCTCACCTTTCTATGCCTCTGATCTGTACCCCAGTTCTTGTATAAATAAATAAAAATCTTCTTTAAAAATAAATAAATAATAATTTTAAAAAGGAGAGTTGACAATCTTATTTATTCTTTCAGTTTAAAATAGTAAAATTCGGAAGAGAAAAAAATCAACATCAGAATCTAATAGAAAGTCATTGGCAATTGAGAAGGGAGTAGGTTCAAAACAAGGGTGGTGGGAATTGTATGGGGACTATAACCAAGATGAAAATACATACATCATGCAAAAATTAAAAATTATGTAAAAATATATAAAATAAAAAAATTAAAAAATAAGAATGTCATTGGCAATTAAATGGTTGAACAACCTGGTTTTTCTAAAGTGTTTTTCCAAAGATGTTATTAAATAATATTTACTTTCCAAATGTATTACTTAAATACCTCAAATACACTTTAAAAATTGCATTTTAAAATAAATAAATGTTAGATGGACATTCTCCTGATGAACCAATTACTGATAATTGTACATTTAAGGTCTCTATAAGAGACACATGGGTTTGAACATTTTAAATGCTTTTTTTGAATCAAACCAACATGAACATTGGAAAGACATCTTTCATCTTACTTGGTTCCCAAGTGATATAACTAATTTTTAGTCCTTTCATGGCATAAATTAGCCTGTATTTTAATTGGAAAATTAGATCCAATTATTTAGATAAATAAGAGATGAAATAGCTACCAAATTAATGCTTTGACAGTTGCTCACATTAAAATTTATAATTTTTACTACCTAACATGATGCATTAAATTGTACTCTTGAAGTGTGGCATATGTATATTATCCATTTTTCCCTTGCATTAACTTTACAGTTGTGTTTAACAGTTATACTACTATATATCATTAAAATGTTTATTAACACAGATCATTAAAATAAATCCTGGGAAGCTATTGTGGCCTCCAATGAACCATATCCATTAGTATCCACACCTATATGTACCTCCTTCCTACACTGACACTAGATGTGGTCATATCTTATTTTTCCAAAAGATATTAGCAAGCTGTAAGTTGAGAACTGATCATGTACAATATACCCTCCTAAAAGCCAGACATCATACAGAAAGGAAAATCCTTCTACAGATTGGAAAAGGAAGCCATGTAGAATAGCAGTGGAGCATGACCCCCCACCCCACATGGAATGAGGGGTCACCAGGAGGCAAACAGAAGGGACAGTAGGCTCCAGCAGAATACAGTGACATCAGTGACCTTTCAGGAACCAACACCCAGTTAACCCAGAGAATCAAGAGACATAATCAATCCTGTTTTGTGCAATAATTTTTGGGATTGTCTGTTCTGTGATAATGGATACCTGCTAGAGCATGTTAACAACTTAGTGATTTTTTTTTTCCAGTCTATTTATTGCCTTCTTTTATCAGTCCACTGATTAATACCTCTTTAAGAAGGCAGGCAAGGAAAATAATAAGGAATAAAATTAAATCAATTTGGCAATTTGTTAATATTCCTACAGAAGGCAAAAAGGTTTGATAATTACAGAAATTTCTTTGTGAAAACTCATCTACAAATACAATTCAATAAATATTTATTTCAATTACTATCAACCAGAAAAACCCATGCACCTCTGTATGAATTCTGATTTGCTAGTTTGACCTTATTAGTAAGCAAACCTGATCAGCTCTTTTAATGAAGGTTCAGTATGTTACAGGATATCACTTTTGGTCTATAAGAAAATAGATTCATCTTTCTGGTTTGCCCAAAAAAACATATTCTCAAATCCAAAAGAGAGTAGCTCACCATTCATAATAGCAAAGAATACAAAGTTTCTCCTTTAAAGTTTCTTTTGCATTTAGTTGATTAATTTGAGAGAATTTTCTCTTATAGTCCAATATTCACTTGTACCTCATGAGACAATAAGCTCTGCTTATAAATTAAATCTCTAATTTTACTTTCTATGGCACTTGAAATTTGGATCAGAGGAGCATTCTTAAAATTTGAATAATGGCAAATACAATTTGGTGTTTCCTCTTAAGAGCTAAATCCATTACCTAAATAAATACAACCAAAACTAAAATACAGATTCTATAAACCCCACATTTTTCCTCAGAGAAATCTTGTAATAAATCATGTGATTATTTGTGATTCATGTATGTACACATAGTCATGATAACCATCATAGATTCCAGAGTAATCTCATGTCAAAAAATCAGTTTACACCTTAGGATTTCAAACTGAAAAACAGTTAGCTATCTGAAAATTCATATCACTATGAAAATAAAAATAACCTGGAATGCTTTTTAAACAGGTGATGATACTATAGCATTAAAATACAACTAAGTACAGTCAATTATACTTAATTATTCAGCTAAAATAATCATTATGACATTTACAATTCTGAGTTTAAATGTGAATCTAGAAGTAGAAACCAAAAATATTTCTGACACTATCCTATATTGCCCCTAGGATGTTCATGAGTTGACTGGAGGGCAATTTACCTTCATGGGTCGCCTGTACTTCCTGCAGGCTGTCACATGTGCGATCACACTGGCATGTGTTTCCTTGCTGACATTGATCCCATTTACTTTGATAATACACTGTCCAGGATGAAGACCAGCTGCAGCAGCCACAGTTCCTTTACATACAAATGAGAAAATTGCCAAAAACTAATATTAGAAATAAGGTTCATTTTTATCACAGGATCTTGCTAGTATGTTCTTGAGAAATTTGGTTCTTATAGCAATGTCCTTTTGAAAATTTTCTGCTTTAACTGGTCATTCGAACTCTGATTAACAGAATATTTTCCCACCTCCTCCCTAAGAATTAGTTTGAAAGGACATTAAAAAGTGACCTTTATAATGCTAATCAGTTATTTTCCCTTTCAAATGTCTAGTCAATCTAATTTTCTAAATATGCATGTATAATGTCAAAGTGAGAATGCCAGAATAATATGCCTTATCTATCTTTCTTTAGTCTCTACATATTTAAATAATATTCCTTAAATTACACATATTGATTCTCAATGATGCACATCTGAAACTTAATACAGTGTTATAATGCAATTTTATTTCAATAAAATAAAAGAATATTCACCTTTTTTGTTTTAAATATCAACAATTGAAAGAAATTCTTAAGGGAAAAGATTGGGTCAATTAGCAACTATGAGTGGACAGGACATGTTAAGAAAAATAAAAGTTCAGGATATATACAAAGGGTCGAGAACCAAAAATTAGTGTAGAAAACAGACTAAATCAGATATCACCTTCTGCCCAGTCATTATTTTGCATAGATACAGATTTAAATATGGAAGTGGCATATCCTCACCAGTGAGGTCAGAACCTTTCACCTTTGTTATTTGGTATCTGAACAAATCAACACTTTCAAAGAACCATTAACAAACTCAATGAATAAAATTAACACAAATGATTGTAAAACTAATAAGTATGTTAGAAGAATCTTCCTTTGTAAGCAATTTCTCCCATGAAGGTATTATCAAACATCTTTAAGAGTATAATGTAGATCTAAAAAGTCAACATATAATTTCTTCTTTTGGTATGTAACTGAGTTTTGGGGGGAAGAGGCGCATTCCCAACAGAGATAAGGGTCTGAAAAAGGTATGGAGTCAAGAAATAACTTAGACGTTTGGGAGCACATAAGCAGTTCTATTGATGTGAGCTTAGAACAGAGATGAGTGAACAATATATGACTGGAGAGTTAAGAAGAATGGGATCATCCTTATACAATCTGTGTGAGGTCCAAAAGTCTGAACCTTATGTGGCCTCCTCGGTGGCGCAGCGGTTGAACGCTGGGTTGCGAAGCTGCCCGCAGCCTCTGCAGCACCAGTTCGATCCCCGACCGCTGAGTGAGGGTCCCAAGTGAGGGTCCCACATGGCGCGCAGACCTCTCCTGCCGCCCGCTGCTCCCCTCAGCAGTGTATTTCGTCACTCTGCCTGTTCTGCTCTCCACTCTGGCTCTGGTGAATTCTCTCACCCTCCTGCGCTTCTGACTGTACCCAGTGCTTGTATAAATAAATAAATAAACAAACAATCAAATAAGTAAATAAATCTTTAAAAAAAAAAGTCTGACTCTTATGGAGGTGGAAAGCCACTGAAGAATTTTAAGCAGAGATGTGACAAGATCAACTTCTTTCTGGAGGCTGAATCATTGAAGTTTAAGTCTGAAGTCTAAATCACCAGAGACCACTACAATTTTCTAGATTGGAACTAAGGGTGCATTAGTTAGAAGGGGCAGAATGAGATCAAATACTTGATATTTGGTAGCGGAGTTTATGCAAAGGCTAGAGTACTCTTGTGCCTTTGAACTCAGAGGCTAAGTAGAGTAGTCATTTCAATAGACAGAGCAAAGAAGGTCAAACAACTTCAGAAAATAGATGAAAAGTTCAATTTGGGACAATACAGAATTTGAAGATGCCAAAAAGGCTGTTAGGTAGAGATGTTTAACAACTAAAAACAGGTTGTAGAACTCAGGAAAGATCTATAATGGAGACAGAAATTGAGAAATCCTCAGCAAAGAGCAACAATAAGATTGCTTATAGAAAAAAAAAAGATTGCTTAGAGAGAAAGAAGGCAAGGAGATGAAAGGGTGCCAATAATTTACAGGTCAACAGGTAAGGAGAGCTGGCAGAGGAGAGACGGGAGTGGGGGGGAAATCTGAAAAGTGCCATCTCAGAAATCAGGAGGTAAACATTTTAAGCAAATGAGAGTAGGTTTAAACAAGTGGCACCAAAAACTCAATTAAGACAAGCATTATTGGGCCTCCCTGGTAGCGCAAGGGGTTAAGTCTCAGCACTATGAAGCTATCAGCAGCCACTACAGCACAAGTTCAATCTCCAGCCAGGGAGCTACCCACATGGCACAGCAGACCTCCCCTGTCTTGCCCACTGCTCCCTCAGCAGTGTATTTCAGTCAATCCACCTGTTCTGTTCTCCACTCTGTCTCTAGTGAATCCTCTCACCCCCTGCACCTCTAGCCTACACCCCAGCTCTTATATGCATAAATAAATAAATCTTTTTTAAAAAGACAAGCATTATCAATCCATTATATTTTCAGTGAAATCCATGATAACACTTCTAAGGCAGATTTTGCAGATAGGGGTGTGAATTGGAATAAGATGGATATAATATTGGGCTAAAACTCAAATAAGAAGGGGGAGGCAAAAATACAGACCAGCATTTAAGGAAGTTTGGTCATGACAAAAATAAAAGTTATTAGAGCATTATTCTAAAACTAAGCTTCTCAATTTTTGACATGGATCTGGGGATATCATTAAAATGTAGATTCTGGCTCAATATTTCCTGTGGGGGGGCGAGGGGGCAGAGATTCTGCATTTGTAACCAGCTCCCAGTTGATAACAATGCTGTAGGTCCGTGGGATACAGTCTAATAGCAAATATCTACAGAAGAGAACAAGAAAGAGGGATTTTGTGTTTGCTGTTCTGGTTGAAGATGGTTTTGTTTATTTCATTGGGAATGAACTAAGCATGTTTATAGCCAAACTATAAAAATTTTGGAACAGTGTTTGATACTTGGCAATTCAATATCAAAAGAGGTGACAGAAGAGACAGAAGTCTGGATAGGATCCCGAACATTTGTGGATTAACTTGAAAGGAAGAAAAAAAGAAGATGGGAAGAAAGTTGGGAAGGGTGAGAAACCGGTGATAACGATACAGTCAGAAATGTATGCACAAAAGGGTGTGGAGCATTTAAGTCTTCATGATTAGTAGCCTGAATTTTTCTGTGAGTTAGGAAAAAAAAGTTGATCTTGGAAGATCGGAGGGGAGTTGGTCAGAGACACATCAAAAGATTGCTGCAGGAATATATAATAATTCCATAGCCATGGATGTTTTCTCCAGCTACTCAGAAGAAGTAACAAAGAAGGTGGGTTAAGCTAATCCAAGGCTGAAACCAGGTACCCCGCCTGCATCTGACAGATTAGTGTGAGGGGAGGGGACCCTATGGATGCTGGCAAGAGGGACTGAAGTGACCCACTACTTGAGGAAGCAAGTAGAGACTTGAGGGGTATCTGTGACCTTGGAAAAGAAAGGGAAAGGATTCAAAGACTGGAAGTTCCAACTGAGTTGAAAGACTGCATAGAAACACAAGTTGAGAGAGACCAAAACAAGAAATTATAATCAGAACTTGGCATATTAAAAATTTAGATTCCAAAGCTGAAATTTCAGTTATTAATTTAACTCTAGTGTGTGGCCATGAGAAAAGCTAATGAAGAAAATAAGTTTTTTTGTGTAAAAAAAATACAATGCAAAAAGAACCTAGAGAATAATATCTTTTCATTAGTATCCACATGAAAGGGAAAGCACAAGATCATCTCTATCTTTGCAAAAGCATAGTAACCCAGATACAGGCTCATCTAATTTCAAAAATTAGTTCCAAATACTATTCTTGAAATGACATATTTGGGAGAGAGGGACAAGAAGATTCACTCAGGTTTTCAGTTATTTTACATACTCATAATATGGTTTACTTTTTGGTGCTTAGGGAAAATAAAAAAGCATTTGATGCATCAATATTTCATTTCAGTTTCCTAATCTTCAATGAATTATTACAACAGTTTTAAATGCCCATCAACTTATATTTTTAAAGCCTGCATGAAAAGACAAATTTTTAGAGTAAGATTAATTTTGTTATATATACAATGATGAAAGTAATTTTATAATCGAATACAGGCTTGACTAGTATGTACTTGTTAAATTTTATTCTCATCCTTTCAAAAGATTCCTGCCTAATGACTGGCTGATCATTTTAAGATGCCTTATGTTTTACATGTCTTAGCAATGAAAAGCAATGCCTCTCTTTTTTTTTTCTTAATTCTTTTTTTTTAAAGATTTATTTATTTATTTATACAACCACGGGGTACAGTCAGAAGCACGGGAGGGTGAGAGAATTCACCAGAGCCAGAGTGGGGAGCAGAACAGGCAGACTGACGAAATAACACTTCTGAGAGGAGCAGCGGGCGGCAGGAGAGGTCTGTCACGCCATGTGGGACCCTCGCAGGCAGCCGGGGTTGAACCAGTGCTGCAGAGGCTCTGGGCAGCTTCGCAGCCCAGCACTCAACCACTGCGCCACCAGGGGAGACCCAGCAATGTCTCTCTTATTAGACATATATGTCTCTTATTGTATAAACTCATGGCCTCTTAGGCTTACTGTAGCACTTCTTATTCTAGAAGTTCTTTACTGTGTTTGTTTAGTCATGTGGAATTTAATAGTTATTCCCTTAAATCATTACTAGAATCAATATAGAAATTAAAAACCATAACAAGAGATGTCAGTGGATGATTTGCCTATCAAACAGAATAATTCATAAAAACAAGCTTTTAGTCACTCAGATGCTGGGTATGTAGAGGTAATTGAAGTTACAGTTTATCAAGCTCACAGAACATTTTTAAAGCTGATTACTCACATCTTTGCATTATTCACAAAAAATATAACTTTGCCATCACAGAAAAATACAGTGACAACCTTGAAAACATTATATCCTTTGACCAAGTTCAAGCATGCAGAAAAGTGGGACTGGGAAAAATCATTCACTTACAAAACTGTTAATAGTGATAAATATGCCTTACAACTTTAAAGGTTTTAAAAATATATATTGTTTTAGGAATGTACTGAGAAAATCCAGAACAACCTGGTTACGGACATTTTAAACATTCCTATTCAGAAAGGAAGATCCTGGAGAGCTGTTTACCATGAAGGATTAATTCCTTACCTCTCCCCACCGCATGCACAACTGATGGGCCATATCCTCGGATCTGGAACCCAAGTCCCTCGGCTGAATCTGGGATTTTCACTGTCCTACAATAACAAGAAAATAAGGTAAGATGGATTGAAAAATGCCACGCTTTGTTAGAACAATCGTTGTGCACCCTTTTATTCTTTCTTTCTACAAATTCACATTGAACATCTACCGTACGAAAGACACTAGGCTAGAAACACTTGTAGGTGAAGGGCACATAGCAGTCTCCCAAAACAGAGTTCCTACATTAAACCTAGTCATTACACAGTATATCCTGAGTCAGGAACAGGCTCCAGGGACAAACAAACTTAGCTGTGAATCCTGTTCATTGCAGGGCACATAGCAGTCTCCCAAAACAGAGTTCCTACATTAAACCTAGTCATTACACAGTATATCCTGAGTCAGGAACAGGCTCCAGGGACAAACAAACCTAGCTGTGAATCCTGTTCGTTGCTTCAAAGTCAGATAACTTGGATGAATTGCTTAACTTCTCTGAGCCTGAGTTTGACACAAAGATAATGATGTTAAAACTTACTATGCAAGGTGTCACTGGAGATTAAAAGATATCTTTCATAAATTGCCCTGCATCATATGAACTATGTAGGCTCTTAATAAAATGGAATCCTTACTGCTTAGTTTACTGTTACACAGACAGCATTGTACTGTGGAATTTCTATGTAACAATCAGTATAAAAGAAACACAGTTCATATATGTCCATGTGTTGGGGACTTCATTAAAGGACAAAAAAGACTAGTTAAAGAACAAATCTGTCAAACACTACATCAAAATAATTAAGAATATGATTAGTTTATTCATGCTGTGAAATTAATACATCATAAGACAAATCCATATAAGAAAAGAAATATTTCCAGTGAATCCACTTGGAACGAAGATGAAGGGATGCAGAGGATGAGCAAGTGATAATGGTGAACCAGTGAGAGGTGTCCAATTTGGCACTAACAGATGAGCTACTCCACAGAGGCAAGTCAGAAATTAGATAGCAACAATGAAGAGCAGAGAACAGGAGATAAAAAGGAACATCATCATAATAAAAATGAGTATTATAAGTTACAGGAAAGAGCAAAGACACATTAATACAATGCAATAAATTTTGATGGATAGCCTTTGATGCCCAAGCAAATAGTGTTTTCCAAAAGGTAAATTAATCATGAAAAAAATGTCAGGAGGGGCCTCCCTGCTGGTGGCGCAAGGGGTTAAGACGCAACCTATGAAGCTAGCCACAGCCTCTGCAGCATGAGTTCGATTCCCGGCCAGGGAGCTACCCACATGGAGCAGCAGACCTCTCCTGATTTGCCCGCTGCTCCCCTCAGCAGTGTATTTCAGCCGATCTGCCTATTTTGTTTCCCACTCTGTCTCTAGTGAATCCTCTCACCCTCACACCTGTGACCTGTACCCCAGTTCTTGTATACATAAATAAATAAATCTTTTAAAAAAAGAAATAAATGTCAGCAGCACTTCAAGAGCATGTTAGAGACTAAAGTTAGGTAAAACAACACATATTTTCAGTGTATGGAATCATTGTTAGAGCAATTTGAGCAACACTCTGCCTATAAAACTTGAGAAAACTACATAATTAATTTAGAATGGAAAATATACCCTAAGAGTGTGATGCCTCTGTTCCTTTTAGTCAGAACCACTTTGGCTGTTCAAACTCTTCTGTGGTCTATATAAATGTCAGTAAAGTTTATTCTATGTCTTTGAAGAATGCCACTGAAACTCTGATAGGGATTGCCTTGAATCTGCCTATTACTTTGATAAGGAGGCCATTTTAGCAATGTTAAATGTTAATTCTTTAATTCATGTGCAGGTAATATCTTCCCATTTATTTGTCTCTTCTATTTTTTTCAACAATGTTTTAAAGTTTTCACCACACATGTATTTCATCTCCTCTGTTAAATTTATTCCTAGGTATTTAGTTCTTTTTCATATGACTATAATTGAGATTGTTTTCTTCATTTCTTACTCTTCTAGTTCATTTTGTGTATATAGGATAATAGGCACTGAAAAAAAGCCCATCATCTGTTATCATCATGGAAATACAAATGTAACAACAGTGAGATACCACCTCATACCCTTGAGAATGGTCTATATCAAAGAGATAAGGAATAGTAAGTGTTGGTGAGGATGTGGAGATAAAAAGACTTCAGACACTGATGATAAGAAAGCAAACTGTAAATTGGTCCATCTCCTATGGAAAACAATGTGGAAGTTTCTCAGAATATTTAAAATAGACCTACCATTTAATTCTATCTGAAAAATACAAAAAATACTAATTCAAAAGGATATATGCACTTCTGTGTTCTTTGTAGCACTATTTAAAATAGCCAAATTATGGAAACAACCTAAGTGCCCAATGACAGATGGCTGGATAAAGAGGTGGTAAATGGAATACCACTCAGCCATAAGAAAGATGAAATCTTGCTGTCTGCCACATGGAAATGGCAGGTATATATTAAGTGAAATAAGTCAGGAGAAAGAACAATTACCTGATGATTTCACTCAGATGTGAAATATAAACAAAACAAGGGAACATATGCAACTAAACCAAAACAAACCCTGGAAACGTGACTGCAGAATTGAGAATACCAGAAAAATTAGAAGGGTGTAGGGAGTAAAGTGGTGAGGGGAACCAATGGATATGTTGGAATATTATTGATGGTTTCATGGTGGGCATGATATGGTAACATACATATGAAGAGGTATGAAGTTATGGCTTTAAATCATATAGTGTTGTAAATCAAGGTTACCGCCATAAAAACACAATTTATGTGCACACACACCACACACATGTGCGCACCTGCCCCACACACGCGTGCGCACGCGCGCGCACACACACACACACACACACACACACACACACACACACACACACACACACCCCCCTCTTAGGCAGATATTCAATTATAGAAATGCAAATTACCTGTTCTGAAGAAATTTGAAGGTATTACTACAAATTAGATTGTACATTACAAAGTGTTCTGCATAGTAGTAGGAAAGAGGTTACAGAATTAATTTATCCTTTATCTTTAATTAGTCTTAGTGCAAAACTATATACTACTTTTAAGTAGCGCCTTGTTATTAGAGTTTGTCAAAGATGAACTGAAAGTGAAAGATAACCAAAGAAAAGAAAAGGAAATAAATACATTTTCTGGTGAACATGAAACAAAACTAGAGGTGGCACATGCATCTATGTATTATAAATGAGAGTTCACTTCTGTTGAAAGAACTTAAATGAATGGTTGGTTTTGAATTGTGAAGAACTCATAGTGGACTTCAACTCTTTCTGAGTAAGGACTTTCTGTCTTAATAGTGCTACAGATGGTTGACCCTACTCTAATCTTTAAGATTATTAACATATTTCTTAACAAAATCTTTACAAAGATTCTGATCATAATGTTGGTACTCTCTCCCAAAAATCATCACTAGAAAACATACATATCCCATTTGGGAACATTATATTTCACCTCTTAAAGGAAGAATTAAATTTATACAAGAGGTCCATTCCATAATCAGTGGATCAGTCTTTGCAGAGTTAAGTCAGGAGGCAAGGGAACACAGGGGGAGACTTTCAGTTTACTTTATGATTGCTTTAGAATACTAAACCCTTATTTCTCTCCAGTCTGTCCTCTTCCTTTTATATATACTGAAAGTATTCAGATGTAGGCAATTGGTTGTCCTTGTCCTTAGATAAGTTTGGAAGGAAGGGAGAATAAGAGATCATAATTAGATTTGACAGAAGACATTGTTATGGTTATTTGCTGCCATCCAACCCAAAGTCTTCTAAATTAGTAACTTTTATGAGTTACACTCTTTAAGAGTGTAAACCATCAGTAGATGCTTAGGTATCTACCTTAAAGATGTAACCCTGTTGTGAAGAGACTTGGAGAAGTTAGTCCATTGCACTGCACTTGACTCTTAAGATAACTGTTGTGTGTATGCTAGTATGTTTGTGTGTTATGTATGTATACATTCATAAAATTAGGCAGGGAAGAATATCATACTATATTCACTTAGAATATTTTCTTAAGCAGTTAAACTTTTTGTTCTTTAAGTAGTGCCCTTCGTTTATCTTAAAAATAATGTAGTGGCTGGGCCTCCCCAGTGGCGCAGCGGTTGAGCGCTGGGTTGCGAAGCTGCCCGTGGCCTCTGCAGCGCCGGTTCGATCCCCGGCTGCTCCCCGGCCCCCCGGAGGAGGGTCCCACATGGTGCACAGACCTCTCCTGCCGCCCGCTGCTCCCCTCAGCAGTGTACTTTGGTCCTTCTGCCTGCTCTGCTCCCTGCTCTGGCTCTGGTGAATTCTCTCACCCTCCTGCACTTCTGACTGTACCCAGTGCTTGTATAAATAAATAAATAAACAAACAAACAAACAAATAAATCTTAAAAAAAAATAATGTAGTGGCTTATTGCTACTGATAAATAAGGAAATTTTAAATCTCAATTTTGATATAATCTTAGTATAGTAAAACATTACACTAAGTACTTTATATGTATTATCTCAATTAATTAATTGGTTAAACAAATAATGGTAGACTTGATAAGGGAACACTAAACTTACTGCCACTGAAAATAGAAAAGTCACTATCTTCCAATATATTCATAATAAACTGTTAATTTAAAAAGAAAGACAAATCAGAAAGCATGATTCTATTTTGTAAATATATGATCATGCATAGGTCATGTTACTTATGGATTATATGATTACAAGAAAAATGCCTTCTTAAAAAAAAATTCTGTTCTCCAAATTTTCTATACTATACATGAATCTCTTTCTAATCCTAGATAGACACATGGATAGACAATTTTTCTAAGAGACACATTTTTTAAAGGAATGAACACAAGCATGGAAATATATGTGACACAGTCTTGGTTCCACCTCCTATGAGCACTTAATTATAAATGGTGTGTGATCAACTCATAGCCCAGAAATACTTATAACTGAACATGGAGGAACAAGATCTTTATTCTCAATTGCTCTACCAATCTTCTTCACATAGTTAAATTCAACCTGACGCAGGCAAGGGAAATTTGGGCAACAAAAAAAAAAAACATTACTTTTGATGTCATCTGATTTCAGAAGGAAGCATTTTAGTACCATAAGCATGTAGTTTCTCCCATCATCTAAACACCAGTATTAGTGATGTTAGCGAGATTTAAATGTTTCAAATGAGATGCTCAATTTTAGACATTCACTTAGTTAAATTTTCTATTTTATTCATCTATGTGTGTGTGTGTGTGTGTGTGTGTATTTTTGTACCCCACATAAAGTATACAACTTACTCCCTTGGTTTTGTGCTCACAAGAACTCTTAGTGGTTTTCTGCTATTCAAGCATGATTTCAGGAAGCAATCCACTTCATTGAAAGGTCTCATAAAAACTAGGTCACCATTAATAGCAAAAATCTTTTTCCCAACTTCCATGCCAGCCATCTAAGAGAAAAATAGAAAAAAAATCAAATCATACATTAATAAAGAATCTATAATTTACAGAATAAGAATCTGAGAAGTTCATAAATTTTGACAATTTAAGGTATCTGCAATTTTTATACAACTTCACAATACAGAAACGTGAGTGAGACAATGTTATTCTCTTTGACCTAGTTTTAAACTTGATGACCCATCTTTACTGAAATTCTCTCCCCTACTTGACTTAAGACTGTACACCTCTCGGGACCTTCTTCTCTGTAGATTTTATAGTCCTTTTTCTTATTTCAATCATGTATCGTGTAAGTACAGTGAGGTCCCAGGTTAATTTTTTTCACTGTTTCCCATCAATAACCAATTAATTCAAGTAGCTTTGACCTCTATAAAGATATTGAAGACAAGCAAAGAGGCATCGCTAGCCAGACACAGCACTACTTTCTCCAGAATAGGAGAGAGGAATGGCCAGGAGTCCAAGAAAGAGAATCCAATAAGCAGAGAGTGCAAGATGCTGAACAGATGACAGTAAGATATCATCCCTCTATGCCATCAAGGTCACTGTTCTTAACCAACCTTACTGCCCATAAATTGCCTGCTGCTTGGGTTACCAAGTGAATGATGAAAACCTGGGAGACAGCATTAGACAGATGAATAGTGGCATAGACAGTGAAACAGACAGATGAAACTGTATTCCGAAGACATCCTCTGAAAACGTCTGAGAGAAGCATTTCTTTCTGAGAAAGTTAATAAAAGTAGTTACCCATTGACTACGCCCACTAACAGTTTGAGCTGACCAATTATTTTGTTTGAAGCTGGTGTGATGTGCATAAAGCTTTGTCTTAGTATCTGAAATGTTCATAAATTTTGACATTTTAAGATATCTGTAATGTTCTTATACAACTTAACAAAAAAGAAATGTGAGTGAGATAATGTTCTTCTATTTGACCTACTTTTGAATTTGTGTTTTGGGAAAAGACAATGACCTGTATAATACCAGATAGGAGATAGGAGGATGGGTGACAATTTACCACAAACTTTAAAGTCAGACTTCATTCATTTGCATACTTTACCAAAGATTTAAACATTGAGAAGTTTGCTTGAAGATGAAGCATTTTTATAAGCCAGGATGCATGGTAAGGCTACTTTAAATCTAACATACTTAGGATAAAACACTGGATAGTAGGTTCCAGGAGGGCAAGAAATTCTATCTACTTTGTTCATAGTTGCATTCATAGAGCTTAGAACACTGCATAGCATATAATAGGTAGTAAATAAGTATTTATGAATGAATGATCTGGAGAGTCTGTTGTTTAAAAGGCTGCAGAGATGAGAGAACACCAACCAGCACTACCTCAATGAGAAAATAATCAAAGCATCTACTCTACTTATGAAAGTTGTATTTATATAAAGGGCAGTGTAAAATGATAGGGAGCTGGGAGACACAGCCCTTGATTTAGTGGAAGAACTACTTGACATAAAAAATACAGTCTCAGGCTATGCAGTATCCACAGGGTTCCAGGCTGGAATCAGTGAACAGGGAAGTCCCAGGGGCACAGAATGAGAAACTTCTGTGCACAGAAAGTCAAGAGGTTCAAAGCCATAGATCTCTATAATAACTCCCCATAACTATCCTGAGCACCCAGACATGGCATCATCTGCCAGAAATCCCAATGGTATTTGAAAGAACTTCAGAGAGTGATTGTTTAGAAACAGTATTTTCAATAGAGATATTGAAAGATCAATTTCAATTTGTTTAGATTTTTTTTATATTTGCATGTCAAGGATTACAAATTTAAATAAAAACGTTAATTTATATTACCTCGGCATTAGACCCCTTTTCTACCAACTTTATTATTGGAACTTTATTTTTGTCTTCTAACCCAAAACCATAGCTGCCTTCATTGGATTTAATCTGAAAAGCAAAATATTGACATTATCAATAAAGCATCTATAAAAAAGTTACAAATGAAACAGAATGAAATAATATACACCATCGAATATGATTATGCAATCTGCTGCTAATGTCTATGCAGGAAGAAAATTTACACTTAACATATTAATAAACATACCAATAATGATTTTGCTATGACATTTTCCACAACTTTTAAATCATGCTTCATAAGTCGATGTTTCATATTTGAACCTTCCATTTCCTCATCCGCAAAAAAACGGAAAAGTAGGGGCTCATCTTTGAATTCACTTTTTTCAAGGACTACAGAAAGAGAGAGAAATTCAAATTATTTCAATTAGGTCAAAAATAAAACTTATTTTTCCATACCAATAGTCATTCAGTAAATTAATATATATCATATGACTTTAATTTTATACTTCTATCAGGGTGTGTGGGGTATAGTGATGCACACCTGAGGAGGTGTGACCCTCGTCCTCTGAATCACACACAGTGATGCATCCAATGCTACATCTTATTAATTGATTTATTAATTAAAATAAATAAGTAAAAAGACAATTAATATACAAGTGTTGAAGAATTTCCCATATTCTAGATTATCTTCAAACTGCAAATTAAAGTATGGAATTTAAAAGAAATTTATATTCCTAGAACAATTTACATTCACAAATACACCTCTGACATGTTTCTGTTTCTTTCCATACTTTCAAGTCAATCTTTCCTAATCTTTCCTAAAAAGTTGTTGAAATTTTAAGAAGTTTTTTTCAATGTTGGCTTTTTTGTACTTAAACTGTCGCTTTCCAGATTAAAATGCAAATTTAAAGAAAAGACTACACTGAATCAGAAAATGTATGTAATCAAAAACATAGACACCTACAGTCTTCTGAATCTGTAGTGAACATTTTAAGGATGCTTTTAATATCCTGCTCAGTGTTGGGAAAATCAAATGAGGTCCATCTTGCTCTGATGCGTATGCAACTTCCTCTATGGCCATTTTTATTCTAACACTTCAAACCATAAATCTTCTGGGTGAAATGTGACCTTAGTTTCCACTAATTCTTCATTCATTTCTGTTCAAGAACATTACTAGCAAATGACACTATTTTTGCAAAGGTTAGTTTTTTCCTCCTTTATCTGAACATTAATAATTTACTACAAATTCCCTAAGATTCCTGCCATAACCTGACGATATAAAGATTATGTATTTGGAAATCTCTATTTTTTATTTATCTACCCTTAGTACTTGGAGAGAAATTACTAGAGCAGGTTAAATCACTGAGCCAGGGAGAACAGAGGTCCCACGGCACAAGAAGGTTAGGTTTTATGATGAGACAGACCTGAGACCTGAGTCTAAATTCCAGGTCTGGGGCTGGTTGTAACACTGGGAAAGTTACTTAAATTCTTTGAACTTCAGTTTCCTCATCTGTAAAACAGGGGCAATGGACTTCTTAATCATGTCGTATAAAACTAAAATGAAGTAATAAAATATTTGCCAGACAGTAGCAATCAAAAATGATGGCAATTTTATTGCATTTTTTATTTTTACGGCGTTCCAACAAATCTTGTTGATGTTTGTATGTACTGATCTTTGGATAAAAGTCTGCCTGGCAACTTGAGTTAGCAAACTAACAATTATAAATTAAAAAGCAACAAAAGTCATAGCTGAAAATAGAAATGAGAACAAAGCTCAGATTGAATTAGGTCTCGCCTACATGACCTAAGAAATTTCCTAAAATTCACATGGTGTTTTTGCTACCACTGTTTTCTTCCACCAACCAGTCTACCTAAAAGAAGGGAGAGAGGAATCAATAAAGCCAGGCTTAAATTGAGCTGGTTTGCTTTACTGCCAGTGACTTATGTATAGGAAATGTTTTCTTTGTTGTTGTTGTTGTTTGTTTAAGATTTTATATTTTTATATTTTTTGTAGAAGACTGGGGTGTAGGCTTGAAGTGGGGGGGTGGGAGAGGGTGACAGGATTCATCAAAGACAGAGTGGGGAGCAGAACAGGCAGATTTACTGAAATACACTGCTGAGGGAAGTAGTGGGCAAGAAGGGAGAGGTCTGCTATGCCATATGTGGGTTAGTTCCCTGGCCGGGGATCAAAATCAGGCCGTGCTGTGATAGCGCTGAGACTTAACCCCTAGCCCACCAGGCAGGCCCAGAAATGTTGGTTTTTACTCAGTATTTAATAGAAATGTTTAGAATAAATTACAGCATGGCAATGCCTTAGGTTAAAGAGAAAAACAATTAAAATTTATGAAGGTGTCAGTTTGATATTACAGTCTTAATTACTATAAGGATTCTACGTATTACTTTGCTCTTCAAGAACTGTTGTTTCTCCACCACAGCTCATATAGTGCTCTAGAGACACTGAAATGTAATGGAATTCCCAAGAACGATATAACCAAGAATGCTCTCAAAATTACTGTGTCTTGTTGTACTTCCATTTTCATAAAAAGGTAACAACTTTCTGAAAATAACTGAAAAACAGGTACAGATGCTATCAAGTATATACTGATAAGGATATGTGTATTACTATTAAAAAGATACTTTTGGATTTGTGATGTTTTGGGTTTAAGATGTTACAACAGAAAGGGGAAAATGATGTCACATTTTTAGAAAGGTAAGGGGGATTAAGTCATCAAACAAGAGAGAAAAATTAATATTTAATTGGAATCAAAAAGAAACAGGTTTTTTTAGAGATTTTTCTACCATCACAGGAATGGCACAACATGGTAACTGAATGCAGATGTGGTGAGCCAACATGGACACATGGCAAGACCAAGTCTTGCTGGTTCATCTCTCAGTGACTTAAGAAAAACGTGAAATGCATCTGTATATTCCCAGAATAAAAAACCTTACCATGGTGCATAAATCCATTGTCACAGAGTCCGATGCCAAATATCATTGCCTCTTCTCTGGTGCGGCAATCCCCCTATTAACCACAAAAGCATTGTCCAAGTTAACAGACAACTGAAGGCTTTGTTGTGCCTTTTAATACATATGACAATTAATACATATTAATGCATATGACACACTCAGCACTATACTGACAAAGCTATTCCTATAATATAACATGCAATGCTGCTATAAACCCATGACACTTTTAATTGTTATAAAACATTTGCTTGATAATGAAAACATCTTTTGGCATTAAACACAAAACAAAGACTTAATATTTCTTGAGAAAAACTGTGTTTTACTAAACATGAAAATGTTACTAAAATTTATAAATTTATAAATGATCCTTCACTCTTGCTTTTTAGATCTTGTATTCCAATGTGCCAATGAAATATCCTATATATTGAAAACACATATGTAAAGCTAAGTAATAATCATTCTGCATGATCTCTGCTATCACTTTCCCTCCACCAAATAACCTTACTCTGTAAGGATTTCCAAAGAAACCTGCTAATCTAGGCTGATTTGTAAGACCCTAAAAGCAAATTGTTTGGCTGAAACAACAAATGCTAGTTTCTCTTCCACTTTTTTTGCTGAGAAAATAATCAGATTAAACAACTGAACCTAAAACCATGCCTAAGGCAAACTTTTCTATTTAGAAAGCATGTATTTTATTTATATAAGTAAGGATGCATATATATATATATATATATATAAATATGTATGTGTAGATGTATGTGTGTGAGTGTATATAACCTTATGTTTTACAGTTTAAAAACAAGATTTATTTATTTATTTATACAAGCACTGAGTACAGTCAGAAGTGCGGGAGGGTGAGAGAATTCACCAGAGCCAGAGCAGGGAGAAGAACAGGCAGAAGGACCAAGTATACTGCTGAGGGGAGCAGTGGGCATGGCAGGAGAGATCTGCGCACCATGTGGGACCTTCACTTACGGCCAGGTATCGAAACGGCGCTACAGAGGCTGCGGGCAGCTTGGCAACCCAGCGCTCAACCACTGTGCCACCAGGGAGGCCCTGTTTTACAGTTTAATATGTGCTTTCTAAAATATTATTTTAATTTTTCCTATTCCTGCTACTTATCACCAAATCTATCCTTTCTTTTATATGGCTTTTATAGCATTTCTGTGTTTACACCATTATGTACTGTTTCCTCATCTAAGTTATCATGGTTTTTTTCTGGACTTTCTCCAATATATGTGCTGCTATAGATAGATTCTCCTTTTTTTATAATCATAAGATATGAAAATTTTCCACTAGGCTTTTAAGACCTTCCATGCCAGGCTTCATTCTACCTCTTCAGCATCAACTTTTAAATAACCATACATTTCACTTTAGTCAAGTTGGGCCCCTACTGTTTCCCACAAAGTCATTCTCTATACCTGTCATCCATTTAAATTCTATCAGGCACCAAGACAAGTTCCACTTCATGCTGTGGCAGCTCCAATTCTGATTAACAATGCCTGTTAATTACCAAAGCACTTAATAATCTATGATTTCAGACAATGCATCTGTGCTCTTTAGCAAAGCAAGTTGTTAAGTAATTTTGATGCATTTATTCAAGAGATATTTATTTTTGTTGCCCACCGTGTGTCAACTGCTAGAGATAATACAGTAAAACACTCAAACACAAAACATTTCCCTATGCAAGTAAATCAAATCTAGTGAAGGATTAAAAATACAGTATATAAGTACCATAATCCAATTTAGTCAAACTTCTCAATTAGTTATTACTCTAGGTGCTGACACAAAAGTTAAACATGTCCTTGTCCTAAAGAACAAGTGATTTAAAATGATTTCAATATGTGGTACTAAGTATGACAGATATACCCAGGAAACCGGGGACACAGGAGATCCTGAACCCAGGCCAGAAGATCTGGCAAAGTTTCCTTGGGGATAATATTTTGGAGCAGAATCTTTTTTTTTTTTTTTTAAAGATTTATTTATTTATTTATACAAGCACTGGGTACAGTCACAAGTGCGTGAGGGTGAGAGAATTCACCAGAGCCAGAGCAGGGAACAGAACAGGCAGATTGACGAAATACACTGCTGAGGGGAGCAGCGGGTGAGATAGAAGAGGTCTGTCGAGCATTGTGGGACCCTCACAGGTGGCCGGGGATGGAACCGCCACTGCATAGGCTGCGGGCAGCTTTGCAGCCCAGTGCTCAACCGCTGCGCCACCAGGGGAGGCCTTGGAGCAGAATCTTAAAGGATAAGTAAAAGTTAGTCCAAATGACTAACAGTCCCTGGGAGGCAGAAACCATGCCTGCTTCCTGTTTCACTTGTTTATTTTAATCATCAAAGCATTTGCTTAAAAGTTAAATTTACAACAGTTTGTTTAATAATGACTGACATTTGACTGACTTCATAGATGCAGAGAACAGATAGGTGGTTGCCAGAGGCAGGGGTTGGGTAGTGGACAACTGGATGAATGGGGTCAAAAGGTATAAACTTCCGGTTGTAAAATAATTAAGTCCTGAGGAAGTAATGTACACATGATGTGCATAATTAAGACTGTACTGCATATCTGAAAGTTGCTAAGAGAGTAAATCTTGAAAGTTCTTATCACAAGGAAAAAATTCTATGTATGGTGATACATGTTGACTAGATTTATTGTGGCAATCATTTCACAATTGTGCAAATATTAAATTATGCCACATAGCTAGAAATATGTCAATTGTACATCAACAATTTGGATGTTTTACAATATCAGAATCATAAAGCTTAAATGATAGAGAATGGTATGTATAGTCATTCCAGTAAATAGTAAACAGATGTGAATATACAGAGAGATTAAGTATCTTGCACAAATTTGTGTAACTGCTAATCAGCACAACTGTCAATCACACTGCTTAAATCCCAATCCAGTGCAATTTTTATTACATGTAATTTCTAGAGACATGGCTTACAGACCAGTAAGACAACCAAAATAAAATAAATAATTTCAAATTGGTTCATTACTTATCAACTTAATTTATTCTTTTAATGCTCACACTTGAAAAATAAAAATGTCCAAAAAGAAAAAAATGTTGATAATTCACTTCCTGAGTCAAACTTTAAATACCTACAGCATTTGCTTCAAATAAACTTTTTTTCCAGTTTTCTAACAAAATTAACATTTCTATCAAAATTAATAGTGCATGAACTAGGGCTGTGTTTAAAGGTAATTTTCTGGTTTACTCTAAAATCTTAACCTCTAAATAGAATAAATTTAAATGCTATAAAATACAGAATAGTCTAGAACTTAATATCAGGTAATAAAAATCTCAAAGGTCATATGTACAAGTATATCAAATGCAAATTAAGCATTAATAGAAAAAATAAAAAAGACACATTTTTATGATTAAATACAAAATGTCACAATCCACTTGTAACAAAGGAAGTGGACCACTTGGTTAATACAAAAAGTAAACTGCTTATGTAATTGATTCAAATACCCAAGCATAATAACTTAATATTTCAAGCAAGTAATTTCCCTTCCCTTTTATATAAAGTTCCTCATAGTGGTATCACTTTTCATAGCTTCTTCTTTAATCAGTGGAAAATACTTGATTAATTAATTGACCTAGTATGATAAAACATTTTTAAAATTTTATATTTGATTATCTGTTATGATGGGCTAGATACCTTGATTTGCAAATAACACTATCTCAATATCAGCTATCAGTTCCTACATTCTGAGAAGCAGAACAAAAACAATGTTTGTACCTTCCTATACATATATATGCAGATGGGTGTTAAAACTCATACTATCAAAGCACAATTATCTAACAGAAGAAAGGTACAGGAGATTAGGATAACTTGCTAGGACTAACAAGCAGAATCTTAAAAACAAATCAGTGAACATAACATGTAAAATTTTTAGTATATGCACATTGCTATCTCTGCAGTTATTCAAATTGTGCTTAGTTTTTTGATGGATCTCAGCTGGTATTTTTAAAATATGTACATTTTCCTCTATAATAATAACACATAGAAAGTTAACTTTCAAGACTCTCAAGTCAGATTACCTAGGTTTAAATCTCAACATTAGCTATGTGATCTTGGTCAATTTATTCCACTGTGCTACAGCTGTAGTCATAATCTAAAAAAAAAAAAAAAAGTACCTAAATCACAAAGCTTAAAAAGCAATGACTATATCCCAGCAATTTCTATTTGTCTAGTTACCTGTGCAATTAACCAGTCTATCAGTTTGTTGGCCATGACCACAGATTTGTAGGTCCTTAAGTGGTAATCTTTATCTCTATAAAAGAAAAGAAACCAAAAGCATATAACAAGGGTATAAGTAAGCACAGGGGAATACTTCAAGTAAAATCAATGTGCAGTAGAAAAGTTTATTCACTGTAATCTGCATCAACTGTCCAAATTATGTGTAAATAAGAGAGGTTGACAAGGCATGCACAACCTATGAAAATTCTTTTTTCAACTTATACCAAGAGATCCTCAAGGATCCCAAAACTAGGACATTTATTTTACCTTTTTAATATGCAAATAGATGATTACAGTTAGAATACCCAGTAATAATGTAACATGAAATACAATATGTCAATAATGTAAGAATAATAAAGTAGGATCTCTTTTCATTAAAGCAAGACAGATTCTACTAAAGTATTTCTCAAAACTGGAGAACAGAGCAATCCCTTTTATTCAGAATTCCTTCTGAATTCTCCCAGAAGGCTGGACAGTACTGAAGGATAATTCCTTAAGCTTTGCTCTAGTGGCCTATCTTGAAATAGACACACTGAGAACCTTGTCATTAATTTTCTCTGATCAGAGCATGAACACAGTGATTCCACATTCCTAGGGAGCCAAGGACATTAATTGTATATTCACAGACTTACAGTGGACTTCCCAGACCTCAGAAATCTTTCAAAGTCTAGTTAGATACTAACAAAGGACTCACAAACAGTACTGGACCCCAATGACAGATCTGTAATTCATTTACTTTACAGGCCTCAATCAAAAGGGAATGGGAAAATGACAATCTTCTCAAAGCGTCAAAAATCCCAAACTGCTAACCACTTAAAGTGACAAATAATTATGAGCCATTTGCATAGATTTTTACTCTGTCCGTAATTTACAATTAATCTTTGTCATTTTATTGACTTCCATAAATGCATTAGATTACCCAAACATTAACAGTAGACGTTTTTAAATCTTTTAAAATTTATTTCCATGTTTCTGTTTCTATTACCTCATCACTCATTTCATCTTAGTTTTCATAAGCATGAATAAAAAGGAAAATAGTGGTATATTATAGACTACATGCAGGCCTGTGGATTCCTCAACAAAGAATTTTTCTTTTTGTAAACTGAATTCACATATATTAAAAGCATGACTATCATATATTCCATCTGTTTTATGACTTGTTTCCCATAAATTCCCTTGACAACTCCTAAACAATTGTCATTTCTAGCTAAAGAACAATTCCTTCTTATCAGTTCTCACAGAACGTAACTTTCTTGATAAGAAATCCCATATGGCTAAAATATATTTCAGAACACAATTTCTCACATATAAAATCAGCATATATGAGTGACATGGAAAATTAAACTGTTAATGTTTTCTATTAGCTTAGCAGAATAACAAGTAAGTATCCATCGTCCAGTTGTCATTGAGTAAGTAACCACTCTTAGTATTAAGTAATCCAAAATGTTTGTAGGGTGTCTGTGCTCTGAGCATAACAGAAAGTCAACAAGTATTAGTTTTTTTTTTTTCACCTCTTTCTACTTTGTGACACCTGTTTGTGAAAGTAGACATGGTACAGGAGTAATAGGTAAGAACCTCCTATCCCTCCAGAATCTGCAATGTGTTTACTAGTTACAGAGCATAACAATACACTTACACAGTAACATTGGGAATATTTTTTTTTAAACTCTGCATTTCCTTCAAATTGAAAACTAAGTGAAAAACAAAAAAACTGTACATCAAAATCAAACATTTAGATTCAACAGCCAACTTTGAAAAGTGTCATTATTTATTTTGGTAATAATACATGCATTTTAATTTTATTTTATATGATTTACTTAATAAACTCAAAATGATAGCTGGTCACTAAATTTAGTTTAACATTTTATCAGTTAGTGTCTATCGGTATATATTATAAAAGACAATAATATTCCTGAAGATCATAACACAAGTTTCAACATTTTCTACTTACTAAAAGAGATAAACTGATAATGAATCCTGATTGCTCTTTAAAGAAAAAGGTCTATCTCTTCAGAAGAAAAAGCATAGTAGGTAATAAGACTATATTTAATAGCTCTAAAATGATCTTAATTTTCAAGAGCAAAATCATTTCTTGGAGAAAAGACTATTAGAAGAAAATATTTTGAAATAAGATGCACAATCAAAACTTGACTAAACAACAAAATAATATGTAATTATAAATATTATGTTTTTTCAATTCCTCTCCCAGTTAACTGTTATTTATTGACTATTCATTAACATGGATTATTTCACTAACAAGCATATACTTTACTGTGAATTAGTGGGAAATAATTTTATAAATTTTTTATAAAAATTTTATAAATTTTTTATAATTTTAAATTATTAAAACAAAATTTAATTAAAAAATTAAAACAAAAACACCAAAAGAAACTATAATCAGAGCCTCAGAAAAACATGAATATTTTAAGATATATATTTATTTAAAATAATCATTAAGTGCAAAATTTTCATTTTTAGAAGAAAAACAAACCAAAAAGTACCAACCGAATAATACTCAACTAATAAGCAAATTAAATATTTCCACGTAGATTTCCCAAACTTACCTTATCACTGGAGTAAAAAGACTATGCAGACGGCAATATAACCTCACACCCTATTGTAAAACAAAGACATTTCAAAAGCAAAGAAAATCACTCAAAGTCCACATCAATGAAATTTCAAAACAAATGAATTTATTGTCAATGTTCTGGAATTATTTCAATCTTAAATTTAAATTTAAAAGTTGTTCAAATGCCATATTACATCATAAAAAATGACAAATCATTAAAAGCAGGATTAAATTGTGCCATGAATTTTTCACATACATATGATATATACATAAACAAATGGCATTCCATATTATTTTTCTTAAATTGTAAAATCTCTGGATAACAATGTGAACAGAAAAAAATCTATTTAGCAATACACCCCTATGATTTGGTCACTAAAAGACATCCTATTGAATGGGAAAAAATATGTGCATATCATGCATTGGGCAGGGTTATTTTCTTGATCTACAAAGAATTCATACAACTCAAGAACAAAATAGGCAGAAATAGCTAAACAGGTATTTCTCCATAGAAGACAATCAGATATTCAATACACAAATGAAAAAAAAATGTTCATTTTTACTTGCAGGGAAATGCAAATTAAAACCACAATGAAATACCATCCTACACCTGTAAGAATAGCCTATATGAAAAAGACCAGACAGCAAGTGTTATGGAGGATGTGAAGAAAAAGGAACCCTCATATATTGTTGTTGGGAATGTAAACTCGTCCAACTACTATTGAAAACATTATAAGGTCTCTCAAACTATTAAAAATAGTTCTACCATATGATCCAGCAATTTTACTCCAGGTATTTATTAAAAAAAAAACAATCAAAGGGATATATACACTCCTATCCTTGTCTGAGGACTATTTACAATAGTGAAGATGTGGAAAAAATGTCCAATGATGGATGACTGGATAAAGAAAACATATAGCAATAGTGGCGATATATAGAGATATATAGATATACATACAATAATCTACTCAGGAGTAAAGAAATATGAAATATTGCTATTGGTGAAAGTGGGGAAGTTATGCTAAGCAAAATAAGTCCAGAGAAAGACAAATGCTGGATAAATTCACTCATGTGGACTACAAAGAAACTAAGCAAAGGACAGACAAATTCAAGCCAAAACAAACCCGTAGATTTCGACCACAGAACTAAGGCTACAGAGGAGGTGTGAGTAGAGGGGAGCAGGGCAGCCAGTGGACTATGGTGGATGGTTATTGGTATTTTCGTAGTGGGTGTAGTGCAGCAATATTCATTTGAAAAGGTATGAACCTGCACTCCTTAAACATATAATGTTGTAAACCAATGTCACATCAAAAAAGAAAAAGTTTGTGAGAGATATCGTTACCTTTGAAATCACATCCTGCATCTCATTTCTTGGATAAAATGTTCCATCATCATAGCGAAATCTATATAACATCTGTTCTGGTTTGAACTGATGTTTATCGGTCACTAAAAACATAGGAGCAATGTATTAAAATATTGACAATCTAAAGAGTGTCAGATACAGACAAAATTTTGAAATATATATTCCCAAATACTGAAACTTTCAGTTTTACAAAGGAAAACTGAATTTATTTTTGTTTTTCTAACAAAGGAATAGTAATCCCAGTATTTTGACAGTAAGACTCATAACAGCAGTTCGCTATTTATTTGCAATTTCCATTTAATGATTCAAGAACTAATTTGAAGTTAGCAACGTTCAGATAGCACAATATACATATTTGTGCTTTATAGTATACGTATATGAATATGTGAGTTTGTGTTTTTTATTTCTCTACAATGCCGCAAAGTCAAGCAAAAAGCACCCTTCAAAGAGCAGATACTCCAATTGTTTCTGAACCCCAGAAGTGAGTATTAGCATCTATGTTTTACCCCACTGCCATCAGGCCAAGACCACACATACATTCATTGCCAATTATTCTGTGACTAGATCTCAAAAGTAGGTAATGTTATTTTAACATGTAACTGATTGCAAAATTTTAACAGTTTTCTTATACTAAGAAATACTTCTATTACATGTCACTGAAGATTATTTTTCTCAGTGGCAAATGTGACTGGTCATCTTTTGCTTCCATCCTTAGGTAGACTTTCAAATTCATAAAGACCCCATTAAACTTCCTCTAAAGTTTTCTTCTTTTCCAGGACAAGTTATTTTCTAAACAGTCTAATAAAGAATGACTTCCAGAAAGGAAAGCCTCAAATAAAAGCTGAAACAGTTTTAAGTGCTGTCTTTACAGTCAATGCAATGTTTATAAACGCGAGAATTTGCTGGAGTGGTTTCTATTTTCATGATTAGATAGAAACTTTTGATCTTTGCATATTTTCTAAAAATGTTGAAGGAGGAGAGAAAGCTGTTAGCATTAACTTTTATGCACTACATTTGGTAAGTCTAGACTGGCAACACACACACACACACACACACGCACACCCCACACACACACACACACATACATGTGAGAAGTTTTAGCTATTTTATCCCAACCTATGCAAATCACATTCATGGCTTGTGGCCATAAAATTGATACAGGATTGCTGCCACGAAAAGATAGACAACAGCCTTTTCGTACTTTTGTTTCCAGATCAAGCTGAAAGGAGAAAAGCATATGTGAAAGACAAATAAAACCGAGAAATATATTTTGAAATCCAATGGCATGTTTCAAGATGAATAATTTATTTCTCCTATACAATATACCTACAACAATTTTTGTAAGATTCATTGAAATAAATTTTTGTCTCGGTATTCCAAAATTCTAGGATGTATAGGACCCAAATGTCTCTTTCCTGGCACAGTAAAAGAAGCGTTAGTTTCACCCATTCAAAATGGAGTGCTTAGGGCCTCCCCGGTGGCGCAGCGGTTGAGCGCTGGGTTGCGAAGCTGCCCGCGGCCTCTGCGGCGCCGGTTCGATCCCCGGCTGCTCCCCGGCCACCAGAGGAGGGTCCCACATGGCGCGCAGACCTCTCCTGCCGCCCGCTGCTCCCCTCAGCAGTGTACTTCGGTCCTTCTGCCTGTTCTGCTCCCCGCTCTGGCTCTGGTGAATTCTCTCACCCTCCCGCAGTTCTGACTGTACCCAGTGCATGTATAAACAAAACAAACAAACAAACCAGCAAACAAATAAATAAAGCATGCCTCTATAAAAAAAAAAAAAAAAAAAAGTTAAAAAAAAAAAAAATGGAGTGCTTAGGTGTAAGACAATCTCTTGTGACTTTGATAATCAATCGGGTTAGTCTCTAACTCCGAGGTGTTGCCTTGGAAAAACAGTAAACAATTTTGCATCCAAATCCACTTTCTCAACTTCTCCAACATGGAAAATGGGTTTACTAACGGATGAGAGTTCAGGTGATCTTGTGAGCAAGGTTTGTTCATGCCATCTTACAAACAACTGTGTGATGTCACTGCAATGCACTGGGGAATATTTAATAATTGTCTCTATGGCAGGGGAGAAGGAGCTGTAATATATAGCATTCACCAATTTCTGTTATATAAATTCTCTAACTGGGCAACATGAAGCTACCAAAAACAAATGTCACTGAACATGTCCTAAGATACTTTATGATTTAGTATCACCATTATACAAAAAATAATAGGTATTAAAAAATACACAGGGCATGGATATCAAAAAATGTAGTAAAATAATTAGAAAATAAAAATTTAAGACTATATTGCCTTTATTTGCAATAAATTTGTGTATTAAAATATCAATAATTCTGAATAATAGCTATATTTAACCAATTTGCAAATTTTTTAAAAAAATTTAATTACTAGTTCTCTTGAATTTGTGCCAGCCAACTTCAGCACAACACTGGATATAATGAATGCAGTTTCTGAGTATGCACATAAACATTTATAATGTAAGTAATAGAGCTAAACAAGATGAATATTATAAGCATAAGTTGCCTCAGTACAAGAATTATTGGTATAGCAAAGTTATGCCTCTGACAAGGTTCTCAACAAGGTTTGTAATGTGTATAATAGTGATAACTGTGGACTTTTTTTTGCTTGTTCTCTTTAAAACAGGTGATAAATTCAACATATTATAGGAATCCTATTTTCACTAAAATGCAGATGGAAGCACATACTAATGAAACTAATATGTTTTGGCTCATATTTCTACATTCTACTAAAATTATTAATGTGAAATTGCATAATATATCCTCTTAGCCCCACTTTGGGGGAATTGTATTACTTCATTTCAGGCACTTAGAAAAAGATTGTTTCTAGTGACAAAAATACTGTATGCCAATTCTGACATTATAACTGATCAAATCTTTGCAACAACTATAGCACAGGCCACTAAAATATAACTGTGATGAACAGAACTATATAAATAGACAGCAACTCCATACATTTCTCAGAAAAAGAGAAAAGAAATCATTAGGTTATAAATATCATTGTTCAAAGTTATAAATTTCTACAAGTTGAATACTCAAAGGGAGATCTGCATTTGAAAATTCAAAGTAAGTTTTAATTCAGAATTTCTCTATTACTTCCTTTTTGAAATTGTACTACTTGAGACAAATGTTTGAGGTAGTGAAGATAAAATGATTAGAACTGAAATTTTCCTATTCTAATGCCCATTTCAAAAAATTATATCTCATATTCCTGTTTTTCTTTTATGAGGAGGCAACTAAAAATATTGTGAGAAACATTTCAACAGAATAAACCAGGGTGGTTCCCGCTTTCTGGAACTGTGATTCCTTTAAGATCTTTTCAGCATTCACGAACTGAAGAGCAGGTCAGATTCTAAAGGACCGTGTCCAAAAAGATACTTAACAAATATTATCCCAATTCTACTTTGTACTAACTTTCATTTGACTTGAATGCACTTAACCAGCTATTCATGTTTTCAGGCAAAGTAATAACTGTTTTGTTATTGTAAAGTGAGTAAAATCCCACCAATAATAATTATGCCATCAATTTGCAAAAAGCAAACTCAGTATGCAAATAAGCACTATTCCTCATACAATTGCTAGGTCATCCGTGTTGAAAAATAAAAGCAGGAGTGGAAAGGTGAGTTGAAAATAATCTTACAGCACCTCTGAAAGAATCTTCTCTCCTTACACCCTGACTCCAGTTCTGGAAATAAAACTCTATAATGCATTTCTGTTAATGAGTATCCCTCAGTCAAAAAGGAAAATAATGTGATAAATTCCATTTAGTTCTTTTCTAGAATATATTAAATAACTCCATAGAAGTTCAAAAAGTTGCACATCCATTATTCTTAAAATAACTTAAATAGTAGCATCAATTATTGATTGCTATAAGATAGTTTATAATTTCACAAAGGCTTAAAGTCACTCAATTTGATAGAAGTCACAAAAACCTCAACTGAAAATCAATATATTATTTTGTGACTAAGTCAAAATCCTATCACTGTAAACATTAACAAATATATTTAATGATTATTCTATCTTTAGTATAATTCCATAGCTTCATATTGATGTGGGTGCTATGCCTCTGTGGCAGAAATTGGGAAATTGTTTGCAATCAAGGGTGGTCATGTGACTGAATTGTGTTCAAGGACATGTGCACAAAAGTGAAGCAAAATGGGAAGAGCACAGGCCCATTTAAACAAACAACATGAGTCCTTCCAAGTACGCCCTTTGCAGCCCTGCACTAACAATGACGGAGCCAGGGTCAGACACCCGAACCCTCCTTAGAGAAAACACCACATCCCCATCCTCCACCACTGACTGGACTTTACTTGATGAAAACTTAGCCTCTAGAATGTAAGCCACTGTGCTGAGGAGTTATATTGTTACAACAGCAAAAAGTTCTCCCATCATACTAGGTTACTACTTTTCTAAAAGGGAAAAGGACAGAAACTGATTTCTCTATAGATAAGGTAAAAAGATTAGTTTAAAACTACTGGACAATTAAGAAATCAATGTATGTAGCTCATATCCACATACATTAAAGTCCCCAGCATAATATCTTACACACAAGAAAGAATAAGTAGAGAACAGAATAAACTAAAATTTTCCATAATCAGCTTTTCCCTTATTTACTCTCTTGGTAACACACAGACCCTAGAAGTACGTAGTCTAAATAGCAAAGAAATCACCGTTTCTGAAAGTCAATGACTTTTTCTATCAAAACCTCTCTGCACGCCACCTACTTGAGTTTCAATGAACTGGAGGATAAAACAAATACATTTCATTCTTGTCTCATATGTATACTTGGACTTGGGATTTCAGAGAGGAACAGAGAACAGAAAAGATTAAAGCCATCTAGTTTAACATCTTTATATCTTTATATTCTGGATGATACATTTTGATGTACTAGGTTTTAAAAGCACCTATATGATTTTTCTCATATAGATGCCTTTAAGATATGTTTATATATATATGTGTGTGTGTGAGTGTATATGTGAAGCGTTTAGATGTTTTCATGGTGTTAATCAATATTTGCCGGATGCAATATCACACAATTTATCAGTATTATATGTTTGCTCAAAATGTAATTACTCATTTATTCATTCATCCGGCAAATATTTATTGAGCATTTATATGTGCTGGGTACTCTGAGCATTTACTATACATTAACATATGAGGCTTCTATTCTCATGGTGCTTACATATTGACCGGGGACCAGAGAAGGAATGGGAGATAGAAAAATAATATGCAAAGAAATAAATAATAACATAATTTCATAGACTGACAAGTACATGAAGAAAATTTCAAAAACGAGAAAAGCAGTTTGTAAGAATAATGAAACTGGATGGACTTCTAAGAGTGAGAGGATCATGGAAGACATGAGTCATGACAGTGACTTCTGTCATTTCAGTAACTGCTGCCTCTCCAGAATCTAGAAAGACCTGGTATATTATGAATAAAAAACTACTGAATGAGAATAGCAAGAGCAAAGCATCTTGGAGTGTTCAAGCAAAAGAAAAAAAAAAGAAAAAAAAGTAAAGGGGGCCTCCCTGGTGGCTCAAGGGGTTAAACACCGCACTATGAAGCAATCCACAGCCTCTGCAGCACGAGTTCGATTCCCGGCCCACCGGGGAGCAACCCACATGGTGAAGCAGACCTCTCCTGTCTCGCCCACTGCTCCCCTCAGCAGTGTATTTCATCAGTCTGCCTGTTCTGTTCTCCACTCTGTCTCTGGTGAATCCTCTCACCCCCTGCACCTCTGGCCTGTACCCCAGTACTTGTATGAAAAAATAAATATTTAAAAAAAATACCACGGCCAAATATTCATATTTAGTTATAATTCCCTTTCATTTTCTGCTCCCCCCCCCATTTTACATTAGAAAATCCTCAAGCTTTTATTCTTAGTCCCATTATCACTGCTTCCTCACTTTTTATGTTTGTTATCAATGCTTTCAGGAACCTGATACTCCATTGAAATAATTCTGAAATCTGTCTCTCAATCTCATTCTTGAACTTTTACACACAAATTTTCAACTTCTTAACTGGGCATGTCACCGTAAATGTCTCATACCCAAGCCACAGCAAATCCGTTATGGTCTTGCCAAGCTTCTCCTTTTCTTGAATTCACTACCTGAGTCATCCAAATAGAAAGCTTGGGATAATCTGATTTTACTCTACACCTCCCAATTCCAAAGTTATCAAATTATGATTTTAGCACTGCCAGACCTCTCCAGTGGAAGGCACTCATCATGTCCACAGACATGGCCTTTGTCCTTCCACTTTGGGGGCTGGCAAGGGCCTCCTGAAGTGCAGGCCTCTTTAGTCTTCCACAGCTCTGCTGCAGGCTCTACCCTGCTGCAAGTGACAGCACTAACATCAGGTTCTGAGCACTTTTGCTAAAAAACTATTAGCACCTCATCTCTGACAGAATAAGCCCCTCAGGCCGCAGCCAGAGAGCTAAGATCTTCTGGGATCAAATATTTGCCAACCTTTCCCACCACACTCCCTCCCCACACCCCAGTATGTTCATCCATGAAGCACATCATCTTGTCACCTAAGACTCTGTGCTAGTTTCTAAAAAAGCCACCGAGAACTTTTCCACCAAAGTCTTGTGCTATTTTTCCTCAGGGTGGAATGTCCTTCTGCCCTTCTGTCCCTGTGAGCATTCTACTCATTCCAGCACTAATTCCACTTCCTTCATGAAGCGTTCCTAAATACTCAGAACAAGCCATTCCTTCCTCCACAATCCCACAATACTTACCTGTATTTATAATTCTTGAATTGTTGAATTGTTGATTTTGATGTTAACAAATATATCATCATAAACCCACATTCTGAAAATATTGTTCTATAGATATTAGGCACCCAAACAAGTTGAAAAAAACATAAGCATCTAATAATGTGGAAAATTATTAAAACTAAACTGATAACTACCATGGTGGATGATTCCATTTTCTAATAATGCTTGTCCCAAGTGAACACCTTCCTCAGGCCTGTGAATTTCTCCAATTTCCAACAGCCAAGATACAAATTCACTGAAATAGAAATCCAATGTTAATTTTTACCCCTGGAAGTCTCTCTGCACTATGCATTCATCAAAAAGCTATAAAGGGAGTCTCAAAATATAAAGGAATATTTGCGGTATATTTCTGCACAAAATTTTTCACATTGGTAGGACTTATAGTACTTAGATGATACTCTATTGGAGAAAAGCCATGTCTGTACATTCATACATACTTAAACTATACTCTGTAACTATTAAACTAGTTGAGAACTCAAACACATAGGGGAATTTTTAGAGCAGCATTAATTAGAAGGTCACTTTCTATATAAAGGCAAATTGGGGACTAAAGGGAATACAATCAATCTTAAAGACAGCGAAAAGACAGAATTCAATAGATAATTACGACTTCGCACAAGAGACAAACCATCTTGAATGTGGCCTTCCAGGCAGAGAGAACTGGTGGGTGTGAAACGCCAGGAAAACCAACAATAAAACTGAATGCCACATCTGGTAGAATTCTGAAGTGGCCTTTCTACCCCAGCTCCCCAGTAAAAATCCCACCACTTGATTGTGCAGTCAAATACTAATTAGTGCTGTAAATGGATTTTACATATGTAATCAAAATCCAAGTCAGTTGATATTTAAACATAAAAAGTATCCAATTGTCTCTGACCCAACAGTTAAGCCTTTTGGAGCAGAGCTTTATTAGGCTGGTAACACAAGGGGAAATCACAAAAATTAAAAGTATAAATAAGACTGACTGTGCCATCACAAGTTTTGAAGCTCAAGGAGGCCATGTACAAATATACCAAGGAATGTAGGTTAACTCTTGTTGAATGCAGACCTGGCCAACATCTAGCAACAGGACTTCATTCCCATGACCAGAAAGACCTAAACTCTGCCAATGACCTGCATGTGCATGAAAGTAGACTCCCCTTGTAGCCTCAAGATAAGACCCAGAGCCCAAGCCACCCTTGACTTGGGGCTTATTAGCTCCTTAACGGAGAAACCAATTCTGCTCACCTGGTCTCCTGACATTTAAAATAGCAAGCTACTAAATGGGTGTCGTTTCAAGCCACTGTGTATATGGTAATTAGTTTTGTAGCAATAGAAAATTAATACACACCAAAAGTCGTAGAAGTTTTACTACGCTGTTTTCAAATTTGGTTAATTAATTGCTGTATCTAAACTGACATCCATAAGGAATACACCAACCCAAACCATCCATTAGAACGGTTGTCTGTGCCTCACACATCTGCAAGAGCTGTGTAAGGCCACAGAGGATTGCAGCTCACATCTTTCATCATTTCTAGAAGAGTATGGGGCACCTCCAGGCTCATAGATAAAAAGAAGATGATTTATAACACTTAGCAGAGTCTCAACTAGGTAGTGAATTTTTATTTAATGGTTATGTGGTAACATTAAAAGCACACTAAATACTGAGATAATTTATAATAAAATATTTTATCATGATCATGTTATAAAAATCTAGCACTTGAACTTTCACACTAACTAATGAATGTATTTTAAAATGGTTTTATTTTTGAACAAAAGCTAGAGAAACAAAGTTTTGAGGGTTTTGTGAAATTGTTTTTCCATTTATTTCAAAACCAAAAGCAACACAAGGCTAAAGTCAAATGACCAGGGGACATGGAATTCTAAAAATGGATGTCTAATCTAAAAAGTAGGTTTTAAGACAGAGAAGTTCTTAAAAGTCATTCTTATTCTACTATACATTATAATACAATATAGTGCAATGACTTGAATTCAAACCCCGCATCTGCCTCTACTAGCGGTATAATGTTAAGTTAGTAAATCTGGCTCTCCAAACCTTAGATTTTTTTCTTAATAACATAGAGATAATAATAGTATCAGTCTCATCATGCAGCCATGGGATTAAACCAGTTGACAATTATCAGGAACTCAGCACAGTGCCTGACAGATTTTCAGAGCTCATTAAATGTGGACACTGACAGGTGATTGAAATGGTTGGTATGTAGCTAAAGCAGAATTCTCCATTTTGATATCACCCAATTCCTGCACTTAAAATGTACTCTTTCCTGTACTTAAATGTACTGCTCTGAGTTAGAAGGATAGGGACAAAAAGCAGAGGTGTAGGAAAGGAAGTAAGCGAGTGACTTTGTGATGGGCCTCACTCGTCACAAGCAGTTCCCATCAACATTAAAAAAGGATCAAAGAAAAATATCGGATGGTCTCACTCATAGCAGGAATCTAGAAAACGTAAATAAGGGACCAGGAAAAAGAATAACTATAAGAAAGAAAATATCAAAATCGACAAACAACTATGAACCAGAGACACTCTATGGTGGGTGGGGGGCGGGGAAAGGAGGGCTTGGGGTCAAAATAAGGGGGTTGTAATTGTATGGGGGATATAAAAAATAAAATTTAAATTAAAAAAATAGATAAAAACAAACAAACAAACAAACAAAGGGATCATGACCCATTCGGAAACAATCTCAAACACTGTAGCACAGAGATAATGTGCTGTTATGGGAAAGGTTGCAATGAACATAACTAATACTGACAGAGTCGCTCCTTTGTATCAGGTGCTTTGGGAAATGCTTTACATATCTTTGCAAGTAACTAGCACCACAGCCACATGAGGCAGTGAGGGTCAAGGATTGACAAAACCTCTCCCTCCTTTAGGATAGATTTGATTCTGGGTTAGCTTTCTAGTTTTGTTTCCCTAGAAACCTGATGGAGGTAAGGTTATCCGCTATGTTACTAGGCAGCATAGCTTATGGTAAAAATTACCCAGGCAAATAAACTATATATTTATAAATTCCTGATGAGAAAATATAGCTTGAAGTAGAGACTACCTGATAAGCGGGCTTGTCCCTATGGAGATTTGTGTAAGTTATGCCAAGGGAGTTGTTACATGAAATTGCTTCTCCCTGAAAAATGGGGATTCCAACATGGGCTCACATGGGCTCTTAGCCTTGCATGAGCACTATCACTTCTAGGGGCTCCCAACACTAGAGTTTTGTGGCTTGCTGTGGGGACCACACCCACACAAACTTGGAAGCCCGAGGTTTCCTGGTTTATAGGTAAGCAAGATGATCATGTCTATTTTTTAGAAGAAGGAGAATTTAACTTTCCCAATTCCCTCAAGTAGTTAATGGTAGAACCAGATATGAATAGAGTCTGTTTGTGAAGTCTGGGCTTTGAACTACGACTCCAGGCTACTTATATGGAGTTACATTTTGAATTTAATAGTTGTTTGGATTTCGGCAGTTAAACTTTGACTTCTAGTCTCTAAATCTTTAAAAAATATTTGAGAATTGAATATTGAGAAGTTGAAACAATGTACAGAAGAAGCCAACACACAGCCTGGCCTACAGCTACCTGCAGGCAATCTATCCCTATTGGTCCAGTTCTGCTTAACCCATCTGGGATTTCTGCAACTGCTGTGGGCAGAAAGCAGAGGATACAGTGAATATGTTTAGCTGTGCTGAAAACCCAGGCAACTTTCCTGCCTTTTGCTCTGTGCCTGGTCCTCCACAGGACCCACTTTTTCAGACTATTCATCTGTATCCTTTCATCCTGAGCTCTCTAAATTCTGAAATCACTGGTAATTTAGACTGTGTCTCTAGTGCTATAGTCTTCCCTGCCTTTCAGGTCCTGTACTTCCATCCACTCTGTCCCCTAGAAGCAAACCCACCTGCATGCCAGCCCTGGACCCCAACCTTGCTTTGTCCTTGGATCACGTAAACCAGAAATTATTGAAGTCATGGATGAATGGCTGGATGGCTCCTGTTTTCTGTTCATGATTCCTGACTCTGTATGCATTCCCTCATCAAGCACATGACCCAGGAAATTCTGACAGTAAAAGACTCCAACTCTACCTTCCAAGAAAGCATTTAGGGAACGTAGTCAGTTTTCTTTTTCTGTCTTTGATCAGGTTTCCTTGTTTGCACATCATTTTATAAAGCTTCTCACCCTGCTCAGAGATCATTACCCAGGTGTCTTGTTCCATTCCTAACTTTAAGCCTGTCAAAAAAAGAAACAAAGGATAGGTAATTGAAAAAGTCTCTTCATTCAATCATGCCATCATTAAATTAACATTTATTGCTTGTCTACCATATGCTGGGGGCTATGGGTATAGAGTTCTGTGTCACAGGGCCCTGGGTTTCCAGAAGCTCACAGTAAAGGAGAGAAACAGTGAAGGTAAGATCGCCAAGGCTGTATGGTAATGTTGGACAAATTGTGTCCTAAAGGTACATGGTTTGGTCAGTGGAGGAAGATCACCTGTATCTCAGACTCCAGCAACCTCTTCTGGGGGATTTAATTAGCACAACTTGACATGATGGTTTTGCAGACAGCTTTGGGGGAAAACCAGATATATCAGAGGCCTATTCAGAGTATTTTATCTCATCTGAGGAATGTTCACAAAGGTTTCATAAAAGGGCATGGTTGAATGCACAGATATGAATATGATTTTCAAAGAAAGGCAAAGAATTCACAGGAGCTGATGAAGTGAAGTAGCGCTGAGGCACAGAGCCCTGCGCTTTAGGTGAGAAGTCAGAAGACACACTGGCAGGTTAGGCAAGGTCCTTGGTCAGTTGCAATTTCACCATACTTCACTCCTTGCTGGGTGCTGGTGAACCATGTAAGTGCCTTAACCAAAGCAAGGAGAAAGGCAGGTCATGCAAAAAGAGTTTTGTTGCTTTGAAAAAATAAATAAATAAATCTGGGAGGACTACTTGTGGAGCAAACTAAAAGGGAGGGGGTTTTAAAAGTAGGAGGTCATTAGGAGGGAAATACAAAATTTCAATAACCTACAAACAACAGTAAGGACTACAGGCAAAGAGAAGGAAGTTGAAAAATATAGAGGAGGTGGTTGGTTTAGCGTCGGTGTGAAGAAGAGAGAAGTAGGAATGCCTTTCAGATTTTTTGAGCTGAAATCTAAATTGTAGGTGAGGGGCAGCAGGGAGGAGGCCTATGGGTCAAAGGTTTCAAGTTAGGAGAAGTCCAGTACCAAATAGACACTCTGGATGTTCAGAGAGAGCCTGAAGTTTAGGGATCAACTGAGAACATGAGTATGAGGCTCAAGTGAGAGGACAGGCTGGGCATTAAGAGGGAGAGAAAAGCTAGCTGTGTAGAAGTGCAGTCCCAGTGACGGCACTGATCAGCTGTCATAGGAAAACAAAAACTAGAATTATCTATATTCTTTTAGCCACAAAATTTCTTACTAAAATTATATTGCTTACAATGGAGACATCATTAACATTTGTCAGTAATAGTGAATAATCCACTAAGAATTGGCCTATTAATAAAAAGATTATTAGAATGTATTTTCTTCTCCCTCTTTTTTTGGTATATATAAATATACAACCATTTCAAAACTAAAATAAAAGTTCAACTTGAAAATTTCAAGAATTTGCTATGCATTTGAATCAATCACCAATTTTTTTTTAAAAAACTTAAATTCAATTATGCAAATGTCAGAATCTTTTATCTGGTTCTTCAGATGATGGATTAAGTATTGGAAAGTGCCTTATTAATTCTTATACAAATGTATACTATGAATATTTTAATCAAGGTAAGAACTTTGTATATCCTTCAAAGGAAAAAATCTGAAGATGAAAGGGCTCTTTGTGCTTTGAAATTTCATCACGAATAAAATGTTTTATTCCTAGAGCTCTAGGAAAAGGAATAAGCACTGTTGCTTTTTATTATTTGGTAGGAAAGCTGGTAGTTACAAAAGCATTGCTATTTACTAACTAAATGACAGAAATATTTTTACTTGCAAATAAACTTCACAAACTGAGTATTGCCAAACCAAAATAACTTTTGTGAATCTTGTTGAAAACATGAAACAAATTTTAGCTAGGCCTCCTCATGTAAACAAGCTTATTTGGTGAATTACCTTATATTCATTATTAGTCCAACAATTTTAAAGAGTTTATACCCAAAGTTTTTTAATCTATAAACTACGATGCTACCACATGTGGTCTAGGACTGTTTAGTGTACTGTTAAACAGAGAGAACAATTGTTGGAGATCCTCTAACACTGCATTATATTACTGAAGCTTTTCTTTTGAAGGAAAACCATGATGATGCTTTAGACATGTCAAGAATAAAATGCAAATAATAGAATTTAAAGCAAGTAAAACTATTTGCTACACACTAAATGTTTGTGTGACCCCAGAATTCATATACTAAAACCTAATGGCCAAGGTGATGGTATTGGGACGTGATTTGATCCTGAAGCTGGATACCTCATGCATGGAATTAGTACCTTTACAAAGAAACCCCAGAGAGACCCCTCACTTCTTCTGCTATGTGATGACACAGTGGGGAGCTGGCCCTCTATGAACCAGGAAAGTGTTCTCACAGAATCTTGGGCTTCCCAGTCTCCAGAATTGAGAGAAATAAATTGTTATTGTTTATGTCACCAAGTCTTTGTATTCTGTTGCACCGATCTCCACAAAGACACCGTTTAAAAGATACTGCTATTAAGGGACCAGGAAAAAGAGTAACTATAATAAAGAAAAAATCAAAATCACCAAGCAACTATAAACCAGAGACAAACTACGGGGGTGGGGGGAAGAGATTGGGGTCAAAATAAGGGAGGTGCAATTTTATGGGGACTATAACCAAGATGAAAATGCATATATATTGCTCAAAAATGAAAAATGATGTAAGAAATATATAAATAAAAATTAAAATTAAAAAAATAAAAGATACTGCTACTATAATATGAATAGTTTACTAACTATAAGGTCTTTCATTTATTAAGTAAAAATACTGAAAGTAGTTGAAAAGTGTTTTAGTATGTGACTTACATTACACAGAAAAGCCTACTGAACACATTTACATTTTCACTGTCTCATAACTTTTCCCATTATATGCTGCTAAGTTAGGGTCTTAGAGCACAATCCACACACCTACCTTTCCGCCGTTCTCTTTCTTTCAAAATAGCTTCAAACCATTCATGCTTCTCTTCAGGTGTTTTTGCCATACACACAAACCATTTATTTTTTGCAGTGTTATGTATCTTCCATCCATTAACAACAATGTGTCCACTGCTGTGGAAGTCAGCTGGAAATTAATGAGTAAAGGTGAAAGAGCAAATGTAATATATAACATTTCATCAATTTATTCATCCAATTCACGAAAGTTCTAAAACCACTGATTCTTGAAAATACCTTTGCTTTATTTATATGTACTGAAAAACACAGAAACTAAAAAAAAAAGAGAGATTTATATTTTGAATGTAGTCAGTGTTCAATAATGGAATATTTCTAATTTATAACATTAATATGTTTCCTGAAATTAAACACCTAATTAACATTCCTTTTATCTATCTACCAAAATAATATTAAATTCCTAAAGCAATAAAAGTTATTCTAGGTTTAAGAGACACACCATAACACTAAAAAGACTCAGAACATATGAGCAGAACAAATGAATCAGAACAAATTAATGGAACATACTAAAAGTGCCCTTACTTAAACTGCAATTAATAGAAATGTGCAAATGCCAATCCATTACCATTGCACATGGTTAAACAATACACATACTCTAAATCTGTAAGAGGAACAGTCAGTAACAACCTCAGAAGCAGTTCATGCCACTCACAGCCAACTCAAAGGCAGAAGGTGGAGCTTCCTGGCCCCCACCCCCTGACTTCCAGAGCAGGGCTGCCAGTGGGGAACAAGGGCAGGGCTAGTACAGTTTAAGCAGCTCCAGAAAAGTGTTAGTGAAGAAACTGCCATCTGGTTTCCAACTCAAGCTTAGTGCCCCCTCAGTGCCCACTAACTGGAGTAGGACAGATGGCATCTGGTCACCTCTGGGCAATTATTTTTCTTTCTACTCTTATTCTGTCTTTGTTCTACTTTTTCTCACTCCCTGTATAAATAACCAGTTTTGGGTTCTGCCTTTGGGTGATGTCTTGTATTCTGCAGTGTGCCAATGAGGACTCAACCACCACCAGGTCATTCCCAATTCCCCAGGTTCTCCCATTTCAAAATCACATCATCTCATACAATCAGCATGAATAGCAACTCATACAATTTCTCTTTGAGTATGAATTCACATTAAATTGACATTTTCCTGAGCTCACCATAATTTGGCTAAGCTGTCATGCTGGATTTGGAAATGTCAACAGCAAACCCTCTATGACAGCTCTCAGCCTAAGAGAAGTTAAAGAATGATGACGCTAGTTGTCACAGACTTTACAAGCACAAAATTCTGCAAAGCAAATATTCCAAGACAGAAAAACATGTGACAAAGGACTGAATCAGCAGCTGTGCCATTTAGTGACAGTTTTCATTTGCCTCTACTGAAAGTCACTAAGAGGTAATGGTTGGTATACAGGAGGTGAACGAAAACATTAAGGTGGATTAGAGAAATGCCTTTTCTGCATTGCTTTTGTTTTTCCTCAAATAATACCTTTAATTTGGTAAATTTGGCAGACAGACATGGTTGGAACTCACTATATTATTCCCTTGTGAAATATAAAATGTGCAAATACCTTTCCCATTCAGTATGCATATTTTCAATTTAATGATAATTTCTTTGTGCAGAAACTTTTCATTTAATGTATCCCATTTAATTATTTTTGTTTTTATTTCCTTTATTGTTCAAGTCCCTGAAGCCAATGTATGAGTATTTCTCCTATGTTTTTCTCTATGTATTGCAAGGTTTCAGGTCTTATAATCCATATTGAGTTAATTTTTGTATATAATGTAGTTGGTGGTCTATTTTCATTTTTTTGCATGTGTCCATCCAGTTTTCCCACATCATTTGTTGAAGATATTCTCAAATGAATATGCTTGGCTCCTATGTCTTAGATTAACTGTCCATATAGACTATCTTTCTGGGCTTTCAATTTCATTCCATTGGTCGGTGTGTCTATTTTTATTACAATGATACTGTTTTGAGTATTATAGGTTTGTAGTATAGTTTGATGTCTGGGAGTGTGATAACTGTTTTTCTCCTTTCTTTGTCAAAATTGTTTGGCTGACCAAGGTCTTTCACGGTTCCCTACAAATTTCAATATTGTTTGTTCTATTTCTTTGAAGAATACCATTAAAACTTTTTATCATCTTGGGCCTCCCCAGTGGCACAGCGGTTGAGCACTGGGTTGCGAAGGTGCCTGCAGCCTCTGCAGCACTGATTCGATCCCTAGCCACCAGGAGAGAGTCCCACATGGCGCGCAAACCTCTTCTGCCACCCACGGCTCCCTTCAGCAGTGTACTTTGGTCCTTCTGCCTGTTCTGTTCCCCTCTCTGGCTCTGGTGAATCCTTTCACCCTCCCACACTTCTGACTGTACCCAGTGCTTGTATAAATAAATTAAAAACAAAAACAAAAAACTTTTTATCATCTTCCTGAATGCAGAAAATGGCTGTGTTCAGGATATATTAAAACAAATGTACAAATGACACAAGCTTTTTACACTTCTGCATGCCATACCATCATTCAGGTGAAAGCATTTCTATTCTATGCTATATCGATGATAATAGTATGAGTCATTAGCTGACTAAATAAAGATTTATTTATTTGTGTATACAAGAACTGGGGTACTGGCCAGAGGTGCAGGGGGGTGAGAAGATTCACCAGAGACAGAGTGGGGAACATAACAAGCAGATTGAAATACACTGCTGAGGGGAGCTGCGGGAGACACAGGAGAGGTCTGCTGTGCCATGTGGTAAGCTCCCTGGCCCACTAGGGATTGAACTTGTGCTGCAGAGCTGCAGATAGCTTCACAGTGCTATGCTTAACCCCTTGAGCCACCAGGGAGGTCCTCATTAGTCATTATAAATAAAACTAGATCATATTTATTTATTCCTCAATAGATTTGAGATTCCAAATGCAATTATTTCTTCTATAAGTTTTGAGTTAAATAATGTAATTAGTTGTATGATGGAATTACCAAGAAAATAAAAGCATTTTATTTATACCTACAATATGAAAAAATACTGTCATTCCAAAATTATTCAAATAGATGGAGAGACATTTCCATTTCCATCAAAGGTTCTAAGCATACTTAAAAAAGATGAGTGTGGTGGATTCACTTGTTATTATTTACACTGAAAGCTTATATACTGCAGGCATAAACCTGGTTTGCTTTGGTAATGAGCAGATGAGCTTGATCCTGATGGTACTTGTCTGCCCCTCATTCAATTAATCCAGGGATGGTCCAAGTGTGAAGAGGACATGGATCTGCTCTGCTAAGATCTATCAACACGAGCGCTCCCATTCATTCAGTATAAAATGTATGACACGGAAAAAAAGAAAGGAGAAAGTTAATGTAGCACTCAGATTTTCTTAGAAGAAATAAGTGGTCAAAAATGATCTCATATACAGGTGCCTTTTCTCTTCACTGCTCTCCAGTTGGCCCTTACAAATTTAAATCCACATGGAGCCTTTGTTCTGTATTTCTTAAGGCATAGACATGGAAACCTAGTAAACGTAATTCTAGTCTCAGTTATATACTAAACAGCTGGGTAAGCTTGGATGAGTTAGTTCTTATGCCTAATTTCATTTCCATCATCTGAGTGTTAATGAGGTATATTAGTTGATATTCAAGCTCTTATGCATTTCAAAAATTGTATTTTTAAAAAATTTACAAGTCCTAGCATAGGATATACAATTTCCTCATAGAATCTAGTGGATATACTCATGATAAAACTAAATTTTTTTTGCAGGAATCTTAGAGAAAGTGTCCAATTATAGACTAAAATTTCTCTAAGTAAGCTAGTAGCAACTATTTGCAGCCAAATTCCTGTATCATACAGCTTATGTGTAAGGAGGAAGTAAAGCCTTAATTGAATAACACCAAGCCTAATTAAATTTCTTCAGCCTATTTAAATGAAAGCTGAGTCTTGAAAATTCATGCCAAGAGGTACCATCGGACAACTAATTTATGACAGCTAAATAAGTAAGTATATTGAAATGTCCTGTCTGCTCCACTAATTCATATTCATCAGTGTTTGAGGCCGTGTTTCCACAATGCCTCTAATCCCCCAGGTACCAAGGCCCAGAAGTCTGGAATGTTACCAACACTAACAGAACTCTGGAAGATTGAATCCAAGGACAATTTGCATAAAAGTCCCACCACCTTCATAAGCTCTCACACCCTTATGTTTGATATTGGTTTGCATTTTATAATCCCAAAGGCCCTGGTTCTTACATTTCTTTATCAAGTACCCAGTTTCCCAGTAAGTTTGGAAATCATTCTCAAAATTCACCTAAACTAGTGGTTCAAATAGTAATAATCACATCCTCTGCAGAAGAAGGAAAACAGTAAGATACAGAAGCTCTGTGCCCACTGAAAAGCATAAAAGGGGGAAACACCAAAATAAAAGTATGCTAAAGCAACAGGGAAGAGACGATTCCACTAGAGTAAGACAGAGTCAAGGAAGGGCAGAGAGGTCTCACTTCCTCCCACCGCAAGCACAATGAGGACTCATGAGCTTTCTCAAGTTATTGAAGCTGATAGATAACATTTCTAACATCACTAGTCTCCTCAGAAAGCATTAAAATGAATTACTGCCACCTTAAAAAGAATAATGTGCATATCCTGCCGTGGAAAGGTAACCTACTAGGTCCCATGTGTTTGCATGAGCATACTGTTATTATATAGTCTGCACTATAAAGCAAGATTTGAAATGCAGGGATTCCTACCTGTGCCAGCTGTCTGACAGCCCACACATCTATCCAACATCAGCCAAGAGAAACCTCTTCCTAAGATCCTAGTTCTCAAAGTAAATGCCCCAACTCAAGCACCACCTGCATTTTGCTCACTGCATGTTTTTTCCCCCTTAACTGAAATAATCTCAGGTCACTATTTAAGGACTGGACAACTCATTAGGATACTAACAACTGGATAGAAAGAGCACATAGGTGAGCATTTGAAAAACTGTACACCTAACAGATGATAAACATTCTTCTCCCCTGTGGGAATCAGGAATAGTAACAAAGGTATGTGGGAAGGAAGAGCTCATTGGTGGCCCAATCCCATAAGAGGGCCCAAAGGTATAATAAGATAGGGCCTCTCCTGGTGGCACAGCGGTTGAGAGCTGGGCTGCGAAGCTGCCCGCAGCCTCTGCAGCGCCGGTTCGATCCCACAAGGCATGCAGACCTCTTCTGCAATGCTCGCTGCTCCCCTTAGCAGTGTATTTCGTCAGTTTGCCTGTTCTGTTCCCTGCTCTGGCTCTGGTGAATTCTCTCACCCTCCCACATTCCTGACTGTGCTTGCATAAATAAAATAAATAAATCTTTAAAAAAAGGTATAAAATAAAGATACATGAATGCTCTGGGGTGGGTGAGTATGTGGGGTGTGGTGATGCACATCTGAGGAGGTATGAACCTCATCTTCTGAATCATACTATTACAGTGATGTAAACCATCACCACCTCAAAAAATAATACATGAACAAACCAAAAAAGTTTGAGAATAAAAATCATTTAACAACAATTATTTTTGAGATTTATGAGAATAAAAATCCTTTAGCAACAATTAATATATTAAAACAATTAATATATTTTATTTCATCTTGTCTTTTCTATTAGAAACGTCTTTTCTATTAGAAATTCTAATGAAAATCACTGGGGGAAAATGAAATTTGGTTTACTATGCAGTAGTCTTTCAAATAGAAAATATTTCATTTTAACTTCATTTTACCAATGTTTGTGTCTACTCAAAATTTCATGAACTTACTTGTAAAAATTCTGTACCTTCAAATCTACAGAGCCAAAATTTACTATGCTGGAGTAATAAAGTACTTAAAATGAACACTTAAATTACACAAACTGCGGCAGGCTGCGCCTCCCATGCTGTCTCTTGACATGGTCGGGGCATTGGGGGAGACTCCCGAGGAGCGAGGAGCAGCAAGTGCAAGAACTCCCCCACTGTACTTCCCAGAAGAGGAGAGCATTAGCAGGCGTTGCCATGGAGACTCCTTAATTCAGATCTTCTTTGGGAAGTGCAAGAACTCCCCTCTTCTGGGAAATACAACTTTCCCTCTTCGGGGGAGCACAGGAATGCCCGGCTTCTCGGGAGTCTCCCCCAATGCCCGGACTATGTCAAGAGACAGCATGGGAGGCCCAGCCTGCTGCAACAAACCACCTCCATCCACAACTTCCTCTACAAGCAAATTGACAACCCATTTATATTAATAATGGTTGTATACCTAAAACAATTCTATAGAGTTTGCTACATTTTAGAGAGGATATATTATAGGAACAAAGTATCACATACATATTTATAAAACATGATATAGCAGTTCCTCAGACAACATCATTTTGTTCAATGTCATCTCATTATAATGTTGATCAGCAAGAAAACTGATTTGTGTCCAGGGCCACTATCTGTGTGGAGGACACAAATTCCCCCCATGTCTGCATGGGTTTCTCTGTGTACTCCACCTTTTTGCCACATCCTAAAGATGTGTACATGTCAGGTTCACCGCAGATCTAAACTGCCCCAGGAGTAAGTATGAGTATATTTGTGATATGCCCTAAGATGGAAGGGCATCCTGTCCAGGGTTGATTCCTACTAGGTGCCCTGAGATGCCAGAATAAGCTCTGGTCACCCTGAAACCCAAAACTAAAATAAGTAAGCTGGGAAATAAGTGAAAGACCAACTACAAATAACTTAAAATTAAGTGTTTGGGTCTTTTTTTTAGAAGTTTGATGATGATTTTGTTGCCAGAAAACACATAGAAGAACTTAACTCTTGCTTATTTCAAAAAGCCTATTAAAATACTGGCTTCTTTTTGGTCATTTTACTTAAGGTTGCAGTTTGCAAAAACCTATTGATGAAGTTAAGTATCACTTAAAGAAAAGCAATTCATTCATTAAATAGTTTCACTCATGGTCTCTGCACTAGGAACTGTGAGTGTCCTATGGCATTCTTACTCAGTTATTCTTGGTATTTCGGCGCTTACTGCTGGTGTGTTTTGGCTCAATATAATTCTCCACTTTGACAACAGTCCTTCTTTTCCTTATCTCGCCTTTCTCCTCTAATTGCTCTAACAAAGTTTTTTCAAATCAATCAGTGAGCAGTGTGTCTTATGCAGGAGTTTACAACTGGCATTTCATTTTAAATGTGCTAACAATCACTTACCTGTGCCATCATCGACATTCTCCACTTCCATCACTTCTGTATTGATTCGCCCACGAAAAAGATACCGATGTCCATCTGTAGATGCCTTGCTATTCTTCAATCGTCTTAACAATGGAATGAAAGCATGCAAACTCTGTTAGTAAACTTTATGCAAACCAGTGTTAAAGCAACATCATCAAAGTGATTCTTGGGAAAAAAGACACCAAGGCATTCAGCAACATCAAATGTTAGATTCTTGGTATTTTTGTTTCCTTATATTCATAACAACACTGGTTGCTATATGAGATTTGACCTAAACACTCGTTTTTTTTTTAATATAAAGAAGCTTTTGCTAAGGACAACATACAGGTGGGAGGGTGAGTTCTTTGGATCCATGAAGGACATCAGAAGTGCCAAATCAACTCTGACAGATTCTAAAAGTTGGCTATTTTTAAATTTCATTTGATTTTTATTTTACTTTCATTTCTCATTTCATACTGACTAGGTGGTAATTTCCAATTTTTTTCAAGTCCTCATTAATTCAGCCAGTAGTTATGATCTCTTTGAAAATATATTAATTGTGCTGGAGGTTTTTAGCTCAGTTACATCCAGATGAAAATATTTTTCCCATTCATTTTTAAAGGATGATTTTTAAATCATTTTTGTATTATGATAACTGTGAACTTGAGTAAATTTTTTAATTTATAATCATTCATAAAAGTTCTATTTTTTTTTTAAAGTCCAGACATTTCAAAACTGTGTGTGGCATATAGACTACTTGTCTTTAATCTTAAAAAGTATGTTACACAAAGTAAAGAATTTCAGGTTTACACAGGAACATTTGTAAAAATTAATTAGGTATGTATGTATGTTTACAGTGAAATAACTTTACACTCAAGAGATATCATTTTAAAAACTGGATTTTTATTATTAAAGAGAAAGGATTTTTTAAATGATTCAAGAAGATTAAATAAGATCCAATTGGTCAAGAAATTTCAATTGACCTGAAACTATTCAATTTGACTAATTTGACAAGTCTAGCTGACAACTTAAAATAGTAAAATAATCATTAACTTGTTCTGTTATATAGACACAGGGAGCACAAGTTAAGAAGTGCATATCCACAAGCGTCAGTACCCACCCCCCTCCTCTCTTCTGCAGTAGACACCTGCCTTGGGGTGGAAAGGCTGGGTGCTGGTGCAATATCACTCCAAAGTGATATCACTGTCCATGTTTACTCTTAGAAAAGAGTCCATATTCCTTACATATCTGTCCCAAACCTCTTCAAAAATGTATAGCCTTCATCACTACTAGAGAGAAAACTAAACTGATTAATCTGACTGAGGGTTTGTCAGTCTAACCTTCACCACCCTGCATGCTCATGCTCATTTTAAAAGGGACTTCTGAATGCCCTTCGCTATTTAGTCTAAATAAATTCAATAAATTAGTGAGTCAGGCCATGTATCTATGAAATTTGTCTCATAGGTGGCTAAATATAACAAACGAAGAGCAGATTAACATCCAAGAAACTATATTCTCTAAGGTAGGAAATAGTATCACAGTATCTTACAAAATAGAATAATTTGTAAGATGATACACTTAATATTCATATATATAATATTTCATCTAATATTTGAATATATCACTGGTTTCATTTTCCAAAGTACTAATTTTGTTTATGGCCTTATGAACTCTGTATAGGTTTTTTATATTTCTCTTGACCTACAGATCTTGATACTCAATTTGAAATTCCAGTATGTGCTGATCAATACTGTAACACTTAGCTCATATAGAGAGATCTTTGGCCCCTTAGGATGATGACTCTAATGAAGCATAAAAATTGAACAGACTATGTTTTTTTTAAGATTTATTTATTTATGTATACTAGAGCTGGGGTACCATCCAGAGATGTGTGAGGTGAGAGGATTCACCAGAGACAGAGTGGGGAACAGAACAGGCAGATTGACTGAAGTACACTGCTGAGGGGAGCACCGGGTGAGTCAGGAGAGGTCTGCTGCACCATGTGGATTGCTCCCTGGCCGGCCAGGGATGGAACTCGTGCTGCAGAGGCTGCAGACAGCTTCATAGGTTGTGTCTTAACCCCATGCGACACCAGGGAGGTCCAAATAGATTATGGTTCATTATGGTTTGAAAATAATTGTGTTCTATAGTGTAATGTGGAAGATTTGCATATTTTGAATCTATGATTTTCCTCCTAATTATGTGACTTAAAGTTAACCAGAATACAGGGTCCTCCCTGATGGTGCAAAGGGTTAAGATATAACCTATGAAGCCATCTGCAGCCACTGCAGCATGAGTTGGATCCCCGGCTGGGGAGCTACCCACGTGGTACAGCAGACCTCTCCTGACTTGCCCGCTGCTCCCCTCAGCAGTGCACTTCAGGTCAATCTACCTGTTCTGTTCCCCACTCTGTCTCTGGTGAATCCTCTCACCCCCCCCACCTCTGGCCTATACCCCAGCTCTTGTATGCATAAATAAATAAATCTTTTATTAAAAAAGTCAACCAGAATACATATGCAGGAATGTTCACAGTAACAGAAAAACTAGAAATAACTTTAAAATTCATTGATACAGTATATATAAAAATGTGATTAAATGTGACAAAACCAAACAATAAAATATTATGCAGCATTTCAAATAAATAATCACTGCTACACACATGAATAAACAGTTGAGAAATAATACTGTATACAAAATATAAGTTGCAGAAGACTAAATACACCATGATACTCTCTTGTAAAGATCACAGGAGAGGGAGTATCTAAAATGAAGTGAAGTTATGCTATATTCACACTATTCTGATCCAAGAAGGACACTCAGATTTACTGATTTGAATTTATAATCACTATGTATGTGGTTCTCATTATACATACATAAAGGATATTTGCTAAACAGAAGGATTTGACTTTTATAAAACCTTTCCTGTTGTTTGACTTACTTAAATTACAATCCTGAGGCCATAAACAACACCATCATTTGCGCGCTGATAATTTTGCAAAGATAGATTTGAGGGCTGACAGATAGACTTATGAAAACAAATATAATGAAAAAAGATCTCATTCTTAACTGCATACATATAATAATTTTACCTACATGAGTGTGGTAATTAACTTGATAGGAAAAATCCTTTCACAATGTATATGTATATCAAATCATCATGCTTTATACTTTAAATGCCTTACAATTTTATTTGTCAATTATATCTCAATAAATCAGGGGCTGGGGGAGGAAACTGCTTCCATACAACTTGAATCATATTATAGTTTTTAGTCAGTTAGAAGTAAAATTAACAGCTTTTTCTACATCTTCCTATAACCTATTTATATTATTCTGAGTCCTACTACCAAACACAAAGAATTTAAGAGAAAACTAAAAAAAAAAAAAAAAAAATTCATTTTCTGATGTGGTAAACGGAATTTTTAGAAGCTCATAAAAATAGAGAAAACAACAATTTATTTGCCTTTTGGCTCTAGTCTTAACCTGTTCCCTTTCATCATGGTCCATGGGAGAAAACACTGACAGTTGGGGGTGATTACTCAGATTATGAGTTCTGGGGAGCACAGAGGAAAAATTAGAACTATTAAGTTGACAAAAAATCTGAAATGTTGCTTGCTTATCATCTTACCTGTGTTTTCTTTTGCAATACACCAGAAGATTATCAAAAAGAAAAAACACCCTTTCTTGAATATTTCCAGAAGAAATTTTCAATAAGACTCCACACATTAGCATTTCAGTGCAGGTGTCAGTAATGTTGGATCCCTAAGTTAGGAAGAAAGGAGATAATGTCTCTTTACTTAATAGAAACTTATGTATTTAATGCTTTTTCTTCTTAAAAATATATGTTTTATTTGAAGCAGTAATATATGCACAGAATAAAAGTTCAAATAGTGTAAATATTTATATACTGAATATAAGCCTCCATCTCTTCCAGTCTCTGCATAGCCATTCTCAGCAGATAAGACTGTCTCCTTTTAGCTATTTTATGTAAATGTATGCATGCACAAGCATATATATGCTGCCTATGTTCTTTAAAATGATTTTTTCAAACTGATTCATAACATCAATATCCCTGACATTCCTTTCCTCTTCTCTCTCTCTGGTATGGGAAAAGAACCATGGACACATGGCAAAGTTCTTAGTCACAAAGGTTTAAAACTCAGAACATTCATTTTTAATTTCATATTTCCACAATATGAAATTTTTCTGATCTATTATAAAATTTTAAATTAAAATGACAACTTTTATACCTATAATAAGAAACTACCCAAAGTTAGGGACGTTAATTAAGAAAATGTGACTAAGTCAATGTAATATCTATACTAAAAACATATTTTAAATCTTAGATAGTTCCTTTTCCTTTTCCCTTTCATGGCAATGGCAGATATATATAAAATGCCTTGTGCAAAGTCTAACACATAGAAAGGCCTCAATTAAAGTCAGCACAATTATTATTACTATCTTTGAAGGGGATCTAATTCTGCAAAGTAACTCCATTTACTTTTTTTTTTTTACAGATTTATTTATTTATACACGCACTGGGTACAGTCAGAAGCACGGGAGGGTGACAGAATTCACCAGAGCCAGAGCAGGGAACAGAACAGGCAGACTGACGAAATACACTGCTGAGGGGAACAGCAGGCACGGCAGGAGAGGTCTGCGCACCATGTGGGACCCTGGCCAGCAGAGGCTGCGGGCAGCTTCGCAGCCCAGTGCTCAACCGCTGAGCCACGAGGGGAGGCCCTCCATTTACTTTTGATCACTACTGTGTCTACTGTAGTTCATTGACTTTATAGTTTAACTCTTTGAAGAAAATATTATTTCTCTTACCCTCAAGCTATTGAGGGAGGACATCTTATCATTCCAGATAACACCAACTCTTGTCCTAATGAAACTAAGCCTCTATCTCACATCATACACAAATAATAACTCAAAAATGAGTTGAAGACTCAGTTTTAAGACCTGAAACCATAAAATATATAGAAAAAATAGGCCAAACATTGGCATCAGGGATGTTTTTAGAGATTCAATTCTAATAGCAAGATAAACAAAAGAAAATAGGAGTACATTAAACTAAAAATGTTTTTCACAGGGAAGGAAGTGATCATTAAATTGAAAATACAGCCCATCAAATGGGAGAAAGTATTTGCACATCATACATCTGATAAAGAGCTACTAGAACTACTTAATCTAATGGTAGTTGAGATTAACAGAACTCAATAGTAAGAAAACAACCCAATCAAATAATAGGTTGAAGAGCTAAGTAAACATTTTTTCATAGAAGATTTAAAGATGGGCAATAGTATCTGAAAAAATGTTCATCACCAATTATGATGAAGAAAGGGAAAATCACAATGAAACACAACACCACACCAGTAAGAAGGGCCCATATCAAAAATAAAATATATAAATATGTGCTGGTAAAGGTGTGGAGAAAAGGAACCTTCATATATTGCTGGTGGGAATGTAGACTGGTTCAGCCCTATAGAAAGCAGTATGGTGCTTTCTCAGAAGAGTAAAAATAGATCGATCATATGATCTGGCAATTCTTTGTCCTAGTTATCTACCTGAAGAATGAAAAAAACACTAATTCAAAGGGATGTATGCACTCATTGTTCATTGCAGCACAACCTAAATGTCCATGACAGATGAGTGGATTAAGATGTGTCATATATACACAATGGAATACTGCACAGTTATAAAAATAGATGAACTGTTGCCACTTGCAACAACATGGGAGGAACTGAAGGGGATTATGCTAAGCAAACTAAACCAGAAGGAGAAAAACAAATACCAAATGGTTTCACTCATACATAGAATATAGGAAAACAAAACAAAGAATTAGACAAAACTAAATCAAAAACAAACTCTAGAAATTTCACTGTAAAACGGAGGCTACCTGGCCTCCCTGGTAGCACAGGTGGTTGAGCGTAGCACTATGCAGCTGTCTGCAGCCTCTGCAGCACGGGTTTAATCCTGGCTGGCCAGGGAGCTGCCCATATGGCACAGCAGACCTCTCCTATCTCGCCTGCTGCTCCCCTCAGCAGTGTATTTCAGTCAGTCTGCCTGTTGTGTTCCCCCCTCTGTTTATAGTGAATCCTTTCACCCTCCCACACATCTGGCCTGTACCTTGGTTCTTGTATGCATGAATAAATAAATCTCTAAAAAAAATTGTAAAAAATTAAAACTGAGGCTACGAATGGGGAAGACAAAGGGTATAGAACAAAGTTGGGAGGGGCCTAATGAACTATGGTGAAGAACTATGGGTGTCTTGGTTGTGGGTATGGTATGGTAACATACATCTGAGGAGGTGTGATCCTATACCTTTGAATCATACACAGTATTTTAAACTGTTACTTCAATGAAAAAGTTTATAAAATTTGAAAATAAATTATAAAGAGAAAGTAGAAATTTTTTAAAAGCCGAGGATACATAATGGACACAAAATCATACATACATGTAACCAGGAAAGAGAAAAGGTAAAGATCAGATAGTAACAACATTTAAGGAGAGGCTAACATATGTTTGTGTGTGTGTGTGTGTGTGTGTGTATATATATATATATATACATATATATATATATTACACATCATATATATGTTTAACAAGTATAATTAGATATCTATAGAAGTGTAACATCTTCTAAGTAAAAATGTAGATGCCAAAGAATGGGAAATACAAAAAGTATATATATAATAAAAGTCATATTTTTAACATTTCTAAACTGTACAGGCAATGGATTAAACATTTTCTCCTCTTATAAATCTCCAAGAAGTTGGCCTCTCTGATCCTAAAGTTTTAAAGGGAAAGCATACTTATTTAATTAGGCAGAGACTGCTATACTGTGAAAAAATTGTGACCATGAAACAGATACTTTCCATGAAAATAAGCTACTTCAACAGCACAGTGACATCAGAGCCCCAAACTAACACTGAAGAAGGTGTGAAAGAATCAGTGTTCTTAAAATAAGGAAGCTATGCATAATCATTAATTATGAACTGCCCTAAGGCTTTTATATAGAATGCAATACATATTTACATATTTGATACAGATATTTTAAAATAACATTTTACCCTAAGAGTCAGAGTCCTGATGTCTTTTAGCAATTCCTTATAGAAGAACCAAAATCATGTATCTGCATAATTTATGTTTTATCTTTTTTAATGCCTATTTCCCAGGAATCTACATTGATGTAAAATCTGTGCTTACAATGAATTATGTATAAAGGATTAAATACAGCAAAACCTCCCCACAGGAAGTTACTGGCTTACTTTCATTAGATCAAGTAAGTAATGTTAACTGATAGCTCAAGGTAAAAGTAATCATAAAGAAATAACTGTTACCAGTTGTTGGAAACATATTTGCTCAAGGTAAAAGTAATCATAAAGAAATAACTGTTACCAGTTGTTGGAAACATATTTATCTAGTAGCTTCCCTTAAAAAACTTCTTTTCTACCAAAGCTGGGAAAATCTTATTCCTCCTCCATCACCACTGCCCCAGCAGGGCAAGGATGAAACATGTCAAGAGAAGTTCATTAGACTAAAGAAACAGAACTTGTACTATAGAAATACTGTTATAAAGACTGAATATCTAACAATTGCAGCATTTTCAACTATAGTTCAAAGAAGTAAAAAAAAAAAATCCTGTAACATATTTGAATCGTAAGTCAGAAGAGAATGCTAAAGAGAGAACTAGAGAACATCCAAGTCGCTGAATAATAAAACAAGTTTTGGACTCCAAACAGAACCAAGTCAGAATCACTGCCATTAATCAGAAGACACAAAAGTATTTAAAAAAAATAGTAAGAAGTCACTGGCAATTAATACTTAATACAAAGTAATGATATTTGTATTTAATTATCATTCAACTCACTATGTATCACACATTAGGCTAGATGCTGGGAACCCAGAGATGGAGACATGACCCACTCCCGAGAAACATACTGGTAAAAGAAATCGATATGTAAACACAGATTAAATGCAGTATGATCAGTGCAATAGCAGGACATTGATAAAATGAGTGTTGGCAAGAAAAACCAGTGATTAATATGGTGATAGCTGTGGGTGTTTGTGATTATATGTGTTTATAATTAATGATACAGTACATTCCATGTTGAGGTTTCAGGTTCAAATGAGATTCAGTAATTTTCTTTGTCAAATGTATTAAGTACAATTTTGATATGTCATCTTCCCTACAGTTAAGAGATCTACCTGAAGGAATGAAACCAACAGTGCCTTCAGTTATCAGAGATCAGACTCAGAGGCAGCCATGTTGCAATATTCCTTACCAGCAGCTCTTCTTGCTATGTGTGCCTCATTTACACAACCCAACACAAAGATCCTAACAACTCAGAAAGTAATTTTTAAGTAGTTGAATTTTTGATTCTACAATCAAGGTATACAATCAGCTGCCACTTATATGGTCAGTACACATAAAAAAACTTAAATTTCAAAGCAGCATTACAATTTAATATGGGTACAAGACATATTTCCTAAGTGGCTAGATACCGAAGTATGCTTTCAGAGTATGACTTCAGCCAAAAAAAGATCATCTCAACTTTGTGTGTTTATTTTATGGCTTCTGTTCTCATTTTCAATGTTTCCTAAAACATTAAAATCACAATTTATGAAGAACTCCAATTATACAATTAATCTCTTCCCCTTAAGAACCCAATATAGATAATAGTGTTAAATTATACATGGGTTATCTGAAATAGCACATCTTTAATGTTAGTTATATAACTTAGTAGTATAAGTTAGAT